ATTGCTGAAAATTAATACCTACGATTATTGAAAACCGCTACGAATTTAAATTATTTACATTAATATTATTACATACTTATATAACTATTAATTATATCATAATAAATTAATTCACCCCGATTACCTATCATAGTTTTAATTAATAGCATAATTCAATATTACAATATACAGGGTGTCAATCAATGTTATCCTTATGCTAATAATTCTATCAATATTAATTTGTTTTTTTATTTTTTTTTTTTTTTTTAAGGTATCAAAATCGCAACACGGTAATTCCTTTACCTAACGGTAGTTAATAATAATTGTTTTCACACCTATTTTCTAGAAATTGAAACGGCTATTACTAAGAAACTGTTAATCGCATATAAATGTATAATAAATTACAATTGTATTGAATAATATATTTCACAAAATGGCTCAAAATGGCACTTACAAAATAGCTTTATCAATTTATTATTTATTATTTATTTTTAGGAATTAAAATTAAATACAGATAATACACGGATATTTCTAAGATTTCTGGGCAAACATTTATTGGAAAAATCAATTTGGTAGATTATTATCATAGGAGACTATCCTATTTTAATTAGGATATCCTGGAATTCCACGCACGATAATATTTACCGAGGATTCAGCAGCGTTGGTAAAACTAATGTATATTTGTGTAAGTAAATGAGCCGAATTAATTTATTAATTTATAATATAATTATTGCTATTTAAGTATATAATAATATTACTGTAAATAGTTTATATTCGTAGTGGTTTTCATTAAAACCGTACGTACCGTATTTAACGTAGTCGTTAAAATATTCAATTAATAATTGTATAAACAAAACATATTATGTACATAGGTATATAGATAAGAACAATAAGCATAATATAGCACATGTTATGTTATTCCCAATTTTTAACCTATAACAATAGCCTACCATATTGCGAAATATGGAAACGTGATATTTCCATGAGTTTTACACCTGTCCATCGTGTTTGAGCCCCATCTCATCGGCGCCATGCACTTATCGCTCATTACCTTTTTCGTGCTATCTTCGGCTGTTAACGAAATCTTTACCTGCTGAAATTATATAAGGTCTGTTTCCTCAAAATTTAAAATTATATAAAATTAATATTATTTAATATTTAATCGTATACAATTGACAAATAATTATTATAGTTAAAATGTTTAATATCAGAGATAAATGTGTATTTAATTTATTAAAATATTTCATTACGAGTACTTAATTGTCAACTTATTAATGTTACATTAATCAGGTAATTAATGTAACGGGTACATTATTTGAAATTATATAAAATTAATATGATATAATATAATCGTAAGGAAACGGTAGACTGTAATAATTTGACAATTATATGTGATTATATTATATATATATTAATTTTACATAATTTTAAATTTTGAGCTATTAGTCTGCCTAATATAATTTCAGCATGTAAAGATTTCGATAGCGGATGCAAAACGTACGAAAAAGGTAATGGTTGCAAAACGCACGAGCACTAAGTGCATTCCACCATCTCATCGGATATTACTTAATTTATGACTTTAAAAAATGGCCACGCAAAAAAGTGATCTACCCACAGTATGAACTATATCAAACATGTACTTCTATGAGACTTTAACTTGCTTTTAAAATTTCATCGGCAAGTACCTTATTATCATTTAGATGCTAGCGAATAGAAACCTAGACTAACTGCATGAGAGATTACAATAAATACCCAAGGCACTAAGTAATTAATTCGATTTACTGTTTTTAAATACAATAAATAAAATTGATCTAGTTCACATTATTATTGCCAAAAATAGAAATGTATAGTGCTTATAAATTAATACAATAAAATACCTGTATTATGAATAAAAAATATTCAGTATTCCAATAAATAATAAAAATGGAATAATCAATAAGTAAGGAAATATAAAATAAATTGTGTATAAATAATTTAAAACTTACACATAAATAAAAATTAATTCAATCGCCGTGGATTCAGATTTGTCTGACGTCAGATTCGCCTGTAACACCGGTTTCGATTTAAAAATTTATCATCAGGTAAAATCAAAAAGTAAAACGCGACTAAATATGAAAAAATTATACAAATTGGTCATTTTACATAGAAATAGTTTATTTAAATAGGAGAGATTATTAAAAATGAGTTATTATTAGACATAGATATGTTAAGAAATACAAATTATTTGGTTATTATTTATTATCTAAAATGTATTGATTTAAGATATTTTTTTTAAAATCTGTTTGTACCGTATAATATTATTAGAATTATTTTTCTTTATTTGATTGTGTATGTGTAATTCTTCTAGAACTGAATTAATTTAAATGTTATTTTGAGTATTTAATATTTTTAAAGTCAGTATTAATATCAAAATAACTTATGTATTGGTTATTTTCTAAAACATGTTTAGCGAAATTTGAATTTGGGGTAATCTTTTAGATTCTGAGTGGAGCGAAGAAGCTTTTAGTTTTACAGAAATGTTTATTTTTTTTTCTGTGGACAATTTATCTACCAGAGAATTTGCTCTGATTTTACGTGTAGAACTTTTTCTGAAAGGAAATCGGTATGGGAAGGTACTTTAGTGTGGTAATTTTTCGATTTTCTCAAGAGTTTTCTCATCAAATTTGAAAAACCAAAAATAAAAACTAAGGAAAAACGGGAAAAATATAGGAAATATAGGGTAAATTTTAATTTTGGAATTAGGAATAGGAAGTTTACCATAATATGACATATTATATATTGTTGACAAAGCAGCACTATCAATTAAACTTCACTTAGAATCGTTTTTTCGTTAGCAATGGTTTACAGATGTACATTAAATTACTTATAATAGTGGCTGCACCCGACCCCATTAGGAGGTCTTTTTTAATTCTGTTTCAGAAATATGTTCTTCATATCTTATTTTAAAATTTAAATTTGTCTTACCTATATAAAATATGACAGTTACATTTAAGTTTATATATACCAGTATTTTTAAAAGAAGGGGGAATTTTTGTGAAGTTTTTAGTTTTATTATTTATAGCGTTGATTAAATTATTATTAGTCTTAAAAGCGATTTTTACATTATTGTATTATTGTTCAGAATTTTAGTGAATTTGTTAGACATATTATTTTGATATTTCATAAATAGTTAACAACATTATTTGGTGAGTTGTAAAATAACCATAATATAAATTTTGTTATGAATACACACTTGGATTCTGCGGTGTATTGGGGGGTGTATGGAGGTATACGACGTAAAGGTACTCAATACGCTATTTTTATCCATGGCGTATAGCTTATGACAAATTGATGATACTAAGGTTTATCACCATATCTACCATAAATTCTACATGGCAATTATAAATACCTATTATATATTTGTATAAATTATTGTAAAATACATTTTGATGAGCACGAGTTGTAATACAGGAGGTAACACGTAACACGAATATTTAGTCTTTTCTTTACGAAATTATTATCATTTAAAAATGTAAGATTTTGTTATCAGTTTTGTTAACAGGTATTCATAATCAAATTATCCATAAAAGGTGATATATTGTGAGGAGGACTTTGGTTGACCGAATACCACAATCATTTATCATAACATTTAATATAATTTTGTATTCATATTGTAAAGTATTTATATTACCAGTTGAGTGATGAATGATGATAATATTATACTTAATATTTTTTATTATATTCCGTATATTTTCTTGTTTTCTTCCGTTTTTTCAGTTTTTCACATTTTATGAGAAATCTCCTAAGAAAATCGAAAAATAACCTCCTTAAAGTACCTTCCCAGTCTGATTTCCTTTCAGACAAATTGCTATATATCATTGTAAATCGGAGTAAAATAATAAGTAAATAAATATCTGTGTAAAACCATAAGCTTCTTCGCTCCACTCAGAAAATACAATTTAAAATTTAAAAATTAAAATTAAAAAATAAAACAATTTTGGATCCTATCTTTAAATCTTTATATAAGTATACATATATATACGTTAACAATGCGTATACTCACGGTTTATTTTAGCAATACACCACTGGAAATATTAAATACCCAAAATAACATTTACATTAATTCAGTTTTAGAAGAATTACACACACAATCAAATAAAGAAAAATAATTTCAATAATATTAAAAATATACAAACCAATTTTAAAAATATCTCATATCAATATTATAATTATTATTAATTACTATTAATATAATAAATAATAACCAAATAATTTATGTTTCTTAACATATCTATGTCTAATAATAACTCATTTTAAATAATCTCTGCTATTAAAATAAATTATTTCTATACAAAACGATAAATTTGTATAATTTTTTCTCTATGTTTCCCTTCATTTATTTTCTCATATCAGTCTTGTTTTACTTTGTGACTTTATGATAACATTACGATTTACTCGATGATGAAATTTTAATTCGAAACCCGTCGTACAATACACATATCATAATACTCCAGACGACGAATTAGTTTATTTATTTATACATATAAATTATTTATTTAAACATTTGTTTACGAGTGTTAACCATTTAATAGTTTTGTTTTTACTTTATTATTTTATTTATCAGTTTTTATTTTTAAATGATATATTGAACGTTACATCTTGTTTGCTCTCCGGGCTTGCTCTCTCAATATTAACTTTTAAAAGTTCTGGTTAAACGGTGAAAAGGGTGGTTATGATCATAAATTATAGTGTGGCTAGGGGTACATAAAACAACAGGGTTTTGAGTAAAGTGATAAGTAATTATTAATTCAGTGAACTTTTTTTTTTGTAGACAGACAATGCTAACATTGATATATAACATGACTCTAAAATCGAATAACTTGACATCCGTATAATTACTCATTGTTCCAAAGATAATATATATATTGTATACAATTGTATTCTGTATTTTTTGACGAACTTATTATTATCATTGCCAAAGCAGTGAATACTTTGTAAACAAATATAATATAAACAAATATAAATAAACAAATATTTTAAAATAATATTACAACCAGTATGTTTATTCTGAAGAATATAAATTACATTAATATAAAATATAAAATAAATAAAATCCTTGTTGTATATCTGAAATCTTTCCTCAGATTCAAAAATAATTTTTATCTATAAAACTATAACGTAACCAATAGTTTCCCGTGAAGAACGAATGTACAATTCTTTAATCGGGGTATCCATTGAATCTGGATGATAATGTAATATGTTTCGGTTTATGATTTGTATGACTTTCTTTTCTACTAACATTTCTTCAAAATCTATTTCGTCGGAATTATAAACGCCTGGTACATGAATACAATACTGAAAATAATAAAAAATCAAACGTAAAAATTAAAAGTATTTTTGGATTAAAAAAAAGTACTGTAATGATGTGTACAATCATCAATTATTTAATAAAACCATAATTAACAGCGATTTATATTAAATCATATAAAAAAACATTATGTTATATACCACAACATTACTTAATAATCAAACATTAATATATTATTAACAAACTATACTATGTATTATAACTGTGTGCCATTATACCATCTAATGTCGTATTTAAAATCAATAAAAAACAACGACAATCTCACTTCAAAACATAAAAACCTCACGCTCACCATCTCAACACCTCCCGTCGAACATAAACCTAGGCTACGACTAGCCATGTTCATCTATAAAATATATCAGTGAAATGCATTTGTTGTTGTATTTTATTCAACTTTACCTCGTCTTTTTTCTAATTAAACTCGCCCTCCTGCTCAACCGTATTATAGGAAGGAATCTACCGATTACATGTCTTACATAAAGTAGTAAATGATTTAGGTACATATCTAAATATATTTTCATTTATTATAGTACACACTATTCGTTGTAGTGAATTTCTTAAAATTATATTATGCTTGATCGATTTTATCTAACAATATTTTATAGTAGATTACATAAACTGTAAACAATTTAAGGAATTCAAAATATCAATCGACATTCAATAACTTTTTTTTAATATAAATATAATTTGATAATTTCTGATACGTCGTTATCATAATGTTGCCACAGAGCATATTAAAAAATCAGATATTGTGTGTTTTAAATTTTAAATTATTCTAAAAACTATTTGTAAATAATGTATAGATGCTTTTATTTATCTATTAATTTTATTGAAATACAGTTTTAAATTGCTTGTAATAATGCATTCTAATTAGATACTTACATCCATTAGTCCATTGATACTTGATTTTTCCACATTGATATTTCTATTAATCACCATGACTTTTGTGAGCACCTTGTTCGTAAACGGTTTTAATGCGAGTATAGTATTTAATTTCGAGCGTATTGAATTCAATGCCTTTAGAGTCTTGTCAGAATCCGTTGTTACGCCATTTGATGATAAGACTTTCGGTAATTCAGTAGTCCAACCGCTTTTTGTTACCAGTTTTTTGGCCACCTAAATATTTCCACTTAGTGTAATTATTAATAAATACTGTAAACCTAATAATAAAGTAGATTAATCTTACAGTATTGCTGATCTGGAAATAGTTCCATATCAATTTAGCGTTAATATTCCCGTATTGGTTTAAACTGGTAGTCCACTCTTGGAATACGTTCGGTAGTCCCTCTAAAAGTGTCAAACTCACTGCGATATCTTCCGCCTCTAATATTTGTGCCATTGCGATACAAACGGCACCGCCCCATGATATGCCGATAAGAGAAACCATTTTGCATTTAGTGATCGTTTTGAGTTTCTAAATTATGAAAACATAAGTTTTTAACAAACTATAATAATACGCAATTTTCAAATTTTATCAAACTGTTTAAATTTTACAATAATTATATTATTCCCAAATTAAGCTAATATAATAGTGTATCGAGAAAATGTTTATTTTATTTTGTTTTATAACGTCGTTAATACCTGTACGAGTATCGTTGCTATGGATTCAATTGAATCGATGGTTTCAGGCAATCTGGCTTCGAACGTTGGATAAATGATATTTTCATACAATCGTTTTATTTTTCCTGGTTGGAATCCCGGTACAACGAAAACGGGTAAACCTTCCATATTATCTGCGAAACGGGGACTTTTCGTGAATACCTCTACAAATTCGGGTTCATCTTCAAGAGTATCTGCTAAAACGTTCAGCTCTTCAATGGATTTCGGTAATTCCGCAACGATTTTAGAATAACTTTCCCTGGTAACTATGAACACACCATCACAATTCAATACAATAATATTTTAATAAATGTAGACTTAAATTTTTTTTACTAATTATACATATACCACGGTCCAGATTAATCGTACAAGTTAAACAATTACATGTATGGAAAAAAACAGACAAATTTTCGACAGTAAAATTATAATAGATTTTATGTTTTAAACAGAAATCTTACTCCAAAATTAAGGTGAAGCATATTGTTTTCTTATCGTTCGTCTTCATCCCAACTATTTAAGATTAGCCATCTTTGCCTAAATTTTTAATTTACCCGATCTTCCACCTTGCATACACTGGTTGTCCTCATATCATCCTCAATCGTATCCACCTCTTTCTCGATCTTCCCCCTCTTTTCATCTAAATTTATTTTTATTACAATTCTTACTGCTTCTAATTCCTCTCTCTAATATGCCCAAACAGTCTCAGATTATTTTCTCTCATTTTGTCTGCAATTGAAGCCACGCCTAACGCCTAATCTATCTCTTATATAGAGTATGTACTGAATCCTAACTTATTTTATCTCTTCACTAATCTCATCTTTACTACACACTTTCTCTCTTCTATTTCCCTGTCTATTGCCCAACACATTAAACCATATAACATAGTCGGTCTCATTAAAATTTGGCAGAACTTACTTTTAAGTCTCATTGTAATTCTCTTGTCGCATAAAATACCTAACGATTCTTTTTACTTTATACAACCACACTTAATTCTATGTTTCACTTCCTCGTCAAAGCCACCGTTCTTTGTAAAATAGATTCTAGGTACTTAACTCTTAACCTCACCTGTAACCGCTCTGTGAATTTAGAGATATTTATGGTTTATTTAATAATTTAGAAAAATCGATAAAATAGTAGGAAAACGAGAAAATTGCGGAAATAAGGATTTCATTATATTAAATTTTAAATTGATTTTGTTTTTGTAAGATCCGGAGTGCAACAAGGTAAAAAAATAAAACATTTGAGCCATTTTTGAGCTATTTATAGACATTTAAATTTTGTTATATTTTTTTTACGTAATTTTTATTTATTAGACTAAACAAAAATGTTTTTCAGTGTAATACATTTTTTTTATAAGAGTTTTAATATAAAATTTTGATGAAAATCATAAATATTTCAACCTCTCAAAACATGTATAGCTGAACTTCGCTCCAAATCATTTTTCGTTAGCAATGGCCAATGGTTTATCTTTGCTAGCAGATATAAAATAAATAACTTTATGTATCCTAATTTCCCAATTTCCCACTTATAATAGTAGCACATGCGTTCCCATTACCACATCTTTTTTAGATTCGAAGCGTAGCAACGAATCTATTGGTTTTACTATGAATTGTTTGTGTTTGTGTGTGCAAGAAACTTTTCTATCAGAAATTTTGCTTCGAAGTAACAAGTGTAGCCCTTTTACTGAAAGGTAATTTTATCTAGTTGGTGCAACGAGGAGATTATTTAGAATTTCTAAGGAGTTTTCAAAATAACCGAAAGAAAATTGCAGGTAAAATGCAAAATATTTACGGCTCACTGCTGGATTACCATTTGTATTGTTTCTAATTTTCACAAATTATGTTTTTTACCAGAAACATTGCTCCCATAGAAAAATGACATGTAATCGGTTTCGTTCCTTTTGACATATTGCTACTAACAAGAAAGTAATTTTTTGATATCCAAAGTAGTTTTCATAATAATCGGAAAAAACCAAACAGGACGAAAATACGATTTTTCAAATTGCGACACGATTTCATTATTTTAATTTTTGTTTTATTTGATTCAGTTAAAAATATTCGAAGAGACATGATATTTTAGCAAGAAACTTATGTTTGCTTTTTATAGACGGGATAAAACTTTCAAAATTGTTTAGTTATTTTTGAGCTATTAATAGTCATTTTAATTTTATGAGTTTTTACGTTATTTTTTGATAGGTACTCTTATGATAAATTATTATTATACTTAACAAAAATATTTTAAAATTTGATATGAAATTCATTATAGTCGAACTTTTTCGTTAAAAAAAATTTGGCTAAGCCAATATGTTTTTTTTATTCATTCTAAACTATGATGTTGATGTTGTTCATAAAGAACATTTAATTACCAATTATTCGTTTGTTGTATTCAGTGCATATGATGGTAGACGAAGAAATTGTATTGATATTAACTAAAACTTTGTCTAAAGATGGTAATATATTCGAAAATGTTGGTTCCGTTTCCATCGAACTCCATGAGAGATTAATGGCATTTGGACAAACGCCATTAGCCCTTAATTCTGCAAAAATCTCGTCTCCACCGCTCATAATACATACAAACCAAGGCTTCGAATTCTTCAATGATTGGAGATTTTCAAATGCATTTTTAATATTGTATATCTTGTTTTTATCGTCACTCTGTAATTAATAATCAATTTAAATGAACCATCAATAATTAATAATTAAAAATAATAATAATAAATATTAGTACCAATGTGGCGAAAAGTATTCCTCCGAGGGGAGTTGTGGTTGTTGTTTCCTTTAATAACTGAATTGAATCTTCTTTTGAGTTCAAGTATGAATCCGATACTATTTGAACCATGGTATTTTGGTATCGTGCCATAAGTAAATTTAACCTAAATAAATTAATGAATAAAAAAATTATAAAAAAAAAATTATAACCGACCATCGTATAATTTCCATCAAACTAAAATATGATTAAACAAAATTGATTGTTCATAAAATACCTTCTAGACGCTATCGTAGACATAGCGTATTTTTTTAAGGCTACAACAATTTTTTGAGCACCTCTCACTGTCAGCCATTCTGCAAGATCAATCCAAGTGCTATATTTGCTTCCTAAAAATATAATAATTATAACACAATTTGAGATTTTTAAACATTAGTTATTATTTATTCATATTGTTTTTCTTACCGACAATTAAATATACTCTATTTGAATAACATTTGTATTTTTCATATCCCGTATCTATAACGGATTTTACTAATGTCTTTTCTCCTTCTAACGATAAAACTACTCGTTTAGATTCAATACCTTGAGACGATAAACTGTATTTTTTTTTTAACAGTATAAACAAATTAATAAAAACCATCTATTTAAAAATAAAATAAATAAATTAGGTACTTCAATGCTTTAATGGCTTGTTCTCCTGTGCAAGTCCCAGTCAATACATGCCTGTCAAACGGTTTAACAATACCTAGTTCTATTCCTTTTTGTACATCCTTTTGAACTCTTAATTTTATATTACAGTCTTGGCCCAAAAGTCTGTCTAGACTAACCCCATAAAAAGCAATGACTTTCAAAAAGATAAACATTCCTGAAAAAAATTTGCAATTTTTAGACAAAATCGATTTGATAAGTACCTATGCAAATATATAATAACTTGAACATTAATGTTTTACCTAGTTTATTTTTCTTTATCATGTCGGATCTTGTTAGTTGGAAAAATTTTCCCATAGTCGATAGCGATCGAACCGACGCGTAGAACTCACTTCCGCTAAGACAGTTCAATATCATAGATACACCTTTTCCCTTAGTAGCAAGCATGACTTGTACTTCGAAATCACTATTTTTATAACTAAAAATTCTCTTTTCTGGTAACTTCAGAACAATCATAATATAAGTATTTATATTCACTATTATCAATTAATGTTTGAAATTTAACTTTGACGAAAACCCAACACACTTACCGAAGGGAACCTTTTCCTAAGCAACCTAGCTTGATCGGCATTTTCAACTGTGGTATAAATATCGTAACCTTCTTGTAAACCAATAGCTATAGCTGCTTGTCCAAAAGCGTTGAATCCAGCGTGTATGAGTATTGTACTCAAAGTTAATTTATCATTTGTTGTCGTTAAAACATTGAATATATAATATGCCTACAACAGTATAATAGTAAAATATAATTTTAAAATTAATATTGGTAATTTAATTAATAACCAATGCATATGGAAGTGGTACAGTAGCCGCGTCTTCTAATGACCAGTCCGGCGGAATTACCCACATTAAATATGGATCGGGTGAAATTTTCTTAGAAGTATTTTTTTCAAACGGAACGATTCCCATAATCATTTTGCCATCAGCTGTCAGACCAGAATATTCTAAATGACCTAGTTCATTCTAATACAAAACAAAAAAAACTGCTAACACACCTATAAATACGCTTAGAAATTAATAATTTAAAATCTAAAAAAAAAGTCAACTTGTAAAAATAACATTTTTATTTTTCCAAGTAAATAATGAATTGTACAAGTTTTGAACCAAATACGCTATTTGGCGAAATATTATACCTACATTTATGACATTGTTTACGGTTATATCCTGGAAGTTAATTCCTAAGTATTTAACTTTAAATCCATCTAATCTGAAATCCAAAATATATTAATTTTAATAACAAATTTAGACACAGCATCATCAATATTCAATATATAATAATAATTAAGAATTATATTTGTGTAGGTAATAGATATATGAAAATGTTATATCAATTCTAGAAAGATAGAAAGAAGCAGATTGGTTAATAAAAATTAAATATTTTTTAAGTTAATCAATATAGAATAAATCTGTTAAAGTTTGTTTAGTTAATTTGGTTTTCTATCTAATAAAAACGATCGAATTTAATGACTTGGTTATTTTTCACTATACTCTAATACGTAATACGACTTTAAAGTTATTGAACTTAATAAAAAGTTTATTTCCGATTAATACTTTTCAAACATTTTAACAATATTACCTCATATAAATACTATTTTACTCACATTACAGAGTTCATTTGAAAATTTTTAGGATTTTCATGATTGTTATCAATAGGAGTTATAGAATTTGAATTTTCCACAATATTTCTGGCAATAGTTCCCCATTTACCGTCTTTGTAAATGTTCAAAAACACATTTTTTCGTAATTGTTCTGCATATAATTCATTATGAACATTGAAATCCAGATCACATTTATCCAAGATGAAAACAAATCTAAATAATAAATTTGTTTGCTTATTTTTTTTAGTAAAATAAAATGTTTATTTAACTATGCTAACTTAATCAACTTTGAACTATTCTTAATTAAAATTTCCTCAACGAAGCTTGTCAACTTTACAAACGGTATCACTTTTGAACAAATATAAAGATAACTTTTACTTTTTTTGCATTCTGTCAAAAGAATATTAATTTCATTATGAATGTTTTGAAAGTTTATGAAATTGTCTACTTGCAAGTTTATAATGGATTTTTCTCTGATCTAAAATATAACAACTTGTAGGTTAGAAGAATTAATTTGTTACCTAACCTTAATTAACAAAAACTCAGAATAGGTAACCTTTTTTATCAATGCTAAATAGTGTCCGTTAAATTTTTGTTGCATGATAACAGTCCATTCTTTGTTACTGAATATTTGTTCGTCCGATAAAACCAGTAAATTAACTTTTTTCTTATTTTTTAAAGTTTTAATAACATTTTCAATTTGACCTTTAGTTATTAACACCACATTTTGTACTTTGTTCAAGAAATTTTCCGGAGTAGAACTGTCTAAGCTCACAATCGAGTGCTAAACAAATTTAAAAACATAGGTATAATTTATAAGTTTCATAAATAAAAATGAATAATATAGAATATAGTATAGGTAATCTAACTTGAATTCCTATCTGATTGTCGAATATTTGTTTCACTAGCGTAAGATATTTAAACATTGTTTGTTCTTTCTCGCTGTAGTAAATATGAAAATTATTCAACATTTTCTGGTTTAATTGATATTTTATAGATCCGAATATAATTTGTAAACAATTATTAATAAAATTAACTTCATTCTAAGGAAAAAATATACATATATTATATTTTTCATTAATTTAAAATTATATGAATGTTAGGCATTATACATTAAAATTAGGACTGCTTAAGTTTATAAACCATTCTTCTTCTAGACGTAGTTTAAAGGGATTTAATGAACGTATTGTCATCGGTTTGATTTCTGGATGCAATATATATAATCCTTCGCCTTTTATTTCGTTGGTTTTAAAATTATAATGTATTGGAACGTCTGAAATATTAATTAAATAAATTTAAATATTGTTTTCTTTATTTATTTTTTTTATTGAAACATAAATGTAATATTATGTAAATACCTCCATTGTTTGAACAAATTTTAGGATCAAAATAGGTAAGTAATTACTAATAATGTGTAGGATTTTAATTTTCACTTCACATGAAAATTAAAATTCACATACAGAATTATTAACTTTCTTACGTACCTTTTCCAATTAAATCTTGAAATTTAGAAGGATCAATACAAATTTGACGAATACTTGTTATTTCTGCAGGACTGTTGTTATTTTCCATACTTTTATGAATGAGAAAAGTAAAAATCCCGTTCATAAAAAACAACCAATTGTCGCTCCATTTAATATTTCCTTGGTATTCTTTTTAAATAAACATAATATTGACAAATTAAATCGATATTCTATAAATACCTGATTGAAATGTATTACAATATATTATAATGACAACAAAATATAAAAAATATTTTATAGATAAATGTACAGATCATTTATTAAACATAACTGGTTATAGTTTTAACTATACAGTGTTCACTAATTTACACACTAGTAACTCAAAAACTCAATATACAGTAGAGCATTATATTTCAGTTTTATTTTAACAAATATGCATAATACATTTCAATTTGAAATAATATTATTAATGTTACATCTACCTTCAAAATATAAATCAATATTGGTCACAGTCATGAATTTTTCCCCGAGCTCGTATCCATGGTGTTCCATCAATGTGTATAAATCATGTTTTGTTATTGAACTATGTGGAATATCTGACACAACTGTACTTGGATACTTCATTTTTGGAGACATCACAGTCATATCTATCAGATCTGGTTGATATATTTTCCCCGAGAAGATTAATTGTTCACCTAAGCATACCTCAAAATAACCGGACCCACATTGTATGAGTGAATAAAACTCCAAAGAATCTAAAAATAATAATTTAACAGATTTATTCAAATAATTATTACAAGTCTACCTAAAATTGTTAATAAAAAATATAAGATACATCTTGAATTCTTAAATAATACAATTATAAATTATAATTGGTAAAAATTTTAATAATATGATTAATTAATATTTAGTCTATTCTTAAAAAATAAAATTGTGTATAATTCAAATGTTATCTTTAACATTAAAAATAACACAGAATTATTTCTAAATAAATTAATAAATGTTGCATGCTTTATAAGTATAATTTAATAATTACACATAATACAAACACTCTCACCATTGGCCATAATTTCAATGTTCTTATAAAAATTTAGATCTTGAAATGCAATGAGCCCATCAAAATTAAATTCGTTTTTTATATTTAAGAATAATTTCCACACGCGAATCTAAAAAATCGCATAGAAGTTATTAAATTTAAATTCTATAACTAACGTTGAACTTACTAAAAAATATGATATAGGAATAATGTGTCTTCCATTTATTTTATAGTTAAATAAATTGTTTTCATTGTCTAAAGAAATCGTAAACCGTGTTTCCCCTGGAACTTTAATACCCTAAAAAAAGTTACATAATTTTATTAAATTTAGTTCATTCCAGTTAACTTTTAAGTAGGATTAGAAAATACTATAATCTTCTTCTTATTATTCTCTTCCTTCATCACAACTATTTGGGATCACCAGGCCTAGTTATAAACTTCCACTTAACCCGATCACTTCGCACACACCGGCTTTCCTCATATTCTCAGTCACACACAACCATCTCTTTTCAGACTTCCTCTTCTTTTTTTCCCACCCACATTTATTTTCATTACAATTCTTACTGATTCAGATGCCTTCTCCTCGTGATACGCCCAAACTATTTCAGTCTAATTTCTCTCGTTTCATCTACTGTTAAAGCAACGCTTAAGTTGCCTCATATGTATCCATTCTTTAATCTATCTATTTCTGTCACCTATTCTTCCACATAAGCATTCTCACCTCACACATATCTCTGATCAATTATTCTGTGAACTGCCTAACACTCCGAACTACACAACATAGTCAATATCATCATATTTGTGTAGAACTTAACTTTAAGTCTCATTGGAATTCTCTAGTTGCATGAAACACCTAATGCTTCTCTTCGTTTTATTTAACTAAAGTTAAAAACGCTTTTAGATTTTGAGTGGAGTGAGAATGTATTGATTTTACAATGATGTTTATTATTATTAGTTTTTTTATGGACAACTTTTCTACCAGCAATTTTGCTCCAATTTTTAAGTGTAGCACTTTTTCTGAAAGAAAATCTAATTGAAATGATACTTTAACGATGTTATTTTTTGATTTATCCAGTTGTTTTCATAATAAGTTGGAAAAAATATGAGAAAAACTGGAAAAAAACGTAGGAAAACTGGACAATTTAGAAAATGTATTATTTTAAAATCGTAAATATTACGGCCTTTCAAAACATGTGTAACCGAACTTTACTTAGAATCGTTTTTTGTTAGCAAAAATTAATCGTTATGTAAAAATAAATTCCTAAAATTTTTCCAACTTCTCACTTATATCAATGATTCATCAAGCAAAATATATGTTTTCGTATCTTGGTTTTACTATAATATGTGTATTTTTATTTTTTTATTTTTTTTTTTTTTTGATGTCTAAAGTATTTTTCAAAATAATTAGAAAAAACTATAAAAGGACGAAATATACGATTTTTTTCAAATTATGGCGTAATGATATCATTATTTAAAATGTTTACGGTTTCTGGTTTCCACCATACATATTGCTCCAATAAAAAAACATCAAGAGATCTTTTTTGTTAAATTTTTTAATCTATAGTCCGACCGGCAAGAGAACTTTACTGGGTGGCAACCAAAATTCATCTGCTCTCACGCATTTCTATAGCGAGTAGGTAATAAAGTGGGAGAAATTTGGACACGAAACCGTGGAGCTCATTCATTTAGATGTGCGAAAGAGCAAGCGTTCTCTCGCTGACCGGAGTATAGTTGGTGAAGAAGGAAATCGTTTTTTGATTTTCTTTTTAGTTTTTTTAATAGTTGAGCAAAATCGAAAAAAAATGCAGAAAGTACATAAAATTTGATCCGTTTTTGAGCTAGTTATAGACATTTAATTTTGTGAATTGTATACGTAATTTTTATTCGGTACATACTGTGTAGATAAAATGATTAGACTAATTAGAAATTCTTGAACATTTTACAGGAGGTTACTTAAATTTCGTACTTTTTGTTCAAAAAACAATTTAAATTGTATGTGCCTGATATTATTTTTTTATAAAGGAATTTTAATATCAAATGTTGACAAAAATCGTTTGAAAAAAAAATTATGTGGAACAATATTGCCGATTTTATAGTATGTCTATCGTAATATAATTAATATGTACCACCGTCTGTGGTGGTACGTACTTGTTATTCCAAGGATCGCAGTTCAAACCTGAGTTCCTTAAAAAAATATTTACCAAACCCGTGCCAGGTAGGTAACAGGGAAAATACAAATTAATTCTATTTCAAAAAATAATATAAAGTGAAATGTAGTGTTTTTTCTTTTTTATAGGTTTAGAATCAAATCTTTATGAAAATCGTAAGTATTACGGTCTTTAAAAACATTCATAACCGAACTTCGCTCCGAATAGTTTATTATTACCAATGGTTTATCATTGGCTTCAGTTATAAACTAAATAACTTTATATATCCCACCTTACGCATTACCCCTCTACAACAGTGACCACACTTCTCCAGTATCAGATCTTTTTTTTATATTTATCTATTTTATTTATTTTTATTTACCAATTAATCCAAAAATCCATTATACAACGTATTGTGATTATTTCCCGCATTAGATTTTATTTTTAAATTTAATATTTTACATCGAGTACACACTATAGCAGTGGAATGAGAAATGGATGGCCAGGTTATTGCAGAGACAAGACTAGTTTTTTTTTCCACTGCATTAGTGTGCTCCTGGGCTTATTGGGTAAAACATAAAGATTTAATATTTAAATCTAATGCAGGAAATGGGTAGAATGCGTTGTATAATAAATTCTATACTATTGATAAAACAAAAATTTAATTATAAATAGGTAAAACAATAGTAGTTATAGTTTTGTATTCGCTATTCTATATTATATCTATTGATTTTGTATAATTCCTAGACAAATTATACATTTTTCATTTTATAAATATTTTTAAAATCTGATTTTTATAATTTACACATATTTATATCTAATAATAAAAGTTTAAACAAAAAATCTACTCGGAGTCATTAATCTTTGAACGTTATAAATTGACTCCCAAATTAATTAACATACTGTATTGATATTTAATATTATACATTTTGCCGATTACTTATTACCTGGGCATACAAATAATTATTGTTAAATTATGGAGAAAAATATAAGTAGTCAATTATTAAAGGATTATTAGAAAATGTTTGATTGTATATGATTTGCATTATAAATAGGCATTTAATTATAAATGCAAACGTTTTACAACGATATAATACTAAATAACGATAAAAGCAAAAATTGTGTATTGTTTTAATTCTAAATAATGTGAAACGAACTTATTTTCTCAAAGACAAGCCCTGCTTTTAAGTAACAAGTATAATAATTCTCCCTGTCAATTTATTGTTAGTTTTTTAGAATGTTAAAACTTATAAGACCCTTGTAAATTAAGTTGAAAATTAAAATGTATTATCTTTAAAACATGTATAAAACTAAACTTACACTTTGCACCATACTCTTTAATTTCCAATTCTCTGTATGGTCCCAAGGCAATAAAGAATGTAAAGCTTGGGTTTCTCGACTAACCGGATAATTTATTAACGGATAAAATGCTTCAATATTAGGATTCATGCCATTCATATACATCCTACAGAAAATTAATTATTTTAAAGTGTTCTTGTCTCAGACGTTTTTGATAACATAAAAAACACTTGCTTTCCAAATGCGTTTAATAGAAATCTGACCGAATCCTTAGAAGTCCTGTTCGTTAGAGGGATTTTTGTTACTTTACTGGGTAACGATCGTTTAAGAATAGCCTGCAAGAGTCCATGTGGAGCAATTTCTATAGTAATAGCATCTTCGGGTATATGGCGGGAAGCTTCTTCGAATAAAACTTGTCCCAAGAGATTGTTGGTGTGGTACTCGGGTGAACTGGTTTTCGCCAGTTCACTATCCCATTCAGATTCTGGTATAGAGCTACTAATCCATTTCGACGACCGAGGCTTTGATTCGGGTATAACCTTTTAAGTAAAAACATAATCAATAATTACAATATTGGAATATGTAAATACAAAAACCAAATACCAAGTTTTATTATTTAAATATTACTTCTTTCAAATACTGGAGTAAAGTCGGGGCGGCTGGTTTTATGTATTGACTGTGGTATGCAATATTAGAGACGTTAACGGCCTTAGCAAATACTCCTTCGGATTTTAATTGTTGAACAAAACTTATTACGCTGTCTGCCGGACCTGACAAGGTACTGCTGTCGGATGCATTATGACATGCGACTTCGACATCGTGCGGTAGTCTGTTTTTGATATCATTATATCCTAAACCTATTGCAGCCATCATTCCATTGATGAGTTTCGTCTCAATTGAAGCTCGACCTCTCGCGTGTGCAGCTAGTATCATTTGTTCAGCAGTAAAGCAACCGTCGGCATAGGCGCATCCCAATTCTCCAACCGAATGACCAATAATGCCATCAGGTAATATATCAATGCTTTTCAAAACATCTACTAGACCTATCTACATAATATATATATAAAAAATAATAATAATAATAAATTTAAAAAATGTATTCATAAGAACTGATTTGATACTTGTATAATATAACATTAAATAAACCTGTATCGCAGCTATGCCGACGAATGAATTCAATATATTATCGAAAAGTTTTGGATCTTCGCTGGTTAAAATTTCGATAAGATCAACACCCTTTGGCTTTAATATAGTTTCACATTTTTGTATAGAATCAGCGAATATAGGTATAGTTAATAATTGTTTTCCCATACAGTTCCACTGAGATCCCATTCCAGAAAATATAAACCAAATGGGCCTTTTAATTACAGCTGGAAGATACTGTAAATAACAAATAATGATAAATTAAAATTCATATGACAACTAACGTCTTATTATTCATACCGATATCTGTTCTTCTATTCCTTCGTTTTTGTCAGGAAGTACACAAAAACTTCTGCTATAATGAGTAGTCATTGATTTATAAAAAACACTTTGTAAAAGAGCAGCGAACTCTTCGTCCATTCGGGTGTTTTTTATATGTTTTAAAAGTTTTTTAACGCCGTCTTCGTTTCGACCAGACACGAGAATCAGTCTAGCTAAACCGTCATCAAACATTTCTCCTTTTTCATAAATCTTTTTTTTGGACTTATTATTTTGTTTCAAAATCAAATGACTAAAAGAATTACATAAACCAAACGCACTGATACCAACAGTGTCTCCTTCTAATGGAGTTTTTTCAGTGACTACCTAAATACATATTTATAAAATATCATATTTAACAAATATTGAAATAATAATATCGGAAACTATATTTTATACACACTTTTAATTTTCCCGATAAAAGAGCTGGACAATCCGGATTCGGCCCTAAATAGTTGATATTTGGAGGTATGTAACCTGAATCTAAAATAATGAGCACCTTAGCTAACGAGACTAAACTTGAAGCGGCTTCACAATGACCAACATTACTCTTTACTGAACCAATTTTTAATGGTTCTTTTCTATTCGGAGTACAAAATACTTCACTCAAGACGTTTAATTCCATTGCATCTATTTTCTATATACAGAACATAAAATTATAGTGGCATATAATAATAATGTATTAACTCGTGCTCAATAATCGTTAATTATACAAAATGTATAATTAATTATTAGTAGGTACAACTTATTTATAAATGTTAAATAATAATACAAATTTAACAAGTATACCTTAATACCCAATCCTTCAGCTTCGACAAATGCTACTTTAGCTGGATCAACACCGGCTTCTTTGTAAGATTTTAACAGAACTTCTTTATAAAGATTATCGGAATAATGACAAAAGTAATCTTTCGTTTCTCCAAATATACTAATAGCGCTCAATAAAGTACCATAAGATCGTTTGGCTTCAGTTGATTTTTGTAAAAACAATGACACGCAAGATTCTGCCCGGTTTGTACCGTTCGCTAAATTAATATCCAATTAAATATAAATTTATATGATATGGAATTCAAATATAATAACACTTATACCATCTACGCTAAATGATCTAGTTTCATTTGTATTATTCAATCGTCCCAGTCCTTCGTATTGAAGGGATATATTTGGATTCAAGCATAAATTACACGAACCCACAATTGCCGCATTAATCACACCATCTTCGATCATTTTTTTTGCTCTCATTAGAGATTGTGATCCGCCTATCCATGTCGAATCGGTCGTATAACTAGGTCCTACATCAAAATAAATAACTTGTACACTATTTACATTTAAACGGCATTATTCTTTATAATAGTTTGATGTTATTATTCACCGTTTAAGTTAAGAGAGTAAGATAGACGATTGGCTTGCATTGCTCTATTATGACCTAAAAGACCAAATCCTTTTTGATGTGTATCTAAGACTTCAAAAAACTCTGATTCACTAATACACGAATTCATGAATACAGCAGTATTGGTCCCGGATAAATCAGCTGGATTCAGACCTAAAATAACAAATAATTTAGGTGATATAAAATATGTAGAACAGTTATGCCGTACCTGCATCGACTATCGCTTCCACGGATCGTTCTAAACAGAGTCTAGTTAAAGCATCTAAACTCTCGGCCATTTTTCTATGCATACCGAAAAATACGTAGTCAAATTTTTCAGGATTACGTAGTTTTCCGACTCCATGCGGTGTCCCTAATAAACCTGTCAAAATAAAATGTTTAGAAGAATCTAGCAGAAATACAATTTAAATTACCTAAATTAAACAGTCTACATACTTACAATAGGAACTCGGTAGAAAATTTTTTATAATAAAGGTCGTATATTGTTTTTCCAATAATGTTTATTTATTTATTTTAGATTCTAAGTGAAGCGAAGAAGTTTATGGTTTTACAAAGATATTTATTTAATTTTTTTTTTTTTTTGTGCGCAATTTTTCTATCAGAAATCTTGCTCTAATTTTTAAAACAGGACATTTTCTGAGTAGTACTTTAAGAAAGTAATTTTTTGATTTTCTCAAGAGCTTTCCCAACAAATTAAAAAAAACCGGGATAAAACATGAGAAAACGTAGAAAAACTGGGAAAATCAGTACAACATTAAACAAATATTTTTAAAGAAAATATATAAAGCCTATGTAATATAGCATATACATTGTTAATAAAGCAACAGTATCCAATGAACTCCGCTGAGAATCGTTTTTTCATAAGCAATGGTTTATTTTTCCTTACAGGTATACATTAAATTATTTATAACAGTGGCTTGCACCCGTCTCCATTAGAAACGTCTCCTAGAACGTCTTTTTTTTTTCCTTGTAAATAACTTTTCTATCGGTAATTTTTCTCCGATTTAGTATGATAGCATTTTTCTAGAATGCAATCGACTGGAAGGGTATTTTGACGAGGTAATTTTTTAATTTTCCCAAAGCGTTTTCCCAATAAATGAGAAAAACCTGGAAAAAAATGGGTAAACCAGGAAAAACGGAAAAATAGATACAGTAGTAAACAAATATTATTAAAAAAAATATAGAGGTTATTTTTTTATCATAATATGGCATATATATTGTTGACAAAACAATGCTATTAACTGAAATCCGCTTAGAACCGTTTTTTTATATAAATTAAATTTCCCCTCTAACACCTTCCTTATTTCTCACCTACAATAGTGGCTGCACCCACTTGTGAAATATGTCAGTTTTTTTTTATACTGTGTATAAAATGTCTACCATAAATGTTGCTCCGATTTTCAAGTGTAGCACTATTTTTGAAAGAAAATTTTATCTAGTTAGTGCTTATAGAGGCCATTTTTTAATTTTCAAAGCGGTTTTCGAATAATTAGGAAAACTAAAATAAAATGTAGAAAGAACGGAAAAATTATTACCGAAAATAATGTTTTTATATTTTAAATTTTATTTTTCTGTTGTCATTCAGTTAAAAATATTCGTAGACTTGAAATTTGTAGACTTATAATTGTTTTTCTAGACGAGGTAAAATTGTCGAGCTTTTAATAAATAATTTAATTTCAGGAGTTTTTTTACGAATTTTCATTTGGTAGTTACTTTGTGGATACAATTGTTACACTAAAATTAAATGCTTAAAAATTTAACAGGAAATTCATTAGAATAATACAAAGTATTCAACAAGAAAAGTTGAGTTTAATGTTTTTTTCTTTTTTTTTAATAAAAGAATTTTAATATCAAACGTTGAAAAAAATCATAAATATTACGGTCTTTTTAAATATGTAAAAGCGAGTTCCGCTCAGAATCGTTTTTCAGCAATGATTAATCATTGCATACAGATATACATTAAATTCCCCTCTATATCCTACTTCCCCAACTTCTCAGCTACTACAGTGGCCCGAACGAAGTAAGTCCGTCTTTTTTAATATCGTATTCTTAGAAGGTATAAGTGGCATATTTTTGAATTTGTTCTGGGGGACGATGAATAATTTGTTAAATAAATGTTATGTGGGTTCCCCATTTCTCCTCCTATACAGATGTATGTTTAGGTTCTGAGTTTAACGAAGAAGCTACCTTTAACGATGCATATTTTTTGCCTGATGATACTTTATTTAGATGACTAATTGAAATTCCCTATGCGCTTACCAAAAAATTGCACTTTAAAAACATTTTTATGGTAGGTAAGTTAAATATTCCGCAGTATCTTAAAAAATAGGAAATTTTTATATAGGTGGTACTTTATGTAAAACACTTTTTAAATGTTCATCAGTTTACCCCTTAGGTCTTTTGTGTGGTTTATTTTTTAGAAAATAAGTGCTTCTTCGGTTACTAAAAATAATCAAAATTATTTGCACCGTACCTTAGGTACCTTAAAGATAAAAATATGTAGATTAGGTTCAAAAATTCAATCTAACCTGGTATCCATCGTCTGGAATCTGAAGTTATGGCGTTTCCTTTACCGAAAAGAAATGCTTTAAATTCATCCAAATTTTCGCATTCTGGAAAAACGCCTCCAATACCCGATATCACTACTTCGGCTTTCTTTTCCGTCATTTTATTTAACAATTATTCAGTTAACGTTACTGTAGAAACTAGTATATGTTTAAATTCCTTATTAATGAATTTTAAAATTTAAAAAATAGTTTGATTCAGTCAAAATTAAAAGCATTAAGTGGATGGTTATTTTTTTAATTGAAAACAGTATTCCTTCATTATCGTGCAAAATCCAAAGTATGATTTGTTATATTTACCTTGATTTAATTCGATATGCTTTATTGTAGTATTGTGGATCCATTCAATTTTCGGTTAATTAATTATTATTCAAAATTGTACTTTATATCCTGAAAAGAACCATAAAGGTTAAATTAAATTTGCAATTCATATTTCTGGGATTTGACAACCGAAATAAATGTACAACACTTGTTTTTTTCGATCGAATCACGTGACCAAAAAAAAAACTGTCTATACATACACAAGTGTATATTATATTATACACTTACTACAAAAAAAGTTAAAATTTACATATTTCCTTATGTACGACTAATTTAATGCGTTTAAATATTTAGAACTGTGTTGAAATTTAAAAATAAATACCTAAACCTTCATTTTTTTTAAATACCTAGGTAAAGATATTTTCTTCACCTTTTCAGGTTATCCGGTTTTCTATAATTTATGAAAAATCTAAAATAGTTACAAAAATATTTATTAAATCTATTAATAAAGAGATATTATAATATATGTTCGATTATAAGGTTATATTGGGTCACATAATTTATACAAAATTAATAAATTATATTTTTACATAATTATTATAAGATTTTTTTTTTTGTAAGTTTGTGGCAATATTTTTTATAACCTATACAGGAAAAATAATATTACTCTATACTATATAACCCATATTGAAATTTTGACAATTTAAATTGAAATATTTTATGCGTATTAGGTATAAGGAACTGCAATCTATCAATATTATGTAAGAGATGAATAGAATTCTGTTTAGGTGAACATTTTTATCCGCAGAGCACCTACCTAATACAAATTATATAAAAACTCGCAAAATTTAAATGTCTACATATAAATAGCTCAAAAATGGCTCACTGGTTCACATGGTTTTATAATTTAGGGATGTATAGATATATTATATAATATTAAGGAGGTGTTTTGAATTTCCAAGTGGTTTTTATAAAAATTGAGAAGAATCGGGAAAACGTAGGAAAACGGTTTTCCTAACCTTTCAAAATAATTTACGAAAATAATACTTTTATTATACTTATTCAATTTTGTTATTTGTTGTAATTCAGTTAAAAATATTCACGAGGACGTGAAATTTGCTACAGAAAATGTATATTTGACTTTTCTAGACGTAGTAAAATTTTCAAAAAAAAATTATAGTTATTATGAGCTATTTATAGACATTTTAATTTTACGAGTTTTGTAGGAGTTCTCTATTTGGTATGTACTCTATAGTAAAATTGTTAGACTTATCAGAAATGCTTGAATATTAAATAGGAGGTTCATTAAATGTCGTACTATTTATGGTCTTAAAAAAAATTTGAGTTTAATATAGTTATTTTTATTTATAAGAATTTTAATATCAAATTTTGAAAAAGTAATCTTATTTTCCAATTTTTGTTTTAAACATAATATGTATATTTTCGATTTAAGAACAATGGTGGAGTCAGAATGTGGTGGGCCGAATTAGTTTCAAAATTATAGCTTTTTGAAGTTCTGATATTATGTGAATATTATGTTATGTAATTGAATGAAAAAATAAAAAAATATGAAGAAATATGAAAAAACAAATTAATTTTGGGTGTACCTTGAGACACAAGTCATTGCCCGCTCGGACTATTATAGTCAAAAAATACCCCTTGATTTGTTATGAAATCTCTTTTATCAAAAATCATGCTCTGATATATCAAGTGTAGTACTTTTCTTGAAAGGAAATTTTATCTTCATAGTATTTTAAAGAGGTTATTTTTTGATTTTCCAAATGATTTTTATAATATCTAGGAAACCGGGATAAAATGCCGGAAAAACTGGAAAATGTACGATAACCTAACCTTTTTTTAATTCTTGTGAAGAACTTTTCTACCAGCAATTTTCCTCTAATTTTCAACTGTAGCACTTTTTCTGAAAGGAACTTTAACTAGGGTTGTACTTTAGGGAGATTATTTTATTTGATTTTCCTAGGAGTTTTCAAAATAAATGCAAAAAATCGGGAAAAAACGGGAAAATAGGTACAATATTAAACATATACTATTATTAAAGAAAATAGATAATGCATATGTTTTTTTACCATAATATGACATATTATACAGGGTAGTCCAAAAGTCAGTTCCTACATAATTTCGATAAAAATAGATACAAATAAACTTTATTATCTTACAGTCCAGGAAGGAAGTAATCGTTTAGCATGTTATAATATGCATTGCCAGTTCAGTAATGTCGAGAAAGTAAGGACCTACTTCCAGACAGACTCAAACCATTCCATACTGTTAAACTGGGTTGATTTAATTGCTATAGGTACACTAAGTGTTGTTATGACAATAATTGTGAGTATACTGTGTACAAAATGTGTACAAAAAATCTTGCTCCAAAGTATCTTGTATAGCAACTTTTCTGAAAGGGAATTTTCCCGGGGTGTACTTTAAGAATATAAGTTTTTGATTTTTCCCAGTAAATAGAAAAAAATGGGAAAATAGATACAATATTAATAAAATATTATTACTATTATTATATTTTACACTTGCATACTTATTAATATAAGTATTCTTTTTATAAGTGTATTTTTGAAAACCGAAATTATCAAAACAATAAAATATTACATATTATAATAATTTATAATTTAATATTTTAAAAAGACATCTCAGGATAATAGGAAGCAGCCACTGTTATACGTAATTTAATGTTTATCTGTAAGCAACGATAAACCATTGCTTACGAAAAAACGATTCTGAGCGAAGTTCAGTTGATAGTGATATTTTGTCAACAATATATATGCTATATTATAGTAAAATAATTAAAAAAGCTCTATATATTTTCTTTATTAATATTTGTTTAATGTTGTATCCATTTCTCCGGTTTTCCTACGTTTTTCCCGATTTTTCACATTTGCTGGAAAACTCCTGGGAAAATCAAAACATGAACATATCAACTTATCATGAAGATAAAATTTCCTTTAAGAAATAAGCTACACTTGATACAGTGGAGCAAGATTTTTGGTAGAAAAATTTGCATATCAATTCAATGGGGTATTTTTTTTACGGTTAAAATAGTTTGAGCGAACGATGGCTTGGATCTCAAGGTACATCCAAATTGCGTTTGTGTTTTTCTTGTTTAGGTAAAAGGAAATAAAAAGCAAACAATTTTTATTTCAAAACACGGGTTCAAACTCGCGGACCACAGGATGCAAACAAGTATGTATAACCATTCAGCTACGACAAACATACTTTAAAGAAGAGCATATTTAGTTATTTAACATAAAATATAATATCCGTATAATATAAGAACTTCAAAAAGCTAAAAGTCAGTCTGCTCAATTCTGACTTCACCATCGTTCTTAAATCTGCAATAAACACATGTTCAAAAAAAAAAAAAAACTGAAAAATTAATTTTTCATATAATTTTTTACTCAATGGTTTTCGTCAAAATTGTAAATAAAAATTCCTTTATAACAAAAAATGTTGGATTAAACTCATACTTTCTTTTTTAAACACAAAGTAAGGCTCTTAATGAACCTTATGTTAAATGTTCAAGTATTTCTGTTAATTCTAACCATTTTACCATAGAGTACCTACCGAATAAAAATTTCGTACAAAATTTGCAAAATTACAATGTCTATAAATAGCTTAAAAATGGTTTAAATTTTTTTTTAAATTTTGCCACTTTAAGATAAAGCAAATATAAGTTTTCTGTCCAAATTCAAAGTCCATAGAATCGATACGAATATTTTTAAATAAATTTCAATAAAAATATTAAGTTTTATAAAAAGCTTAAGAATGACATGAATATTTCAAAAATTTTAACATGTATAAAAAAAGTAAATATAAGTTTATTGTACAAATTTCAAGTCTCTACGAATATTTTGAACTGAATGACAACAAATAACAGAATTGAAAAATAATAAAAGCATTATTTTCGTAAATTTCCCGTTTTTCTTACGTTTTTTCCTGGTTTTCCCCAGATATTATGAAAACCGCTTAGATTATCAAAAAAATGACCTCCTAAAAGTACCATTTGGACAACATTCCCTTTCAGAAATGGTACTGTGCTTACATATTTGAGTAAGATTTTCGGTAGAATTTTTGTACACAGTATTAAAAAAAAAATAATAAAAAAATATCTTATTAAAACCAAAACATTTTTCGCTACATTTAGAATTTAAAAATTTAAAATCATTTCACATTCACAGCTGCTAAATGTATGATTATATAATAGTAGATAATACAGTGTTATGGTTACATGTTTGTAAAATATATGGATGGCGTGTAATATAAACTATACGGGTCACGGTGGACGGAGTATTGGAAACCTGGCTTTAGATAATCCGTAATTTATTATGTTTCTTAATTCATCTGTGATGGCATTACTGATGGCACCATGAAATATTAAAGGAACATTATTAACGTTTCAAACCATAAACAACCATAAACTATAAAAAAGTAATTATAGAAAAATATTAATAGTTAAAATTATTAAAATGTATAACCTAATTGGTTTTATTAGTATTATCGTAGATTAAATAATCTATGGTATTATGATTAGAGCGACAGATGAGCAGTAGCTATACTCTCTCCTGATATGTTGGCATCATCGTTTCACATTAAGTATAGCTAGAGAGCGTCGTAGCTGTATCCATTGTATAATATCTAAGCCATGGCTAAATAACCATGCCATGATCTAAGCAATAAATATTCTATTATCACGATAGTAAATCTATTGGCGGATGCCGAAAACCACTGCTGCTGGGAAGCTCTTGTTAGTCGTTACCAGTGTAACCGAAAAATGTTACCTATCGCGGAAGAAATATGAGCGAGCCGATCTATAAGTAAAAGGTATATCGTCTATGGGTAACGGTAACGTATATCTATGATATTTTTGCGGGTTACACCAAAACACGAGGTTTAATGATAAAGTAAAAAGGAACGTTTATTTACGACATAAAAACATAAAACAAGTGCTCGCCAGCTGACGGCTTGTGGCGCGAGAACAGGCGAGCACGCAATAATTAAAACAACATAAGCTAAGAAAGACAATGTTACATAATAATTATTCGGAGTCGGAAAACAATGTATCGCGAACGGCGTCGGTGCGTAGAGTGCGAGCGGAGCGGTCGAGACGTCGAGTCGAGCGGAGCTGTGGACGATGACCGTTGAACGCCGACGGCGAGAGGCGTGGCCGACGTCCGCCGCGAGCGACGCGCAGCGGGAAGAAGAAATGTGGCGTGAAACCCGCCACAATATATACGTGTCAACCATGGTCCATAGACTTGTTAACAAATTATTTGTTAATTGGTATCAACCAATATTACATAGTTTTCATAATAAAGAAGTTACGATGCAATACATATTGTTTAAAAAAAATGCAATTGTCCAGGAGAAGCGATCTAAATCATTTTTGAAACCATCTCTAAATAACACTGCATTAATCTAATAAGTTTAAATAATTTTTAAACAAATTAGTTAATTCGATATTTGCCATCATTCGTTTGATAAATTGATTTTTTAATGGCATTGTTCTGGATTTTAAAGTTTTCATTTTTTTGCAAAAGGTTATTTCCCCGGAAAAATTAAGTTTCATAAAAAAAAAATATTAAATTACACCAAGATGGATTAATCCATCTTGAATAGCACGTTTACAATATCATTACGTGGCCACGGTTATCTACCAACGATAACTGTGGTATAAACCATAAATTATAACATATTTAGTAGTGATAAGAAACGAACTGATAATGTTGTTGACTGTAGTTCCCGAATGACATAGTATTGATAATTCGGTTGAAGTACAGCTTTTTGGGTTTTGCTGTAATATTCCTTAGTTGATATTTGTGCATACAGACATTTTGTGTATTTAATTTTGTGTTTTACAGTTTTTCAGTTTACCTAGTATACAAATTTTTATATTTTCTATGTATTAATTGAAATCTATTTAATAAACCCACAGATATATATTATTATATATATCTATGAATTAACCACATAAATTTGTTGGAGGTAGGTTACATCATTTTATACCATTTAATAAAAATAATATTATAATGTTCTTAGAACTAATATGAAAACATTAGTTTTTTAAATTTAACTATTTTAGATGATGGCTGCAACTAGAGAACGCCGTTCAAATGCTGGGAACAAGTTAGCACGCTTATTAGATGAAGAAGAAGATGTGGACGATTTTTACAAGACCACATACGGTGGTTTCAATGAAGAAGAAGAAGATAACGATTTCCATTTTGTTGATGAAGAAGTACCAGATGAAGTAGACTCTGATTTCAGTATCGACGAAAATGATGAAGTAATATCTGACATTGAAGAAGAAGAGAAAATTAAAAAAAATGCTAACAGGTGGGATAAATGTATTTAAATATAAACCAATACTAGTAATTTTAAATTGTTTATAATCACAAATACCTATCATAATATTATTATTATATCTAATTATTTAGTTAAATACTTTCAATTTCACTGATAAATATTATTTTATTTTAGGACAATAACAATATTTAATATTAACTTATTAGCATTAGTAGTTTTATAGAAACAAAATTAATGAATTTATTGGTATATTACTAAATATATTATAATGCTTATGCCTTTAAAATTGTTTTATTATACTCTTGTTGATATTTAGCTTATTAATCATTGCTGAAAAAAATTGTTCAAATAATGCATTACCTTCTATATAAACGCTTTTAATAATTTACTAAATATATATTTTACATATGCCTCAAATTTATTGTTATATCAAGCAAAAATGTTTGAAATTTGTTTAACTATGTAAAAAAAAAAAACCTTAAAATGAACCTAAATGAATCTGAAAAGTTTAAAATTAAGTTATACCAGGTAATTCATTTAAGTGGGTATATTCATTATCTTGGAAAGTATTAACTTTTTCTGGAATTTGTTTTCTAGAATATTTAAGAAACAAGCTGTTCTACAATTTTATATTCATGTTAATTATTTGTCACCCTTATTTTGTTGGTAAAACCACTACCTACTTTTGATTTTCAAATGGCAACTTATATTAAAATATCCATAAATACATGAAGTATTAGCTAAAATAAATATAACTGTTGACATTTTTGATTTCTATCAAGCCGTTGACGAGATATTCCACTTTTAATTTTAGGTTAGAGGAGATTAGTGGAGTATCATTTGTATGGTGAGACGACGCGTGGCGTGTTAATAATGTACCACTACTCAAATAAGGGCGACAAAAAATAACATAAATATAAAATTGTAAAGCTGTTTGTTTCTTAAATGTCCTAGAAAACAAATTCCGGAAAAAGTTAATACTTTACGAGATAATGAGTGTACCCACTTAAATGAATCAACTGATAAATCTATTATTAATAAATTATTCATTACAAGTAATTTACCTACCTATATTAAAAGTAGCAAAACAGTTTTAAAAATTGAATATTATTAATTTCATAGTCTCCTAAAAATAAAATTGACTTACTAGTAGATTATGGTTTTTGATTAGTATAGTTGGAAAATTCTGTAAAATAAATGAATAAATAATAATTTAAAAATAAATATAAATTAATATTCAAGAACAGGGCATACACTTATTAAGAGAATAATTAGTCTTATTTAATGTAATTTAATACATTTGGTACTTTTTTAGACTGGTGTATTCTTAGTTATAAAAATATTAATTTAGTTATGATAAATATTTATAACTTTTGCATAATTTCTATTAAATTTCAATTTGATTTCATTGCAGATATCAAGAACCCAAGGCTCCAAAACTACCAGTTGAACAAAAAGAAGTTCCAAAGAGAAAACGATCTAGAACAGAAAAAGTTGTTCCCGAGATATCATATGAACGAAAATCTATACGTCAATCTACTGCAGTTAAATCTAAAGAAACAATTGAACGTATCAGAGAACGTGACAGTAAAATCCAAAGAAAAAAGCCATTGCCTCCGGAAGAGATGCCTTCTCAACGAGAATTGTTGGAAGAAGCAAAAATAACGGAAGAAGAGAATTTGAAATCATTAGAGAAATTCGAACAGTTGGAGTTACAGAGAAAACAGACAAGGGGTAAACCACGTATTTCATTCTTGACGTCTGTGAAATTTCTGAGCAAAGCATATCCATGTGATGATGACACTGTAAATGTGGAGACCGATGAACACAATGAGATTCCAAAGCACTATAACTTTTTTGAGCGCACAACTATTACGGTGAATGAACCGCATGAGTTTGAAAAGATGTTTCCGAAGAAAACAGCTAAACCCACTAGAGCTCATAGGCAATGTATATTTACTGAAAAATACGCCAGATACAGAGACCCATTAACTGGTCACCCATATAAAAACCAAAAGATTTTTTCGATATTAAGATCTGTTTACTCTATGCATTTAGACGAAGCCTTTGGTAAAAAGTAAAATTAACACTTTTAATAATTCTAACAACAATATTAATAATTTTTATAAAATATATCATTTTAAGTATTTACTACTATTGTTAATAGTAGGTAATTTAGAACTTTTTGTTATAAATGTTCATTATTTGTTTATACTAAACCAATTGGTTGATTTTAATATAACATTAATAATATATTATTATTATTAAACTTTTAATTTTTTAATTATAATTTATTGAGTTAAGACGTTTTGTAAAATAATTTTTTTTTTTCATTAAAGTTATAATTTTTTAATAAATTTCAGATAACCTTTTTACTGGAATATGTATTAACTTTGTCAATATTCCACCATTTAATAATGGACTTGGTTAAAAATCAAAATATTAGTGTTTATCTATTTAGTTGATTTGTTTTCGTTAAATAAATAAAAATGTATTTGTATCACATTAGAATTTGATCATTTTTAATTAGTATTTACATTATTTTGGGGAATAATTTTTAAAATTCAAAATACCACGTAATGAAACTGAATATTAATATTTTGATAGCAAAAAATAAGCACATATATTTTCACTTAAGTTTTATCTTTCTGTTTTTATGTCAATTATTTGAATGGATAGATTTAATAAATTTGTTAGTTTAACACTTGTGTATAGTGTTTTTAATTTTTAGGAAATAATTTTTTGAAAGAATATTTTGTAATTTTTCATTTTTTTTCTACAAAATTTAGAGGCTCAAAAATAGACAAAAGGTTGCACGCTAACCATTGCATATTATAATAGCTTTAAAAATTGTACATGTATTTTAATTATATTGAGTAATAATCTTGTATCAGTCATAACTTCTTGAATTCTAAATCTAAATAAAATAATTGTTATTACTTATCAACTAATAATTTTAATATGTATTAATGATACTACTCACAAGTCTTAGTACTACACGTTTTTGTTACTAAAATAAAAACAGATAACTTAAAAAAAAAAAAAAATATAATTGTGTAAATTTAAAATAAGAATATAGGTAAAAATAATATTTTATTAAAAAAATTAACTTCATTGGTAAATTAAAATACTTAGGTAACAGTCTTTAAGTCTTAGATTTCAGTAGGTGTTCTTTGTAATTAAACTATATTAAAAATAACTTGTAAATAACAGAATGGTTATGCTATCACTTTACATTTATAATTTAAAAAAATATGAAAATGTAAAAATATTCTTCTTTCAAAACACCAACTGTGTATATTGTGTATAATAAAACAAAACTTGAATAAACCTATTCGTCTTTAAAAATATATTTTAATAACGACAATAATTTTAACTCCTCTATTGATAAGTCTTTATTACTAACAACTCACAGCATTGGATAGGTAATTAACAAATTTGAAGATTAACCAGACAGTTACTATGTTGTTACCAATTTATCTGTATTCTGTATACCTATACCTATATATAAAAAGGAAAGCCGACTGATTGATTTATAAATGCACAGCTCAAACCACTGGATGGATCGAACTGAAATTTAGCATACAGATAGTTATTATGACTTAAGCATCCCCTAAGAAAGGGTTTTTGAAAATTTAACCCCTATTGGAGTAAAATAGAGGTTTTTAGGTATTTTTGGTACGAATATATAATTATTTATTTATTTATTTATTTATTTATTTATTTTTGTTTAACTATATGTTACCTTGGCGATACGGATAAAATAACAAAAAAATTTGCCTGGACAATGTCAGATGGGAGGCTAGCAAGACAGGAGAGTTTTTGGTATTTTTGGAACATTAATTACATTTTATTTGTTGATTTATAGGTAGTAATTACCTTGGTAACATGGATGATATTTGATTGTCACAGCCAAGAAAACTATATTATTATTATTACTATTATTTACACTTTCTATATTATCTAGCAATAGCAAAGCATTAATTAATAAAGATTTGATTTTTTACCTAATCTTCATTAGCGGTTTTATAAATTAAATTAATTAACTAAGTTAAAGTATAAAGTTTCAGGAAAATAATAACTTAATTTAAGTTAAAAATGAAAAGTTACTTTTTTAACATTACTTTTAATTTTATTCTGTGTTTTATTCATTAATGTATCCAAATATTTATACTTGTCTAGACTTCTTTGAGCTAACCTGCCTTGTTATGAAATTATGATATTCACACAAAAATACATTATTTTCATCAAAAAATAAATGCAAAAGTAGAATTATGTATTAAAAGAAATAACTAAGTTATTTTCTAACATTTTATTTTTATTGAACTATTTATTGTTAAGCCAATATGATAAACTCAAAATTGTGTCTGAAATTATTTGTTTTGCAAATGCCAATCAAATTCATGCCAAAATATTGTATCTTTTTTACTTGTAAAATAAAAATGGGGGAAGTTTTATTAATAACTCATATTTTTACTACTATACTCAGTCCTACGAGAGAACCCAAATGACGACTGACAAATTTTTGTTCATTTTACGCTTTTAAGATATCATTGTAGTGCTTTGGTCGTAATATATACATTATTGGAGCATTTTGGTTTTGACAGCAGTTGTATACAATGTGATTGTCAACCAGCCTGCGATTGGTGGGGAAATGTAACCTCGAAAAAGGAATGCTTTGAACATAGGCGCAAATTTTTTCAATTTGGTGTGGGACTTCAGCCCTAACTATGTATACATGCCAAAAAATCCACGTGAAACGCAAAATCTCACTCACCTCTAGGTACTAATGTTAAACCACGTATTAAGTAGATATCTACCTATATTTTATTTTTTTGTACCCATAATGATATTTAGGGTTGACAAAATTTTTGGTATACCATTAATACTAATATTGAATACGCTTTTGAAGACATTGAAAGAAACTCAATCTAACGTAAACGGGTTATCAAATTCATTCCTGAATGCTTACGTAATTGTATTACCATTGAGGGTTTGGATTTTGAACATTTTTCTAAATTTATGTAATAATAAAGTAACAAATATAATTTATATGTACCTACCGATCCATTTTTTTTATCAAAATAATGCAGGAACTGATTTTCGAACTATCTTGTATATATAAATAAAATTGTTTAGATTAATATAAATTTAGTCTGTCCCATTATACTTCTCATCCAGGTTTTAATTTTGCGCATTACAAAAAAAAATTTCTTTCACAAGAAACTGATGATATGTGTAATACAATAGGTAGAAACTTTTAAAAGACTGTACAGATTTGGATATATTTTTTTTAACATTATTTTTTTTCTTTAAATCATCCAAGTCGAAGTTTACATTCCTGTTAATAGTACAGTTTTTAGCTAGGCACTAACATTTTAGAATACAATGCTTAAGTATTTATTGAAAAATCATGAAAATTAAAATCAATTATACAACAGTATATTATCATTTTTTATAATTCTTATTCACCTAACCTACATTGGTTGGTAAAGTATAATGCGTCATCATAGTCAAGTTTTAAAAAAATGTTCTATCGAGTTATCTAGAGTTTGACTTTCCTCAGAAAATCTAGTTTTAAGTGAATAATAATAGAGTCTATAAAAATGTTTTACCCAATACTTTTTTGAAGCTTCCAGTTTAACAATTAATTAAGTGATCCATGTAAATAAGCCTAAAAATCAAATTATTAAGTGTTTATAAAAATAATTGTGGGTACTTCAGTTACTGAAAAATCAATGGTGTCTAAATTCATTAATGATTTCTTTGCAAATGTCGGCCGTCGATAACAATATTCATAGTCAAATAAATTCTGAAACATATGATAAATTAAACTGGAATGAACTAAATCCACAATGTTTTATTGGTGACTTGATTTTTATTAAACATACTGAAATTATATCTCTCACTCAAAAATTATTGTAGCTTTGATTACTCTTGTATTTCAAACGAAATATAAAAAAAAAAACAACTTCTTAGATTGCTGTGTTTTTAAGTATTATATTTAATTTTGTCATATCTTCAAGAGAATATCCCACACTTTTCATAGAAGCAATATCGATTTCTTTGTATAAGGGAGGTGATAAAAAAGATTGAAATAATTATTGAACTATTTCTTTAACACTGTTAATATCTAAACTTTTTGAAAAATTTATCAAGGATAGAACTTTACAATTTTTAAACACAAATAAATTTTTTTTTGTAAATCAGTTTGGTTTTATGAAAAATAAGTCAACAACTGATGCTTTAGTTGCTGTTACACATCACATACGTTTAGATTGAAATAAAAGAGTAACTGGTATCTTTCTTGGTATTAAAAAGGCTTTTGATTCAGTTAATCATACAATTTTATTAAAAATTAGAATTTTGTGGTATAAGAGGAACGGCTCATTATCTTTTTAGGTCACATTTAGATTTAAGGTTTCCAAATAAAAGATAAGATAATATTCATAGCTAAATAGCCACAGTTAATTTTGGTGTACCACAAGGAACTGTCTTAGGACCTTTTTTACTTTTAATTTACATAAATGGCTTATTAAATATGAATATTAATTGTAAAATAGTTTGTTTTGCTGACGACACATTTCTGTTAGTTGATGGAAATAATGCTTTTGATGTATATAACAATTTAGTTTCATGTGTTAAAAAAGTTAAAATTTGGTTGGATAATTCAGGATTAATGTTAAACCTTCAAAAATCAAAATTAATTTCATTCATTATTAATAAAACTTCAAATATTGATGAGATAAGTATGATCCATTTGAGTAAATGTTATGACCAGGGCTCGTGACTTGTAGCATTTTCATATTTGTTTTTAAAAGTCCTAGTAACACCTAAATAAGTTACAAATTTGTTTCAGATAACCAGGAAATCAAATAAAATTTTTTTTCGTGCATATATTAGCGCTTATATGAATGTTTTAAAAGCATATAATTGTGCTTATAACAACTTTTTTTAGAGCTATAAGTCACGAGCCCTGGTTATGATGACCCTATTAATCATAACAGTTGTATGATTAATAGCTAATATAAAATATTTAAGAATTTTTTTGAATGAACATTTGAAATGGAACAATCATTTAGATTACATCTCCTCATTTATTTGACGTTTGTTTTTTAAATTTAAATCATTGAAATATATTTTAAATATTAAAAATTTTAAAACGGTACATTTTGCATTAGCACAACCCATTATTTCATATGCAATTGTTGTATGAGGTGGTACTAACAAAACTAATTCGCATAAATTAGAAGTCGTAGTAAACACTTTAATCAATTTATATTTAATAAAGATTGAATTTATTCAGCTGTCCAATTATATAATGATTTTGATGTTCTAAAAACTAATGGACTTTATTTAAAAAATATTATACTACAATTAATGAAAATGGTCATTAGAAGCTTTACTATACAATATGTACACAATATCAGTTCTAATTAATTATCGAATCTAAATTCAGTTAAATTTAAAATTGTCTTTGGCCAAAAAAGTGTCGTTTATGTTGGAACGTTAATATTTACGGCATTTCCGATTGTTTTTAAATTTTGTAAAACAATTTTTTCTACTAAAAATATTGCTTTAATCAAAAAAAATGTCCAGAGATATTTTTTGTTGCATTTTGTGTATAGAAAAGAAAAGTTTAAAGAAAAGTCGTTTTTTGATTTTTTTTTTAGTTTAGTTTTCATAATAATTGGATCAAAATAAAAAAAAAAACGTAAAATGAACCAAGGTATTTACAAAGATGAATTTGCATTATTTTTAATTTTTTTTTTTTTTTTTTATAATTCCGTCAAAAATATTCGTAAAAACTTGACATTCTGATAAAAACTTATATTTACCTTTTTTAAAAGTGTTTAAAAACATTTGAGTCATATAAAGACATTTAAACTTTGCGTGTTTATTACGTAATTTGTATTCAGTGTGTACTCAATGGATAAAATTGTTAAATCAAACAGAAATGTTTGAAAACTTATCACAATATTCATAAGTTGTACTTAGTGGTCAAATATTTAAAACTGTGTGTAATGTAGAATTTATTTTTTAAGATATTAGAATAATAATAAATAAATAAATAATTTAAAAAAAAGACGTCCAAGGATAATGGGATCGGGTGCAGCCACTTTTATAAGTAATTTAATACCAGTAAGTAACGATAAACCATTGCTAACGTAAAAATAATTTTGAGCATAATTCAGTTGATAGTGCTGCTTTGTCAATAATATATATGTCATATTATGATAAAATAATTAAATAGGCATTATATATATTTTTTAATGACATTTGTTTAATGTACTGTTTTTTCTAGTTTTCTCATGTTTTTTTTTTTGATTTTTATTGATGGAAAAACTCCTGAGAAAATCTAAAAATGGCCTTCCTAAAGTGTCTTCCCAGTTAGATTTCCTTACAGCAAAATTGCTATTATTATAAATTGGAGCGAAATTGTTAGTAGAAATGTTATCTACAGAAAAAAAGAATCATAATATTTTAGTATTTTACTAATATATTTCGTACATTTTCCCGCTATTTCCCCTTAAAGGTACTACACATAAAAACACGGAGCAAGATCTCTGGTAGAAAAGTTGTCTACACCAGTTGTTGTACCGCCATTTGAAAATCGATTTTCCCATATTTTGAGTAGTGTACAAATGTTTAAATTAGGATTACAAATGAAATAACAATCGATAGGATATTTTTCGACTTCAATATTTACATTGATGGTATTGGGATAACGCACCTGTAAAACGTAACTTCGCTCTAAATCGTTTTTCGTTGGTAATGGTTTATCGTTGTTTACATGTATAAATTAAATAACATTATGTATTCTACCTTCATAACTTCCCGCCTACAACAGTGGCACCCTGGTGAAAAATGTATTGATATAATATTACAATGTGAACTACATGTGATATAATATGTATGTTATATGAGTTATGGGCCGACTATAAGTTATCTTGTTGACAATAAAATTTAAAAAAAAAATCTGATACTGGGGATGGATGCAGCCACTATTGTAGGTGGGAAGTTGGGAAAGTAGGATATTTTTTTAAATATATTTTTAATTTTAATAAAAAAATTAATTTATATCTGTACGCAACGATTAATTATTGTTAATGATAATAAGTTCAACCTAACTTTGAAATTAGGAGAGATTAGTTTGATAATAGTTTATAAAAACCCGATTTATAGTTTCTACATTTATATTTTTAGCAAGTGCCAATTAATTTTAAACTGTCTTTAATTCCACAAAATATTTACTGTAAAGTCTAATGGATTTATATTGATTGATTTCATTGATTTATTATTGTATATTTTATTTCTGTGTTTGAGGGGGATAGGGGCTTCGCCTCATATATTGGCCTTAGGTTCACGCTACTCCAATGTTAGTTACCAACCTGCTTATATTTTTTAGTACAATTATGTATTTAGTACAATGCAATGTAGTTACATGTATCATATTTCTATAGCTAAACTTGTTCGAAAAACTGTATATAGTTATTATTACAAACAATTAGTGTCATGAATATATAATTACTACGACGGCGATAAGAACGATATGCGTGAAATTACCGTATTTTGATTGTCTATAGAATATGTATATAATTGAATTAAATTGCGGGATCGTGTGTCATCTTATGGTATGTATAATATAGAAATCATTCTGAAGTGATAATATAACCGAGCAATCATTAGTGTAAAACCAGCGCAACAGATTGACCGATTAAAAACAGCAGCGTAGGTATATATTTTATAAAAAAAAAAAAAGTACTTGTACCACGAGCAATAACAATAATATATAAGTTTCGTTTTCACTACTATATTGCAGTGTGCAATGCAATTGCCAGTTTTGATCTTGGTGCTGGCAGCCATCGCGCTCACCGCGGATGGTTTGGCGATTTCGGACGTCGACGGTGAACATCCCCTGAACAGAGAACGCCGCATGGCCTGGCCTTTTTATTGGAATTTCGGTACAACTACGCCGGAACCCGGAATAGTCCATTGCCCTAAGGAAACAGTGTATGTCCAAGAGCATAATGGATGTTTTCCCACGGAGATGGTTTGCCCGGAAATTTTGGACCCATTATACGCTAAAGGCCATCCATGTGTCCGTATTGGCAAAGGCAAGAAGCTATCCAAATAACCCTAAGACGATTGAGATCAACAATGCACATACCAACTTGCATTTAACTGCGATATAGTATATCTCAATTAAAACCGTTGGAAAATCATCTTGGGTACCTGTATTATTTTATTCACGATTCAGTTGTATTTACGGTTTTTTTTTTAAATTTTATATGGGATATGGTATTTACATTTAATTTTAAGTAATTTAATGATTTTAAATTTCAATAATATTCTTTATTAGTTACATAAAAGGTAGTTGTAGACATTTGTATTATTCTTAATATTTCCGAAGTTTGTGTTGACTGTATTTGTTAAGAAATAAATGTATACATGTATGTAACACAATTTATAATATTGGCTCTGCAAATTATGGCGTAGGTACATTTACTATAATAAACAAAAGATACATTTGAGTAATAATAACAATATTATATAAGTACCTATATTATGTTATATTTTATAAAAGTAATTGTATTTGGATACTGCAATTCAATGCGACATAAGTTATAATTAACATAAAAAAAAAGAAATGCTACTCTTAAAATATGATACAAGATTTATTGGTAGTAAACAAAATTCGCAACAATTTTAAATTATGAAATCGTTAAAAGGACGTTATATAACGTTATATACTTGAATGTGCTGTCTTCGTCTTGCAATCGCGTGACAACAAATTTTCATTTAGCAGGGACAATTCTGTACTGCTGCACTGTTAGTTTTAATCTTGGAATGAATTGACTTATTATCAAACATTAATATAAGAACACTATCTAGGTCGTTTTAAATAATCGTGATATTTTACATATTCATGTTGTTTTGCTTAAAAATTAAAATTACCAAAAACAAAAAAAAAAAAACGTCATATTTTGACGTGTTATTTTTTATGTCATAATAATAAGTTAATTTATTCTATAATATTATAACTAACAGTACAGAGTTCTCCCGGCTGAATGAAAATTTGTTTTGTTGTGGGTTTGTAAGACGGAGACATCACAATGAGGGTATAATGTCTCTTAACGCAGTAAATATTTATCCATTTTTTATATACGTTTTTTTTCATTTTCCCCTTATTACAGTAAAAACTGCTTCAAAAATTATAAAATTATTTCTCTAATGTACCAACTGCTATAAACAACAAAAAAATATCTTTTGTCATTTTATTGATTGGAGTAAAATTTCTGGTAAATTTTTTCATAGGTAGAAAAAAAAGTCATATACTATAGTCAAACTATAATACATTTATCGCTACGCTTAGAATCTAAAATAACTCTTAGCTTTAGCCAAAATTTTCGCTTGATAATACGTTTGTTTTGTAGGTATGATACTCAAACCGAATAATGTAGCTTAAGGTGATTTAGGCGAAGAATAATTTAAAACTTTGAACAAGTACCTACTTCAATAATCAATTACTGGAGTTCTCTACTAGTTACTCTGTATAACTCATGCTACTTGATAATATTTTTATAAAATACATCTTAATACGCCATGATTTCATATTGGTTACAAAATCGCATATAGATGATTTTGAAAATAGATGCCTGATATATTATAGTTGTCAATATTGTTGCAGCAAGATTTTATTTTAAGTGCAGTCACAGGTATTGGGGGACTTCGTCCCTCCTTACTTTAACTCCTAAATTTACACTACAAAAATGAACAGACAGCCCATAAATAAAATATTTATGTATTTTCAACTATATATAATTTTACATAATTATATTGATTACACATATAATATATATATATATATATATTTTAATTATTAAAATTGATATATTTTTTTTATACAACATTATATTTATCCATTGAAAATACAAAACATAAGTACCTGTATAATATTATAAAACATAAAAAGCCAAATGATCGTTTAATTTTTAATTTTTTTAATAACAACGGCGGCAATATACCTACAATAATGATAATGAAACGACGAGTATATAATATTATTATCGTCATGTACATAAAACAATATTATTATATATTATATATTTGTTGAACCGATTCAATTAATTATACATTATAATTATTATTAAATTTGGTCAAATTTTCACGTATTCGAAAATTTTGCAAATATATAATATTATATATTATAATATTGAATAATATTATTATGGTATTTGCATTTTATAATAATATATTAAGAAAATTTATAACAATAAAATATAAGAAATATTAATATAATTATCGCACATTATACTGTTACGCCCCGCCGTCCGGACACTATCAGTTTCGAATAAATAGATAATAAAACAATGATAAAAATAATAAAAATAATAAAAATAATAATAAAATAATGATAAAAAAAAAAAAAAATAAAATATAAAAAATAATAATAATAATAATCCCGTATACCTTAGATTTATATGTAAAAAAACAGAAAATTAACAAAAAGAAAAAAATAGAAAATTACGTATATTATAATAAACACACAAATCTATTCGTCAGCCTACCTATAATAACTAATGATTACAAATACATAATATAAAATATTAATAAAGTACTAATATATATAATAAATATTCGTACGAATAGTAAAAATAAACATTTTCCATTATACGAAGCTTAAATCTATAATAATAAAATGCTTAATAAGGGCGGAACCTTCGTTCGAATACATAACTACAAAAAACATGGCTGAAAACGTATTGGCGAAATAAAAAAAAAAAAAACCATTTATACGTATAATATTAAGTATAAATGGCGAAAAAAAACGGACTATGTATTGTGATTTGATTTTTTTTTTTTTTGAAAATTGTTATTCCGGCAATATTGTAGTATTTATTAGTACTTGAAAACGAGGCGGGAACAATGAATTCCGAATTTTGAATTTTACATTAATTCAGGTTACTGTTTTTTTATATTTATTTTAAGAGCAAAAATGATTGAAATTAAAAAAAAAATTGCTTAAAAAAATAGTGCGCGAAACCGAATTTCCGAAATCCTGATTTAAATAAAATACATAGGTACCTAATAAATATAAGTAAAGATAGCCGATAGTATACAGTGGAGAACTACAATATGTGGAAGAGTTGAAAAACATGTGACACCATCACTATTGTGATGATAACTATTTCGTCAAGGTTGGAAATATGTGTGTAACATTTTATCATTTGATAAGTTAACGACACAGTGAAGTGTATTGGAACATTTATTTAGTTACAGCTCTTAATTATTCTTCTGAGCTCGGGTTATATTATGAAAAAAAAACTTCACGCTGTCACTGACTAGCAGACACCTATATATAGATCGACGCGGATGGATTTGAATAAGATATTTATTAAATAAAACGAAAGGTAAAAAAGAAATAGTCAAACGGTAAAAATAGTAATACGCTGTGTATAGTGTACACGTTCCGATAAAATAATGTTAAAAAAAATTATTATCCACACTATAGAACGTGTGTTATTATTTGTTATTATATTCGGGGTAGACAATTATGTAGGTATGCCCGACAAACCTATTTAAAAAATATACGTGGCTATGCACTTAAAAGTTACCGAAATATGCTCTTAGAAAAAAAAAATTGGTGTCGATCAATTTAAAAACCTGTTTCAACGTTTTATCGAAAACTAGGAAGTTAAATAACTACCGTATTACCGCTACCTGTTACCGTATTACAAGCTTACCTGCTTGTCTCTGTAAACCTTTAAACCTTGAGCAATTATTTTGTAATTATCGATTTTTTTTAGGTAGGTATATAGTGTATACTACAGAAAACAGTTAGAGTAAAAAATTAAAAACAAATCTGAACAAATTTATATACTCTATAAATGCTTGGAAAAAAACCCTGGAATTTCAAAATAAAATTATAAATATAGAACTATTTTTAGGAAACACATTTTGGTATGGAATTTTTAGCTACCTATTTATTCGGCCAATCAGTATAGTTGTGGTCCGAAATTCGAATAATGATTAAAAAAAACTTGGTATACTTAGACACTTAATGTGTGTGGACTCGATTTAGAGGTAGGTGGTTCGGTCGAGTTTTGGAGGTGCCAATTCTCCACCTCCGCCACTGTATATACACCAAAAGTTTGCAATCGACAAAAAAAATAGGTAATAGGCAGTGGTGGCATGAATGGGTATCCTATAGAGCAGCTGCTTCGTAGCTCGAAGCATATGTTGAATACAGGAACATCTAGTAGCCATAGTTACAGTTCCTGATTCTTCTGGCTTTAGGTTATACGAGGTTATTACAATTTCACTGAAACTACTTTATAGAAAAAAAAAACTTCACTTCGCCATTGATAATAGGTATATGAAAAAGCGTACGTAAACGTCTGCCCTGACTGGTCCGATTATAACAATTTTAATAATATCTCTATTCACGTTCTCCTGTTCCACCGCTAAGTCACATTGCATGTACGTATAAAAGTAAAAAAAAAAATATATATATGTATAATAAAATTGTATACGATCGGCAGCGTTGTACAGTAAAAAAAAAAAAAAAAACGACAACTACAATAATCTATACCTATACTTATCTACCAACGTATTAACGTATAAAGTTATTTTTTTTGCATCCCGTATTTAAAAAAACCACGTTCGACGACGGGGCCGGACATAAAATATTATTAGATTAGTTGAGCAATTTGTTTTCAGCTTGTATACAGGTAAGTAATAATAATTTATTATTATAAACCGGAATGGTATAATTATACGATAATTATTATTATAATATATAGCTTACAATGGGTATTTTTTTCATTCTTTCGGTATACATAATATTATATTATATGTACACAGTGGCGTGTACATAACTTTTGTATTGGGGGGGTGAAGGCGTTAGTGACGAAAAAATTTCTTCGTGGGGAAGTTTATTTACATTAAATCTATACGTGTACGAAATTGTGTACACTCTGAAAAGTATAAAACGTAAGAAACGTAGGTTTTTTTTTTAATATATTGTAATATACTTACATACCTAGTATACTTATATTAAAATTATACGATTTTCGGTGCCGATCTGTCGTTGGTGTTGGTTTTGCGCAATTTGATTGTGGCGAATACGTTCGTTCTGAAAAACGTCAAAAATATATTAAAAACTAATAAAATTGTACATTTGTACCTACCGAACTACTTATTTTTTTCGGTAAGTATGCAGCCAGTGAAATGCGCGTTCCAATTATGTTTGGGGAAGAGATTTTAAATGGCGTATTTTCGGGGGAGGGGTCATGGGGTCCGGACTCCTCATTGACATTATTGAGATATTAAATATATATATTAATATATTCTGTACTAGTACGAGTAAAATTAGTTATAATTGTTTATCCCATGGTTACTTTTTTAATTAAACACGAAAAAAAAAATGATTATTTTAATATTATGCATGGTTGCTATTTGTCAGTTAGAAATTGAAAAGAAGACTGTTATAATCTTAAATAATTTTCGTTTATCAGTTAATGAGTAACTGTGATTATTTTTGTTATTAATTTGGTATACTGGCCGATGCATACTCTTTCGACAGTCAATTCTAGTTTGATTTTTGGAATTTTGGAAGTTTGGAAATTGTTTGCTTTTTTGTAAAATAAACTCTATAAATTCTAAAATAACAAATTTTTTTCAGGAAGTCGACTTCTAATGCGCCCACGTATACGCCTGGTAGTAGTGAGACTGTAGAGACTGTGAATGTGAAAAGATCATTCAATGGCGACGACGATGTTACACTCGTCACTCATAATTTTTTATGATAAGATTGTTCAATTAGGTATATATGGGTCTATGCAAAAATCGCGAAACGTTTTATTAGCGAAAATAAAAATAGTGAAAAGTAAGAAATTTTTCTCTTGAATATAATTGCACCTAACTTAACCTAACCTACCTAACCTAACCTTGTATATGCATTTATTATATTTATATAAATGTAATAAGTATAGATAATGCTACGGTGAATCCTCGTTGCCTATATCTATTATCCACGGCATTCTATTAATGTGCATAATACAAGGTATTACCTAGTCGTCCATTGTTATATCAAAGTTGAATCGTTCATAAAACAGTAAAAATTTAAAACATAGAATTAATTCGAAGTCAAAAAAGCAAAAATTGACTAAAATATAGTGAATAAATTGTGTAAACGTTCGATAAAAATCATAAAAATATCAGCTATTGGAGATGCGATGATAACCTATGCAAATCACGCAATATGATATCACACAATGCAATATTTGAGTAAGATATGTATACAAAACACTATGATTATATATATTAAATTTTTAAAAGATTGGGAGAGGTAAGTGCCTTTCTTCCCTCCCTTCCCAGAACTATGCCAATGGAAATTCGTATAATATTCGGTACATACTCATTTAAACATTGTATTTGTTATTATCAATAATATGTCATAATAAAGTAGAAATCATAATGCCGTAAATTAGTCAGTTTTTATTTTACGTAATTTTTAGTTTATCCTAATTATTATGAACCCGTTTTGAAAATTAAAAAAATGACTTACTTATCTGCAATTAGATCCATAATACGTTACAAAAACTTCTGTTGTCATTTTCGGGTTTTCTAGTCGAAAAGACATAAAAAAACTTATAGTGAAACCAATAGATCCTGTGCTCTTCTCAGAAAAATTACAGGAAATTTATAGAAAGTGTAAATTAATTGTTACAAAAAAACGTCAAGAGCGGGATTTGACATTCTCATCATCCTTCCCCTGTGAGTACGCCATTGACCATAGCTAACTTAAATGTTTGTATAGCATATGGTTTAGAAAATATATTTTGATTGATCACACATGAGAGGAGTTCGTGATTTTTTGAAATTGCACAATAAAAAGTATTTTCTATATTTTATGTACTCATCGGGAATAAAAAGGCCCAAAATATATATGACTAACGGGGGACACTTTAAAAATATTATTCATTTATGTCTCAATGCCTCCGTCTAATATATTACGCACCCATATAATAATATAAATCAAATTTTGAATCGCAGCCAAGTTTATACATAGGTAGGTGTCCTATACTATAATCTGATAATTATTTTATCTCGCGTTATTGGAGTATAAAATATTTTTTCGATTTTGTTTGTATACTTATACATTTCGAGTTTTTTAACGATATTTCGCAATTCAAACGAGATAAGAGTGATGTTAATAAGATGTGACGATGACTTTCTATTTTATTTTTTTATATTCTACAGTGTGGGGCAAAACAAACGTGCAGTTTTAAAACAGGAATTAAAAAGAAAAACTATGCAACTTACTGAAATGAGGTTTATTTTATTTTTTTGGTACATCATGCCGTTTTATGTATTAAGTTTTGAAAATGACATCAAAAAGATTATGGTCCCTAGCAGCGATACATTGATGAAGAAAGTGATTTTTGAAGTTTTCGGCAAGATTTTTGCACATAATGAGTATTGTGACTTCTTTCCGTATGTGAACTTTCATTTTTTCCAAGGTGTGAAGCCGATTTTAAAAATATTTTTTTTTCAAGTAGCCCCACAAAAAGTAATTTAATGTATATTTGTTAGCAACGATTAACCATTGCTAACGAAAAAACAATTCTGAGCGGAGTTCAGTTGATAGTGATACTTTGTCAACAATATATATATATGTATATATATATCATATGGTTAAATAATTAAATAGGCATTAGGCATTATATATTATCCTTAATAATATTTGTTTAATGTACCGATTTTTTCGTTTTTTTTATGTTTTTTTCAGTTTTCCCATGTTTTATCTTGGTTTTTCACATTTGCTGGGATAACTTTTGAGAAAATCGAAAAATAACCTCCTTAAAGTATCCCCCAAGTCAAATTTTCTTTTAGAAAAATTGTTATCATTGTAAATTGGAGCAAAAGTACTTGTAGAAAAGTTGTTCACAGAAAAAATAATCGTAATATTTTACAAATATAATTCATACATTTTCCTGTTATTTCTCCGTTTTTTTTCGGTTATTTAAAAAAGAAAACTGTAATACATTTTAACTAATACCTACATTTCTTATATCTTCCCGTTTTCCTTCCATTTTTTCAAACTTGATGAGATAACTCTTGAGAAAATAATAAAAAAAAAATATTCTTAAATACCTCCCTACACCGATTTCCTTTCAGAAAAAGTGCTACACATAAAAATCAGAGGAGCAAATTCTCTGGTAGATAAGTTTTCTATAGAAAAAAATAAAAAAAAAATAAACATCGTACTTATTTTCGCCCCCTAAATTTCATTCTCAGACCATTGTGCGCTGTTATTCATCGACTTCAGGCATTAGTACAATTGTCTTGAACATTTAGAAATACTTATCTAAATGTTTTTTCTGAGACTGATCAAATAGTAGAACTATATTTTTTGATTCTAAAATGCTTTTCAATTGTTTTGAGCTCAGGACATTTGGTAAACCACTGACTACAGGCTACACTAGCGTGATTATACATTCCGTTTAAAACGAAATTGTCTCTTTTTTGATCATCATGTTCCGTTGTCCCGTCGTCTTCAAACGGGACGCCTTTTGTTCCATTTTTAGAAGACAGTCCTTTTAAAATCCCGTTATTTCCATATTATTATATCTATATACGTGTGCTAACAAAAAACCGCTATGTGAAAAAAAAACTATACGGTATGATTAAAAAAAGAATGTGTGCATTTTTTTAAAAACTTGATCACCCTAGGTTAGACCTCTTACGAAATGTCTTCGTTCTCTTATACACCACCGTGAACCTGAATTATAATTATCTATACACTTAAACTTGATCTAATTTATGATACTAATTGATCTCTTAGCCCTGTGTTTGTCGAAGAACATATTTTTTTTTTTACCTTTCGCGAACTCCTCTTATTTCTTTCGCTTTTCTCCCCACGAGTCATACCAGCCGTCGTTGTTGCATGTGGCATTTATATACTTGAATGTTTGCAACTTGGAACTTTCGAACCGGACGTCCGTGTCTGAGTCGTGTTGATAACCGTCGTCGGCGGTCGCTGTTCGGACAGCGGGCGGCGGTGGCGGCGGCGCCATCATTATCGGGGGTGAACCCTGTTGGTGGTGCTGCTGCTGCTGATGCCCATTGCCACCGTTTGATACCACACCGCCACCGCTGACGGCAGACTGTACTGCAGCTGTACCACCGCCTGTCTGTTTTATCAACCGGGTCCTGGGTAAAAGGCTGGCGGGCGTCGGAGTTGGACATCCCGTTCTCGCGTCTTTCAAATGATCGTCAACCACGATGCACGACTCAGAGTCTTCACCTCCGAAACTCGAGGACGACGATCGCCGGCTGTTCGGCCAGTCGTTGCCGTTCCGTTGCTGCTGTTGTTGCTGTTTTCGGTTGTCGTACGTCATCCTCCGGACGGTAGACGAACCTCCTCCTACGCCACCGTTCATTATCGTCTGGCTATCATCGTCGTCCGCGACGAATCCGCCGCCGTTGCCGCCTGTAATATCGATGTCCCGATGGGTGATCGTGAACTTTTTGTTGGTCACCGGCGTACCGGCTGATGACTTATTGTAGTTATTGTTGCTGTTGTTTTGCTGTTGTATCAGCTGCTGTTCTTCCGCATCCGCTGCGTTCACATCCACCAGTGACCTGTGCTTCCACATGGACATGCCGGTTAGCACTTCGTCACCGCCGTTGCCGCTAGTCTTTTTAAACTTCCACATGGATTTTGTCCGTTTGATCTTCTTACCCTGCACGGTGCCCATACCCGTGTCGCCGTCGTCGTCATTGTACTTGGCCTGTCTGAAAGGCGGTGACGAATTATTATTGTAACCGTCACCGAACGACGACAGCTGTCCGACACTGGTGCTCGGCCGCATCATTGACGACGGACCGGTGTTTCGTCTACCGGCGTTCACCATCACACTACCGCCGCCGTTGTACGCCGATTTCATTGTGCCCGTCATTTGTTTACCACCTACCGCCATCATCATAACCATGTGATGGTGACGGTTCTCTTGATAATTATTGTTAGTTTGTTTTGACCGCGCCGTTGTCGTGTCTTTCTTCTGTTCTTTGGTTGTTCTGGTTCAATAATATTATCATTCGATTACGTCACATACAACAAGCGTTAAAATTCACATAACCCATCACCACATAACAATAATATTCATTACCAACACCGCTAACCAACCCGAAATATAACTTTTGTCTATATAATACATAAACATACGAGTATATATATAATATATTATATATATTAACGAGTATGCTGATAATTCCAGTGACACGGGTTAATTTTTGTTATTATTGATTATTACCATAATTTTTTTTTTTTAAATTCAGTTTTGAATTGATTAATAATTTATTAAACATAGGAAATATGTTATTTGGAAACAAAATATTATTATTTCATATGAAACAATGTTTTTTAACATAGGTACAACTAGGTTTAAAAGACTACATCCCTTCTACCAAAACTGTTAACTTAAAATAACCCATGGGGTCCACCTCCACTATTAAATACCATCATAACAAGTTTTAGATTCTGAGCGAAGCGAAGAACGTATTAAATTTAAAACACTAGATTTTATTTTTTGTTACTTATTACAATAGTGTCACATACAGTAAGCCAAGTAAGCCACTCATAAAACTGGTTGAAATATTCTTCATTATTCTAAACTTAACTATGAGGTAATATGTAAAAGTTTATCAATATAACAAAATAGCTGAAATAACAATTTCACGAAATATTTCATAATATAAAACCCACAATCCCAGTCTAAAAATAGATATTTTTTCGTTAACGTATAATTTTGAACCCAGATATAACATGTTATTTATAATTTTACTTGAAAACATTTTTAGTTTAGACAACAATCTTTAATATTTTTATTAATTGACAAAATAAACACAATTTAATAAGTATATCTAAAGTCAACAAGAAATATTTTTGACTAGTCCTCCTAGCCTTCCTCTCTAGTTACCTCACTATTTCTTAAAGTTTTAGGTAGTACGGACTATTTGGACAATTTTTGATAGATTGCGTATATGCGTATATACCATATTTCCACTTGCGTTTAAACAATTCCTTTGATGATTATTTTTTTTATTAGGATAGCACTCGAAAATTCTTGGTCGTAATAATATATCGCAGAAAATATCAGTACAAGACAATAACGTAGTAATAAAATTCACTACGTAAACAACACCATTAATATAAGCACCACCTTGACTATGCTGCGTAATATTTATATTGCATTTCTTAAGCAAAAACTTAAGAGTGGGATATATCGTCAACGGGTTGACAAAAATTAGAAATTTCAATTACCAAAATGTAATTAAAATAATACTCTATATAATTATGGAATTTTTAGTATAGGTCGCTATTTGAAAATCAAAAGTAAATAGTGGTTTCACCCCTAGAACGATGTACCATGGAATAATGCAATAGTACTTACTGTAGTAATCACTATGCTATGCACCTTAAACGTTTAGGCACCTGGATTATTTTAGATTCGTTTCGCCACTGTCTTTAATCGTGGTTTATACCATATAGAAAATCCACTGTTGCCATCATATTAAATCAATTCCAAAAATCGTTTTAAGCAATCGAAATAATAAACTATTTTAAGCGTTTGTGAAAAAAATATATAGCACAACTTATTGTGGTATGTAACTATCAATTGATTTCAGTTAATTTCCAAGCCAAAAAAAAAACATCGTACACAAAGTTGCTATTGCAGCGTTTTCATGCATTTTTATAGCGAACATTTCAAGTATTGAAGTAAAATGTCAAGTAAACATGTCAAGTAAACAATTCATGATAACAGAATATATTATCATGTTTTTACCGGGTGTTTTCGTCGTCCGAGTAGTCGATTTCGGGTGCCGGCGGCGGGTCATTGCTGAAACCACTGTCATTGCTGCTGTGCAAACTCGCGTTGCCATGTTGATGTTGATGGACACCGCCTGTTCTCTTGTCGATCGTCGACGGTTTACCAGGTGCCGGCGGTAAAGTCTGCGGCGGTGGCGGGAAAAAGGCGGTCGGTGGTGGAATGTGTCCTCCGTATTGACGCGGCACCACCGGGGCCGGCACCGACGGTGGCGGAAGACCGTGATTATCATAACCGTTTGATCTACTGTTCGCCCTGGACCTCGTCTGTGATGCGTACATGAAAAATTATAGAAATTTAATAAAATTATTAAGAGAGATAAAAATTTTAAAAAAAGAGCTGATACTGGGGTTGGGAGCGGTCACTGTTATAAGTGGGAAGGTAGGATATATAAAGTTATTTTATTTATGCAACGATAAACCATTACTTAACGAAAGACGATTCCGAGCGCAGTTCGGTATACATAATTTGAAGTACCGTAATTTTTTTTTGTTTAAATTTGATTTCAAAACGCTCATTAACAAAGAAAAAAAGTCGTCAGATGATTTTAAAAATTTTACCATGTCTAAGTAAGTTCAGTTTAACAATAATTATCAAGTTTCAAGTCTCTACGTGTATTTATAACCGAATTACAGAAAAAAACTCCCAAAAAATTAAAGTTCTTTAAAAGCTTAACTGTGGCTCAAAAGTTTTCGCGATGATATCGTAAAAAAGAAAATCAAAAAGGCAACAAAAAGGTATCTTGTGATTTTTTGATTAAATCATTTTTTCCGGTAGAAAACATCGGCCGTGTTTTTATAAAATAATGAAATCGTGAAATTGTACGTTTTCTTATGTTTTTTTCCCACTTAAGTGCTTTTATTTAAAAAATGGCGTACAAAATCAAAAAATGACATCTTTAAAGTACTATTTAGACAACTTAAGATTTCAAAAAAGATGCTACAAATCGGAGTAAGTTTACTATGAAAAAACGTGACCATAGACTAGAAGAAAAAAAAATAAACATCTTAGTTAAACCAATAGCTCCCTCGTTATGCTCGGAATCTAAAAATAATCTGTTGGTTCTACTGACGTGTGTGCCACGTTTTTGAGAGCGAAGTTAGAATGTATATACTATAGAGTTATTGAATTAGTATCTGGATACTGTTTTAACGAAAAACGATACCGCACAGAGCTAGTATTAGTCGTGATTTTTCCTTTGTGGCCAAGGAAAATCAAAAATAAAAAAAAATATAGGTACTCAAATTTACTAGGTTTTGCCATTTTTAAGAAAACTACAAAAAATGAAATCGCCAATGAACCGAGTAGATCGAAAATTCTACAAGAATGTGAGAGAACCCATCATTTAGAAATAATTAAAATTTAAAAATCTGTTTTTTACATGTTTTATATTTTTCTGGTGCTCAAGTACTACAGATTTTTTATTTGTTATTATAGTTTTAACATATTTTTTTTTGGAAAAATATTTCGAATAAGGTACCACCGAGCGGAAAATTTGCGTCTTTTTAGGTATCGTAAAAGTGTTTTTTGATAGGGAAAATGCCAATACGTTCCTAGAACCGCTCTCAAAATCTAAAATCAAAAGTGAAAAGCTTTTCGGAAATATTACCTATATTACGAATATCTAACAAGTAGCTTACCGGATACGGATTTCTGTGCGACAGAGAATCGCCAAATCTAGTCAACGTCGTCGTTTGATAGCGATGAGTTTGTTTACCGGTCGCCACCACGGATTCGCTTCTATTGTGATGATGGTTCGATATTATCGAATGACCCACAGAATCCTTTCGCCGGTACGATGACGGTGAGTCCCTGTGAAAAAAAAAACCGACAAAATTGTAATACATTTTTAAGAATAAGGGTAGGCTAGACTAGGTTGTGTAATAATATATTGTTGTAATATAGTGCACGTACGAAAAAGCCGAGTCGTCAATTACGGCCTCGGTGTACGCCAACGGGAACCATCCGCTACACTGAGTGCGTAAATTCTCTCCGAATTGCCATCCTTTGTTTCGTTCACCTGCGAAAAGCCATATCACGGGCATTTACGCACCGTTATTTATTAACCGCGAAACGTTGACGACGCGTGAGCTTTTGAATATTTATTACTCGTATATCGTTAATATATGCAATAATACTCACCGGATATAGCGATAGTATCTCCTTCGTGGAAACTTAGCTGATTGTCGCCGCTTGACAGATACGCGTACGTGGCTTGTACGAGATTCGTGTTGCCCTGAGATTCCCATCCGTTATCTACGACCGCCATTGACTTTGGCCTGGACCCGTTATTTCCCGATTCGTTTTCTACTGTAGACATATTTATTTATTATACAATCATATAGTGGTGGTGATTTAGTTATTAGTTAAGATTAGTTACAGTTAAAAATACAAAACCGTTTTTTCCTTTTTTTTTTTTTTTTTTTTTAAAAAAACACTGTTTCCAGATTCCGTAAGTTAAAAAATCCCTCAACACCCGTATATGGCGAATCTGATATTCTTTCGACACGACATTTAAATGAAAAAAACCTAAGGAAGTTATTTTGAATTCTAGATAACTTCTGAAGCTGACCTAAAGAGTTAGAGTTAGAAAGCCATAAAAGAGAACCATATTCTAATTGTAAACGAACCAAAGAGCAATATAATAATAATTTTAAAGAGGTTTCACCCTAAAAGTCACTACATGTACGCTTTAAACCCAGTTTTTTTTAATGCTTTGTTTTTTATGATTTCTAAATGGTTACTAAAAGATAGTTTTATATCAAAATTAATATCAGGGTCATTTACAGTATCTGACATTTGTATTTCCTGATTATTTAAATATATATATATATTGCCGATTTAAAAAGGATGGTAGTCAGAATTGAGCGGACTAAGTTTAGAAATGATAGCTTTTTGAAGTTCAGATATTATGCAGATATTACATGTTTATGTTAAATAACTCTATATTGACTTCTTTACTATACGTCTGTTATAGTTGAATGGTCATGGATACGTATTGTCATACTAGGGATCGCGGGTTCTCGACCTTGGGATTTAAAACGAAATTGTTTACTTTTTTTTTCTCCCTTTAATCTAAATGGGAAAATAACAAATGCATTTTGAGTGTACCTAGAGACCTAGCTATCACTCGCTCGGACGATTATAATCGAAAAATACGCCTCGATTTGTTGTGCAAACTTTTCTACTAGAAATCTTGCTACCATGTATCAAGTTTAGCTTATCTTCTGAAAGGGAATTTTATCTCCGTAGTTTAGGAAAGTCATTTTTGTGATTTTTCAATCGGCTTTCATAATAACTGAGAAAACCTGGGATAAAATGTCGGGAAAACGGAAAATTTACGAAATGTAGGTATTAGTAAAAAAATATTACGGACTTTTTTTTTCTGTGTTTATATTTTCTACCAGCTGTTTTGCTCCAATTTTAAATGATAGCACTTTTTCTGGAAATCTGACTCAGAAGGTAATTTAAAGAGGTCATTTTTAGATTTTACCAAGAATTTTTTTAGCAAATGTTATAATCCGGGAGAAAATATGGGAAAACCGGGAAAAACACACAAAAAACAAGAAAATCGGTAAAATATTAAACAAATTTTATTAAAAAAAGTATATGATGCCTATTAATTAATTAATTATTTTACCATAATATGACATATATACTGACAACAAAGCATCACTATCAACTAAATTGTGCTCAGATTGGCTTTTTCGTTAGCATTGGTTTATCGTTGCTTACAGATATACATTAAGTTACCCATAACAGTTGCTGCACCAGTTTTCATTATCCTAAGATGTCTTTTTTAATATAGGGGTAACATATAATAGTTTCCAGCCATCGGGATAATATCCACAGCGAATGTTGAATTAATGTTAATTATTTAGAGTAGGTGAATTTTTATGAAATGGAGGTACTTCATATTGAGTTTCAAATAAAAAGGGCTGAAGTGCTACTTTTGTAGGTGGGATGTTGAGAAGGTAGGATACAGAAAAATAAACTATTGTTTACTACTTTGTATGTCATTAAAAGTAAATAAATAAATAACATTTTTTCCTTACTTCTGTTCAAGGACTGCGACGATGCGTTCAAGTTAAAATCTGATTTGGCCCTAGAAAGCGGATAATTTAACAGTGGACTTGATATGTCATTTATGGCACGGACGTCCAAACAAGATGCATCCATGGATTTGGTTTTTCTCAATTGTGATGACAATGAAGTCCTGTCATCATCGACTCTCGGTGAACTAACGTCGTCGTCCAGCCAAAAGCTCACTTGCTACAATCGTTCGTCAATTAATATATATATTATAATAAACGATTTGGTATATAGGAGTATATATTTTAATAATGCCGCGTTGTTCCTACTAATTTCCGGCCCGTTTTACGATTTCAAATACTCACCCGAAGTTTCGTGGCGAACATCGTTTCGACAGATTCGGGCAGTCGTTCCCGGGATTTGGCCACATCCAGCCAGTCGTTTAGGTGTTCGTCATACATCGATTGGGAATTGGTGTGGTAGGCCAAACAGTGTTTAACTAAAGAACATTGTCTTTCCAACACGAAACCGTATCTTCGCCTTTCTTGAGTCATTGCCTTAAAAATGAGCATTTTAACGTTACTCTCGTATTGTATATATTAATATATGTTTATAGTGATACATAAATTTATTTTTAAATATGTATTTTTATTAAGTAGGTATACTTACGTTTTTCAAACTCTGTTCACAAAAATTATCCAATTTCAATTTTTCTTCCTCTAAGATTTGCATAGTCTAAATAAAAAAAAATGTAATATATAGGTATACATTGAAAATTGTACAAAAAAAAATCAAAAAATTAATAATGAAAAGTATTATATAAAAATGATCGTTCGCTCCAGAGAAATGGTGATAGTGGTGGGGAGGAGAAATTACAATATTACGCCCGGAGTATTTGATTTTGTGTTTTTTTTATGTAAATTCGCTAGATATATGCATATGTATACAGGTTGATCAATATAACGTAGACACACATACACATTATCCCAGAAAGTATTAAATTTTCTCGTAATTTTTGTTTAGATCATTTAAGAAATAAGTACCTAATGTCACATTACTCTTATTTTTGTTACCCTTATTTTAGAGGGGTAACCACTACCTACTTTTGATTTTAAATAGCAATCAATATAAACAATTTCATAAATAGATACATGAAGTATTGGTCAAAATCAGTTTTGGCATTGCAATTTTTAATTTCCGTCAAACATTGACGAGATATTTCACTTTTTAAATTCGGCGGGAAGAGAGTCTTAGTGGCGGATAATTTGTACAGCGGCATGGCATGTGACGTTTAAATAGTGTTCCAGCATTTTCGTTCTACTTAAACTTAAAAGTAGAATATATCGCTAATGGGTTGACAGAAATAAAAAATTCTCCATACCAAAAGATAATTAAAATAATAATTTATGGAATTTTTAGTATAGGTTGCTTTTTGAAAATCAAAAGTAGGTAGTTAGTGGTTTCACTCCTTAACAAAGGGATAAAAAAAACTAATGTAATATTTTAGAACTACTTCTTTTTAAATAATTTAAAAATCAAATTCAGAAAAAAGTTGATACTTTCTGAGATAATAAGTGTCTTACTTTATGTTGATCACTCTGTATACGAACAAACCATTTCGCACGTTTTTATGATGCTTTTACATTTATTTGTTCGCGCAGTATATTTCACATTATTTTATAATAATATATACATAATACACACGAGAACGAAGTGTGTGTACTCTAATGCGAACAATGAGCGTCTTCAATATAGGCTCGGCAATAATTTTTATCGGCCGACACATTCGGGCTTTACGGTGCCAAACAACGAATAATATTACAAAAACTCGACAATAAAACACATTTGAATAATCATAATTTAACCTCGGTAATGCGTATATATGCCGCATAGCTATATTATTACATAGATATATTATATAGTGACCGTTGTAGCTGTATAATATGTATATTTTGTATTAAAGACCAGCCATCCAGGAGCGTATTTACAGACCCTATTCGAGTTTGAAATGTAACTCGGTTATCAGTTTTTGGAATTTTACGATACACACCTATTTTATAGATTAGAGGTTCCCAAACTTTTTTCTCAGTAGACCACGTACCAATTTTTTCTGTTTTTCATAGACCCCTAATAATGAATATTTACAAATTCATCAACGTGTTTTTGACAACTTATACGGAGCTACGCACTTGAATAAGGTTTACTATAGAGTAAAACAATTTAAAATAAAAAACGTGTAAAGTTTTATTGTTTCATATCTTTATTTCTTTAATAAGTTTAGATTCTGAGTGTAGCGAGAATGTTTTACTAAAATCTTTTCTTTTTTATACTGTGTATAAAAATTCTACCAGAAATCTTGCTCAGCTATGTACGCGCGGCACCATTTCTGAAAGGGAATGTTGTCCAGGTAGTACTTTTGGTAAATTATATATTGTAGGTTATTTTTTAATTTTCTAAGCAATATTCAGAATATCAGGGAAATACCAGGATAAAAAGTACGAACAATTTACGAAAATAATGTTTTTATTATTTTTCAATTTTGTTATTTGTTGTAATTTAGTTAAAAATATTTGTAAATATTTGATATTTGGATAGAAAACTTACATTTTCCTTTTCTAGAAATAGTGAAATTTCCAAAAAAATTAGCCATTTTTGTGCTATTTATTGACATTTTAATTTTGCAAGTTTTGTACGTAATTTTTATTTGGTAGGTACTCTGTGGTAAAATTATTAGTCTTAACAGAAATGCTTGAAAATTTAATAGGAGATTCATAAAGAGTTTTTTTTTGAACATATGTATATTGCCGATTTAAGAATGATAGTAAAGTCATACCCAAGCCATCGCTCACTCGGATTATTTTAATAGCAAAATACCCCTCGATTTGTTGTGCAAACTTTTCTACCGAAAATCTTGCTTCGATGTATCAAGTGTAACTTATTTTCTGAAAAGAAATTTTATCTCTATGGTAATTTGAAGAGGTCATTTTTTGATTTTCCGGGAAGTTTTCCTAATAAATGGAAAAAATTGTGAAAAACGGAAAAAGGGAAAATGTACAAAATACCTTAGTCAAATATTACGATTTTTTTTTCTGTAGACAACTTTCAACCAGCAATTTTGCTCCGATTAACAATGATAGCATTTTTTTTAAAAGGAAATCGATGTGGGGAGATACTTTTGGGAGATCATTCTTCGATTTTCCTTAGAGTTTTCTGAGCAGACGTGAAGAACCGGAAAAAACATGGGAAAAACGCAAGAAAAACGGGAAAATCCGTAAAATATTAAACAAATATTATTAAAGAATATATATAATGCCTATTTAATTATTTCACCATAATATGACATATATATTGTTGACAAAGCATCAATATCAACTAAACTGTGCCTATTAGTACTACCTATTAGTCGATGAAAAGTCACTATTGATTTAGATAAAGCTGTTAAGGAGAAGTTTGAAAAACTTAATCTATACACGTTGATAAAAACCTGATAATGCACCAAAGAAATTTTATCAGTGTACCTAATAAATGTTAATCTAAAACCTTTAAGTCAACGAAAAATCACGACGGGTTGTGTATTTACATAAATATCGCATGGGCCGAACTCATATACGGTCTGTAAATACGTCCCCGGTATAGAGGAATTGAGATGACGTTTATTTTATGTGTATATTATAATGTTATATTTTGCGTTACTAGTAAGTATATAACTTAATAAGTAATAAGTATAGTATGAATATTACGATCGGTTATAAATCGTGATTTTTGTTTATCGTATTGATTATGATACATATATAATATGCATTGCCTTATACATATATACTTCCTATAAATATAATATAAATGTATAAGTATATGTACTGAGAAAATATATTAATATGTGACACATGACTAAAATTACCATAAAAGTTACAAGAGAAATAAAACGAAATAAATGCTGAAGTGACGTTGAAAAAAATCAATTCGAATATTGGTCGATTTAATTGTAAAAACATACTTATAGTTTACATCCATGAGGGGTATCCAGGGGGGCTAAGGGGGTATAGCCCCTCTTATCGGCCGAGTTTATGTTAGCTAATAGTTGTTAATACTTACTAAAAATATTATAATATTATATTACCAACTTAATAAATTTAAATAACTATTTTAAACATTTTAATCTGGTCATAATTAATCAATTGTTGATTGATTATAATTTATAACAAATAATAATAATACAAATGTATTTGTATAAATTATTTATTTATTTATTAAATAATTTACGCCCACAGTGGGGCAAGAGTATAATATAACAGTACACATAATATTTACATAAATATAGATTAATTAAATACTAAATTACTAAATACTAAGGTATATCAAGAGTACAGTGTTTTAATTTAGAGAAACTATCGGTAAGAAATCAAAATTTTTTAAACTGTAACAGGAGTTATAGGAGTTATAGGAGGTCCGATATAAGGGGCTACACAGAAAAAAATTTATTTTCTGAGGTTTAATATAGAAACACCGAAAACTACGAGTATTTACTTGTGGTACGTTAAAATATATTTTTTGCAATAAACTAGGATAGTCGATGAAATCGTTCAAGAGTCTATATACAAAAAGTATACCAATAAAATTGCGTCTAGATTGTAATGAATTTATGTTACACTACCGCTCGTCTACAGAAGTAGGATAACCGGCCAAATTAATTTTATGCGCTATCATGCGAAGAAAACGTCGTTGCACTTTTTCAATTTTAGTCGTAAGGTCTAGTTTCATAGGGTTCCAGACAACTGAATCAAATTCAAGACCAGACCGTACTAAGGCATAGTACAAAGTTCTTAAGCAGTGGATATTATCAAACCCATCACAATTCCTATTCAAAAATCCTAAATTTCTGTAAGGTTTAACACAAATAGTATCAATATGCTCATTGAAAGAAAAATCAGACGAAGGGATACCTAAGTCTCTAATTGTCTGCACTCTTTCTAATTTCGCAGTATTTATGACGTATTCTACTATCAGAGGGTTCCAATTTCGATAAAAAAAAGTTTGCTTACATTTATCGATATTTTTGTATAAACCGTTTAGAGTACCCCATTCAATAAACCGATTTAAATCATTTTGAATGTACAATTAATCTTCGCTATTCTTGACGACCATAAATAATTTCAGGTCATCGGCGAATAACAAGTATTTACAGTGTTGGAAAACAGCACTTAAATGATTTATGAAAACTAAAAATAGCATAGGCTAATTAGGATAAATAACATCCATGTGGGACTCCAGAAGTGACCAAGAAAGAAGTGGAGATCTACTCTTTATTTTAATCATTTGTTGTCTATTGGATAAATATGATGCAAACCACTTCAAAGACTTGCCGTTGAAACCAAAATTTCTTAGTTTACTTAAAATTTGATTTATAGTCGACCGAATCGAATGTTTTTTTTTATGTTGATATATGCTTCATCAACTTGGTTTCCATTAGCAACATTGTCTATTAAAAATTGGTAGTATAATACTAGATTGGTATGGATTGATTTATTTTTATAAAATCCGTGTTGTTTGTCAGCTAGAACCTTATTTAATATTGATGAGAATCTTGGCTTAATCAATTTTTCAAATAATTTGGGTAACGTACTTAATTTAGAGATCGGACGATAATTATTAATGAGTTAACCGTCGCTGTTTTTCCAAATAGGTGTCACGAAACTCGATTTCCAAGCTATAGGAAAATACTAACATTTAGAAACCAGTTAAATAAATTAAAAATTTGATAGGCTTTATAAATATAATCGGGATCACGATTACTTAAGATACTTCAAATTATAAAAAATGAAGCCCGAGTAGAAAATGATCAATGAAATCACGGAAATTGTATACAGGGCCCGTGGGAATTTGGGAAAATTTTGTGGATCCAAATACTGGAACTCATAACCAAACAACAGAATTATTTTGGAAGCTTAATTAGACTAAATACAACATAAAATTGAATGGTGCCTCTCCACTATTAGATCGCTAACCGAGCCACCAACTAATAAAAAATATGATATTGATGTCATCCATTAAAAACTCAAATATTTGATAATTTTTTTATCAGATTTAAAGAACACTTTTCCTTATAACTTAACAAACAACATATTAGTATATACAACGCTATTTTATGTATCATATTTAAATAAGTTAGCCGATAGATCACACGTTGGCTGCGCATTTTTCAATAGATCACACATTGAATCGGTTCTTAAATGTTTACCAAAAATCTTGCTTCGATTTTTAAGTGTATTAAAAAATGATTTACATAATATGTTATTATCGCAAATTGACGAAGATTCAGATAAATAATATAATAATATATACCTTCATTTCTTTGTCCATCGCTAATCCTGCTTTGGGTCCAACCTTGTGCTTTTTACGGCATTTTTTCATAGCTGACGTAGCCTTGCTGTAACTCTCGGAACGCTGTTTGTGCTGTTGCAAAAATCGTTTTTGTTCGGACTAAAAAAAACGAAAATAATATTATAATTTAGAAAATAATATCAAGTTTTTGTCATTTGAATATTTTTTTTTTTTATTATCAGATGGAAACGGCATAAACGATAGGTATCTACCGCACGAGGGGTTAATCAGCGGTCCGAACCAGTGCTGACCGAAGGGTAGGATTATTTATTGGATCGTTTTTATATTTGGCTCTCTGCACAATATATAATATGTAATAATAAAAGGTGCACTACGCAACATTATTATATATTCTGATAACTAAAATATCAGATATAGTGCATATATGACGCGTTTTTTCTCGTTTACTCTTAATGGTGTGTATGAATTATTGCAATTCGAATGCAAAAATGGGAACCGAAAATTAAACGAATACTAATTATACTAAATACGGTTTATCGAGCAAAAAAAAAAAAACTTAATCAAAAATTTCAGTAAAGCCCGTAGTTCATACGATGATAAGTTATTAATGTAATAGTTGTGAAATTCCCAACTGTGTGATAGTAAATACCGTAAATTATCACCATGTGATCTACGTAAACTTTTGTAAAAGCATACAACTACCACACTACTATGTGTGATTCTGTGAAAATAATAGTAAATATTAGCTCTGTTATGTGGTGACTGCACTCATATTAGTGATGGGAATATCTGGATTCAAGAATCCAGATTATCCGACTCATTTTTTTAGTTATCGTTATATTTAACCCTAATCGCTATATTGCAATATAGTATAGATATTAAATATAGCTTATATTAGTATATTACGTATATACGCAATGAATTCGTTTTGTAACAAGCAATCATATAGTTGATATTTGTGCCGTTACTTTTTAGATATCACTTTAAGTTGTATGATATGGTCATATAGCATTGGTTGAGAAAATCGAATGATCTGGTCAGATAAAAAAACCAAATTTGGATAATTCAGATAATTCGAATAATCCAAATTTGAAAATCCGGATATTCGGATTTCATACCCATACGTAACTCGTGCACACTTTTTTCTACTGTATAGCTTATCATCGGTGCAGTAAGTTATGAAAATTCCATATTCCATATTATCTTTGATATTTAAGTATTCTGTATGTAATCTATACTTTAATTTGATAAATGTTATTAAGTTAACGATTGATTACGATAATACGAAAATATTACGTTCCACTTAAAATTAGTTTAACATTAAAGGAGGCCTGGACCCTTCCCTTCCCAAGGATATAATTTCAATAAAACGCCGTTTAACCTTTTATGTGTTAGTGATGTAAATGAAGGCTACTTTTTTTTATCTAAAATGTAACATGTATGGAAGCCATTTGTAATATTACAGTAAATGGACAGAACTATTTTTTTCAGTAAAGCATTCTATTATTATTTTACTTATCATTTTATCAATAGTTTGATAATAGAGTTTTTCCAATAATGGTTTCTATGAATAGCACAGTTGTCTTATTTACTACATTTTTTTTTTAGGTTTAAATTGCCCTAAATCAACGTGTGAATACCATTTTTCTATTTTACTGCCCTGATGCACTTTCATAGACGATTCTATCGATATTAGCTCAACGATTAAATCGATATGCCATTTCTTCTATACTATCACTCTAAAATATCTGATCTTGTGTATTATAATCATATGAATACTGTATGACTGTCTCTGTGTGACTTATACTTATAAGTCACACAGAGACAGTCATATCGCGACATTTATTGCAACACCAACTATTACAGTATATGTAAGATTTAAAAGCCGATCGTATCGTATTATGTAAATGGGTATATTGAACTGTTACATATTATATACACTCATATATATTATATTAATAAAAAATAATATTTACCTGAACTACTTTCGTGTCTTTTTCGAGATTCGTTTCCAGCGGTACCAGTAAATCAACATAGAAAGCTTTCAGCTAAAAACATATAACGAAAATAAATATTATATCACACGAGGTATAAAATTATCCCGTATATAAATATTAAAATAAAAATCAAACACTATTACTAAAACGTCACTGTATCGTGTAATTTTAAATTCTGAGCTTGGCGAAGATTGGTTTCATGAAAATATGTATTGGTTTCACTATGACATGCGATTTTTTAAATTTATTTTTCAGTCTGTGAACAATTTTTTTACCATAAATCTTGCTCCAATCAAAAAAACGACATGAGAGCTTGCGTGTAACATTTTGAACTTAGTTGTTGCATTATTGTTTTACAAACAATATTTCCAAAATATTTATCGCACCAAACTACCTAACCTTATAACGCGGCGATTTAACATATTTTTAGGTACGTTAGTTATATTATAATTTTGTAATAGTATGTATTACTTTAGCGTCATGTTTATAATGAAAACGTATTGTTTCGTTTTTTTTTTTTTCAATATCACTATTTATATATTTGTTTTGGCATGGTGGGGTGTAGTTGTCTCCTTGTCAGCCATTTTTCACAACGGAAATCATCATATATTATATTATAATCACGTAAATCAAGTTTTCAAAAAAAAAAGCATATTTGTTCGCTATTTGTATTTTTCGAAATTATTATTATTTTTTTAAATTCTGTTTTCGATTTACGTCCATTATTTAATATTATTATAGAATCGTGTATAATACAATACGAAACCCTAAACTCGTATTACAAATGCACAAACAACGCAGCTGTTTATTTATTGATGCGTCGAATCCCAAACACAATAACATACGTATGTATGTACAGAAACGGTCCAACAAATATTGATCTCCGAGATTGATGAAATAAGTTGACAAACAAACAAGAGTGTGTTTTTTTTTTATTTCCATCATCATACGTCGAATATCGGTTTGACAAATAATTAATGTTCCTAAAAAAATGTGTATTTTTGTTTTTTTTTTAAATTTGAATACTATTTGTTTTGAAAAAAAAAATATACCTACATAATTTAGATTCTGAGCGAAGCACAATATATGGGTATTTCTTTTGTGTCTGTAAATACTGTCCTCAATCTCAAATCAAAAACTTTAAAGGATATTTCTTGTAGAAATTTCGTTAAAATTAGTGCATTAAGAAAAAGCGTTTTTTGATTTTCCTTGTAATTTTCTTAATTATTGGAAAAAACTAGGAATAATTGAAAAAAAACTGGAAGGTTTAAGGTTTCATTAGATTTTATTTTATATTTTTTTGCAATTCGGTCAAAAATAATCGTAAATATCTAAAATTTTCACAAAATACTTATATTTGTCTTTTCAAGACATGATCAAATTGTTGAGTTATAAATAAGTATTTGCTAGTTTGGTCTTTGTTTGGTTTCATATAGTTAAAATTGATTTTGCCGAACAAAAACGCTTGAGCATTTTATACGAGCTTCATTATAGGTTGTACTTGATAGACAAAAAGTAAGTTGGACTTAATGTAACATTAAGAGTTAAAATAATAATTTAAAATAAGTTAAAATTTTGATGAAAATAGTAATAACAATAATTATGGTATTTAAATATACATGCGTAACTGAATTTTTTTTTTAGTAAAGATTTATCGTTGTGTACAGATGTTAAATTAAATTAAAATTAAAATTAAATTTCACTATATATTATCCCTTAAAACATTTCTTCTAAAATAATAGCAGTATCAGTTTTTTTTTTAAATGTATTACTTATCAAATAAAACTTGTAGATATATTTTGAGCGTAGTGAGAGATCTACTGATTTTACTATAATGAGTGTTTTTGTATATTTTTTTGTGTATCAACTTTTCTATGAGAAGTCTTGCTCCGATATAACAAATTTAACATCTTTTCTGAAAGGAAATTGTATCTAGTTGATACATTAGATGGTCTTTTTTTTTAAAAAAAACATTTATTAATATTTTAAAATCAAAAAGATTGAATATATTTTTTACAACACAAAACTCAAAAGGAGAAAAGTCCCTTTTCTGCACTAAACGCTAATTTTAGCTGTTAATATTTCCATAACGGTTTGATGGATTAGTCTCATTTATACATAAAATATGTATTTATGGTAGATAAATACAAGTCCGGTAAAAATTCAATTTCTGATATGTCCTTTTTCTGCAATAATTAGTGATTCATATGTTATGCATAATAATATAACAATATAAAACATTATATTTTATAATACTTGTAATGGTACTACCTCTACTTATAATAAATTTGACTAATATAACGAATTTATGTAAACTGCAGTACAACATATTGGAAAAAAAATATTTCGGTGGAGGGGAGCATGTGCTCCCACTGTCCCCTATTGGTTACGGCATTGAGTCAATATGCCTTTCGTTATACTATTTTCATATTCCTTCCAATATAAAATTTGTTAATACGCCTCTTAGCCATGTCAATAAAATTTTATTGTACGATATTATCGGTTTCGAAAAAAAAAAATATATATATATATATATATACTATCTATAATGGTTGATATTAAGCATCAGTTTATATATCGAACCCCGCCCCCCTTAAAATAATTTCCACGCTGTGAAAAAAATATACATTTTCGATTATCATCTAGTCTCACTTAACCAGCTGAATCTATAATGCAAAATCAGGCATATTTTTATCGGGTAGGATTTTTAAATGATTTTTTGTACTAAATACTTGTATAGTAACGAATACAATTATAATATTATTGTGTTTTTAGAGGTGGGGCAAATGCTCCCATTGACCCCACCCTCTCCGGACCCGTTATTGGGATAGCCGGATGGATCATATTATTATTAAATTGAAATCTATAATATACGAACCTCGTGTCCGAGACTAGTGAGGGTGTAGAAAACGGAAAAGTTTAGAGCAATCCGACCGGATAAGAGGTTCAAACTGTTACCAGATTGTTTTTGCCCCTCGCGTCGTTGGTTTTTCTATACATACGTATACGTAAGTGCATTATTGAAAAAAAAAATAATAATGGAAAACGTGTATCGTATTGGATGGTGAGCGACGGTGGCGATTCGAAAAACTTTCAACGATTGGGTGTTTTTTTTTTTTTTGTCTTTTTCGCCGCTATCGACGACGTAATGGCGACACCGAAGTCTCCGGCTGCAACCAAAGAAAAACCAAACATACTCGTGTACGTTCCAGCTATAGTATAATAACAATGATAGTATACACAAGCATATAATCATATGTATAGATTATATCGGAAAACTTTTTTTTTTCGTTTCACTCAATGAAAGTTTTTTCAATGTATATACGGGGAGAAGTTTAGTATCGTACGCGATAATATACTAGAATATTCAATACGTGTTTGTGGTATGTTCACGAAAAAATGGAAAGAAAAAAAACAAATTATTCTAATAACAGCTAGCGATATACTCGTCATCGTTACGACAGCCACATCAGTAAATATAAAAGAAATTACAATTACGAGTGTTTCTACAAGTTTTCTACGAGTGTATTTTACAAAGTGATTCACTTAACTGGAAACATTCATTATCTTGGAAAGTATTAACTTTTTTCCAATTTTTTTTTTTTGAAAACTTAAGAAACAAATAGTTCTAAAATATTACGTTATCATATTTTTTGTACTCCTTATCTTTGGGGGTGAAACGACCACCTACTTTTGATTTGCAAATGGCGACCTATTTTTAAAATACCTTAAATAGATAGAGTATTATTTAAAATAAATTTTGGTGTTGAAATTTTCGATTTCCGTTTACCCGTTGACAATATATTCCACTTTTAAGTTACGGGCGGGAGGATAGTAGTGGTATATTCCGCTCGAATTTCATTACACCGAAAGTTTTATGTATTACACCGTTTTAAATGATACAGTGTAAAAGCTTCCAAGGTATAACGAGTATAACTGATAATCTCTACTTCATATAGACGAAATGGCTGATTCGCGATAGTTAAGAAATATTTATAATCTATGTTATCGATTTGGTAAAGCCAAATGCCAGGTGAGACTTGTGATAATACATTACCTACAAGATCACCCATTGAAAACATTTTTTTTTTTCAGTAATACAGTGTCTATTTTGTTACAATTGCTATAATAATTAAAATTATAATATAATAATTATGCCACAAATGGTTTTTTTTTATGATATTGTATTTTATTTAATAATTTATTAAACATATAAGTAATCTCAATTAGTATTGCACATGTGAGTTGGATATTTGCTGAAGACAATGTACAATTAATTGATAAGTTTTAGCTAGGTAGCTGTACAAAATATATTAAAACACATTATTATTATGTACCTATACAAATTTTATTTTTTTTTTTGATTTCAGGTGAATCAATACGTTTTGTTTTAATGTATATGGGATACCGAATATTGCATTACTGACTTGTTATACCTATCAATATTATTCATATTTTGATAACTACCAAGCTTGATTTAAAATCGAGTAACACCGTAGAACTGTACCAGCCATATTTTTTTCATATTAAAATTCAGCATATTGCTGGTCTAAAATAATCTAAATTAAATAAAAATATCTTTAGCTAGATGATTTGAACTTTGTTTGATATCTTCAAGAAAAACCATAAAATAAGGATGAAACGGTGCAGTCAAATTTCAATATTATAATAGCTAGGACGCTAGGTTGATTAATTGAAGTATTATTTTGAAGTACAATTTACAATTTGGAAAAAGTCAAAATAAAAGTATTGTATTTTAATATTTTACTATACGAAACAATTAATTAGTTGTGTATAATTATTTTTAATTCTATTTAACTATAATATTTAGTATTTAACTGTATTACACCTAAATATTTTTACTGTCAACTTTAGATAGTCAAATTAATTTCAAAGAAACTTTGGCAAAAATCAAGTTCAACCAACTACAAAGAGAAAAACTACTATCAAAATTACATACCTATGTATATGTTTTATTTTAAAATGTTTTGTCTAGTTAAGTTGAATAAGGTTACAACATTAATCATTTGAACTTAAAAAGTTTGATATCAATTAATTTAATAAATAAACATATAACTATGTAGTTATTAATATTACCATATTAATGTTTAACTAATATTATTTTAAATTAACAGTACTTATGTAAACTATATACTATTTGCTACATAGTTTTACTTAAAATTATACCTACCTATTGTATTACATAATACCTATAATGCGTAATACTGAGTCTTTCAATAAATTATTGATGTTGTAACGTATTTATTATTAAATAATAATTGCAGTAAAAACTCAATCAACTAACTGACGAGTCACGAGACCGAGACTATGACGGTTAATCGAATAAACGGTTAACAGAAATTTTAAAATAAATGTTTATTTTTTACGTGTATTTATAGACAAAAAAAATAATAATGCATAATAACAAAAATAATACCATATTAAAAAATACTAATCAAAATAATTCATCATCTTCTGTTTTTATGAGGCATAGGGTTTTTGAGTAGCAATGTTTCGTATTTCACGAAGAAATAAAATGGTGACCGATGACAGATAGCTGAAAATGATAGTTAATCAAGTCTCTACTGTATTACTAAAGTAGTAACAATGTAATATTGATTGCACTTTTTTAAATTTTACTGTTGTTTAAAGTGTGGTTTTATTGAAGTGTTAATTCAATTTTTTGAACACCGTTATTTTGCATAACTGCAAAACGACAATTTTGATTAAACTATATCATTAAATTTGAAATAGGTGGTTCATAGTCCTGAACTAAAATTATAGTAAATTTTTAAGTGCTCATAGTAATATTAAAATAAAAACCATAGGCGTGCGTATAGGGCATGCCTGAGCACTACCTGAAAATTGTATGTATATTTTTTTTTTTTTTTTGCTATTATGTTGATATATGACAATAGGTACATTTTTTGTTGCAATCACTTTTTTTTTCTTAATTTAAAATTTAGTTCATACATTTCTAATTCACTGCCAATTATCTTTTACGACTGTGTCACCAAATATTATACTGGCTTGATTGTAACTATCCAAGTTGTTGATATGTAGACTATGATGATTATCGATTGAATATTACAAAGAAACTTTTACTTTAAATTTTTTGGAGTGTATGATATTTAATTAGGTACCTAATTGATATAATTATGAAAACTAATATAAAGACAGTGAACAGAATGATTTTTTTATCATGAAGCAGTAATTATCTTAGAGGATTTCAAGTGAATTTGATTTCTGTTTTTTTTTAACCATTATTTAGCTTAGATTAAGCTTTGTTTTAAAACTATTTTAAATTTGTTTATCCCTACTCCATACACCTTAAATAAGTGCATACTTTTTATTTTCAAATAGGAACCTCACCTTTTGAATACAGATTTGAACAGAGAATATTTTTCTAGAAATGTTGATATATATATATAACACTAACATCAGATTCATGAGTTATAAAAGTTTAAAGTTTAGATCGAAGGAGTGTAGGGAAGGGTAATAAATTACCTTTCTATAACCCCGAGGCCCGGTTTTTATGTAAAATTGTTGAAAAATATGATCATATTTACATATGCATAAAAACAAATGTATTATATGGCAGTATGTGCATACAAATATTTTGACTTTGCGATAATGTGTTTATGAAACAATTGAAATGTCATTAATATACTATCAAATTATAAATTTATGATTGTATAACTGAGTAAAATTTAGATGTATTTTTTTTTTTTTTTTAATAAATGATTAATGTGTATACAATATTGAAACTATCTAGAAATATAGCATGGTCATTTTTACTCAAATAATCGAAAAATATAATATATAAATATAATTTAATTTTGAAATTGGTTTCTGTATAGGTACCTAGTAAAAATACTAGGAATTTAAGACATATGTTAAATCTATATCATAAAATAACTGTGTAAAATATAATATAAACAAAAAGAACAATAATGGCTAATAATTAACTATACCACTATGGTCACAATATTAGACCAGACCATAGATCACAGAAAGGTACAATACATTTATTGTGCCATAAAGAGAATACAATATTAAAGTAACCGTTACAATTTCAGATATAGTTCTATAATCGTGGTTACAACCATAGATCTAGTTCACACGAAAGGCGTTAAACGCGCGTTTACAATTCCTATATAATTCTTAGTAACTGTACAGATGATAACGCGCATTTAACGCCGCTGTAACGCGATTACCCTGTCTACGCGCGTTAGAACATGTTTGAAATATATACAAATAAGCATTGAAGTGTTTAGTTGCAACGCACATTTCGTAGCGATAAGTTCTATTTGTGTGCAATTATTTTTTCGAAAAAGTTGTAAGTTTAAGAAATTACAAGTTTGTTATTTTATCAAAAGTGAAGTAAAGGCTTGAAGTAAGTCTATTTTGTAAAATAGTATGAACCCAATATTTTCTTTCTTTTTGTCTATGACGCTGTCTTCTACGATATAGCATCCATATACAAATTGCATCCGCAACGTTCATGTTTGACGTTCAACAGTCAACAAATGACGGACTACAGTAAAAACGAGTGCTTAAAATGCGTAAAAAACGAGTAAAATCGGTAACCATGTGAACAGTCGTTTCAATGTCAACGCGCGATTAACGCTCTTCATGTGAACTAGCCCATATGCAACCCAGTGGCGAGGCGTGCATATTTACAGTGTAATCATTCCTTACACTTTCAGTTATAAAATATTATAGGTATATTTTTAAATGAACACTTTAAGCTATGATCAAGTTCTAATAATGTAAAATTATATATTATTTTGGAATTTTTGAATAGTACATATAAGGAGATGTCATTTAAGCAACTTTTAAATATGTTACACAACCAATCATCGTGATATCCATATCATGATGCTATTTACTATACTATCAGCGTTGGTATGACTACATATGACACTGTCATATTAAAACTTATCAATCATCTTCACTCATTGGCTTCAAACAGTTCAAAATATTATTACTGTTGTTTATTTAGGAGCTATGGTGAATTATTTAAATCATTTTTTTATAGTATTTGTATTAAATAAATCGTGAACGGCTCTCTAGAGGTAGTAAAAATAAATGTAGGTATAAGAAAGTTTATATTTTTTTATCACGCCACGCCACTGTTGCAACCGCAGTCTTGACGGTTTGATAAAATATGGTTTCGGCGTGTTAGTAGGTAATGCATAAAATCAAAATCTACTAATCTTAAGATAGTATCTTAAATCGAGGTTGTATCCATCGCGAGTCAGCCCAATCAGATGACGTCATCGTACTTTGTATGTAGTAGAAATTATCAGTTATCACCTTTATACCTTGAGTACTTTTAAACTGGTTTTTACTTTAAACTCGTGGTGTAATACTTAAAACTTTCGGTGTAACGAAATTCGAGCGGAATATACCACTACTATCCTCCCGCCCGGAACTTAAAAGTGGAATATATTGTCAACGGGTAAACGGAAATCGAAAATTTCAACACCAAAATTTATTTTAAATAATACTCTATCTATTTAAGGTATTTTAAAAATAGGTCGCCATTTGAAAATCAAAAGTAGGTGGTCGTTTCACTCCCAAAAATAATGGGCACAAAAAAAATGATAACGTAATATTTTAAAACTATTTATTTCTTAAGTTTTCAAAAAAAAAAAAAATTTCGAATAAAGTTAATACTTCCCGAGATAATAATTGTTTCCAGTTGAGTGAATCACCTTGTATATTATAACCAGGGCTAGGAAAATTATGCAATAAAAACCTATAATACACACATTGAAATAAAGATCAATAGCACTATTAAATTTTGAAAATGACACTAAAAAAATGCATTTATTTTTGAGAATTTTAAGAAAACGCAAACAAAATATATAACATCAAATTTTATACTTAAACTTTGTAATGTTAGTATACAATTTAGTACTATGGAGTACTGGAGTACTATGAATTAAAAACTTGTTTGCAAATATATATGAATATAAAATTTTAACCTTATCGAGTAGTTAACAATGATACATTTTTCTTCAGTTACGTTATAATTAGCTGCATACGCAACCCTCTAATTATCGGTATTATCGTATCTTCGTAAGATCATAATATACAATAAATTATTTACGTGTACATATTATTATTTTTCCCGACTAATATATTATGATATAATAAGTATAATAGGATTATCAAACGTATCAAATTATAAAATTTTAGTGGTACGAATAACTAAGTAATGTAGTATGTTTCAAATATTATAAGACGCAAGAAAACGGCTAATTAGAAAAGTTTGACGATACATAATATATATAAAATTATGTATCCTAATAAATAATTAATATTGTCTTACTATATGTTTTTGAAGTCGTTTATGTTTACAAGGAATAACTATAGAACGAAAAACTGATGCGTAAATATTAATAACTCCAGTCATGGTGCATATTTTAAATAGCCCAACATAATAATATATAATTACAATATGAATAGTTAGCTTCGTTATACATTTGGTCTCAGAGCTTTAGTAAATTTATGGTATTTTTTTTATTGGTTTTATAATGATGTTTATTATAATTTTTTTACGTAAAGTAAAACATAATAAATTCAGTTTCTCTCGGAGGCAAGTATAGAATGTTTTTAGATTCTAAGTGCTGCATGTATATGGTTTTACTGTACAATGCGTGTTATTTTTTTGTTTGTAAATTACTTTTGAGCCAGAATTCTTTTTCAATGATCAAATGTAGCATCTTTCCTAAAACGAAATTTTGTCTAGTTAGAGCTTCAATGAGGTCATTTTTTCTATTTTCCCGATAGTTTTATTAATAATTTAGAAAATCTGGTAAATAAAGTCTGTTTAGTTCTATGTCTCATTAGAACCGAATACGTAAACTGATTAAGGCACAGATCTCAGAAAACAGTATTTTCTCCGCCACTATTTTATTGTGTTAATAACTATTGTAGCTATAATAATTATATAATCGGATATTCGCAATGAACTGAGTAAACTAAATAAAATTGAACTGTCCATCGATTTCAATAAAAAGTACAATTATATAAATTATATTAATACATTAAAAAAATAATTTACGCAGATAGAGAGATAGAGAGCTAATTATTGAGACATTATTATGTTAACGACCATTGCAGTGAACTTAAAAGAGAGGGTGCAGGTGGCTTATGATCATGGTCGGAATAAAATTATAGTAGGGGATAAAATATCGAAAACCCTCGCCCCGTAACTATGCATATAGGTACGATATAATCATCCCCACGTAGGATGATTTATAAAAGTGGAAACGAAAATCAAAATGTTCAAACGGTTAATTTGGATTGCATATATAAACTGTTGCATACGAATTGTATCCCAAAATAAAAAATCTGATAAGAGACTATTTGAATTGCGTCCCAGGGTTTTCTGACTACACAAAATTCGTCCGTTCTACCTGCAAATTATATTTTTATAAATATATTATAATTACAGTTATATCCCAGTTGTATAAAAATTATTATTTTTTACAGATTATACTTTTAGTATGTGTATCGTCTGTTTGTTTAGTCGTAGTTTGTTCGTATTTAACGTTATACTAGATAACTCGTATAATGTTCTCGTAAACGTTGGCATAATTTTAAATTCTTATTAGTACAATGACATTGGTGACTGTAAATGAAAAAATAAAACTTTATTTTGTATGTATAGAATTTTGTTACCATAAAACATTAAAGAATGATGTTCAACGTTAGAATTGTTGTAAAAAACCGTCTGCCATTTATACAGGATGATTTTTTTTATCATGAACCAGTAATTATCTCAGAGGATTTTAAGTGAATTTGATTTTTTTATTTTCTAACCATTATGGAATTTTTTGAAATGCGTTACACTTTAAACATCGGAGAAAGATTTCAAGAAAAGTTGTCCACAGACACACAAAAAAAATAAAAATAAAAGGACACATTATAGTAAAATACAATATATCCCTCGCTACGCTCAAAATATCGCTCCGAATCTGAAAGAAAGAAAGTCAAACATATTTCATATCATGGCAGATATTTTTTTTAAATTGGAAGTTATGAAAGTTATAACATATTACGGCAATTAATTTAATATTCGGGATTAACGATAAAACATTGAAATTAAAAACCATTTACGATTTTTCCCTTTTAGGAAAGGTAGAGATAAACAAAAAAAGAACAAAATATCGTCAATCAGTCACGTTTTTTTATTTTTCAAAAAGCTAGGAGTTTAGAAAATGTTATAAATAAATTTCTATAGTCGAAAAATTTATATTTTTAAATTAGGTACTTTATCTTAAAATCGGGGCATCTTTTCTTACCGAAAAGGATATTATTAAAACTAATAGGCATATTCTTTACACTTTGAATCTAAAAATAATAAATACTAAATAATACTTTTCAACTTCTTCCCGTAGAAAATGTTCTACATAAACTCGCAAATTATTTAAAATATTTAGAATTCACGCGGAATATAATTATATTTGGATAAATATACAATAAATATCGATATATAAATGTAACCAAATACTTTACTTGTACTGCGTAGATTATATTATACGAATAGTTTTAACGAAATATTATAAGAAAATTCGAAAATAATAATAATGAGAGTTTTTCTCGAGATACTTTATAAAAAAAGCATATATTTCAGACGTAATATTATTTTGTAAACTCATAATGGAATTAGTTTTTTTTTTTTTTTTTGAAATTCAAATTCCTGCACTTTATAGCCTATATTTAACTTTGTTATACTGCTGCAGAGAACCCTGCAAGGTGAATTTTCCGACTCAGATTCTCACGAAGAAAATATACTAATTAATAAGGGACGGACAGAAAATAATCAATTATTCATAATTAAAGTTATTTTAACAGCGCGCCTCGTTGCTGCTGCTATAAGACTAATTTTCTCTTCGACAACTTATTGCAGTTGGTAGGTATATATATATAATCTTTTACCATATTTCTTGTTTTTATGCGAGTATAGGTACATCTATAGTATATTTAATAACTATTAACATTTTTTTCATACACAGCGCAAAAATATGTTATTCGACTCTTCAATATATAGTGTGTTTATTTTTATTTTTACAATATTCTGTTAAAGTTAACTGATATGGAAATTATCTTACTATACCAGTAAATATTGTTATGCGTAGAATACTTGATAAATGTGTGTTTAATTTTAAAATAATAACAAAAATACGAGAAGTATTTCACACCATTAATACGGTTAGGTTAGGTTGATTGTTTATGGATATTTTAAATGTGAAGGTATACAGAATAAAGGCTAATTTAATTTATACTTATAATGATGTACTGGAAACTACGTCAAATCATTGCTTTTCAAAATTTTTCTGAGTTGAGCTCGTTAAACTGGTAAAGTTACAAAGGATTAGTCATGTGTTTTTCTCTTTGTAACCTGCGAGATAACTTGTGTAAAAATCACCAAAAAAATAAAACCAATTTATTGTCATTTTGTTGTTAGCTGTTTTAATTTTTTAGAAAAAATGTTGGCACGTAGAAGCTACGATGCGAACAATTGAAGCATTTTTACTAGCCAAAAAAGTGTTGTTTTTAGAGAGGAAATTATACACTACGTCTTAGTAAAACCAATAGCTTCTTCACCATATGTATAATAACGTTAAAAATTATATGAAAAAAAAAAAAAAAAAGGATATATTTGTATACTTACAATATTTAATTGTTGCGATTGAATTTCTTTGTAGACCTCGACGATTTGCATAAGCGCTGAACCTGTAAAACACGGTATCAATCATTATTCTTGGTTAGATTCTACGGTGAACAATTCTCAAAGGAGTTGCGTAAGCATAATATTATTATAATAAGACCGTAAATTTAGCTAAAGGTTATTATTATTATTATTATCATTGTCTATGTATAATATTATGAAGCATCCCCAAAGTGTTATACTGCCATCAATTAAAGTCAAGTACTTGCGACTTACCCGGGAGTTTTTTCGATATTATTTTGAAATTTATTAATGACAAATTACTAGGTATATACAGTAATAATAATATAATATAGTAGGTACCTATATTATAATCTTCGTATAATATTATTTTATATAATACAAAATTACGAAAAAATTGAATTTCCTAGTTTCCTGCCTTCCAATAACTTAAATACATAAGGAAACAGGTATTTAAAGTATACATATTTACTTTAATGGTTTTTAAAATATTATTATAATTTCGATTATACCTATATCATATATAATAATATACTATCTTAACGATTGCGTTATTAATTTTTCATAAAGAATTTTTATAAATACATACAAATTCACCGTTTTGAAAATCGCATATAATGATATTGTATTTGAATAAATTATGGAATTTTGTGTTTTTCTCTGGAATTACCAATTAACCAACGATAATAATCATTGAAGTAAATTATAATAATACTACCTACCTAATTGTATAAAGTATATATTATATATAAATTCACGAATAAATTATTGAATTATTATCGAACAGCAACCGCGTGATTGAACTCAAGTGTTTACTTAATAATTTTAATAAGCGCGTGTGTTGGTAAAACATTTCCACACACGAATATTTATTTATGCGAAATCATCAATATAATTTAATATGATTTGTTTTTTTTTTTAATTAATGATTTTCTTTTAAATTTAATGAAATCGGAAAACTACGCTAAATTAAACAAATACAAAAATAAAAGAGTTGAATACCAATTTACTTTTCGTCTCTTTGACGATGAATAATAGTAATATTGTAAACAGAAGACACAAGGAGAACACGATATTCGCAATTATCGTCAAGAAAAAATATACAAAATATACAATTATTGCACAATAAAAAAAAAATAAAAAAATAAATCAATAATAATAATAATAAAACTTACAATTTCAGCTCGATTTATTTATTCGCGAGTGAACATATACATGCTAATTAACTATAAAACAAAAACAACTTGTATTTACTATGATGTGTGTTTTTTTTGTATTTTTTTTTCTGTCTGTAACATATCTAAAATAAATTTTGCTCCGATGTATGAAATTTTATCTAATTGGTGCATTAGAGAAGTCATTTATTGATTTTCCAAAGAGTTATAAAAATATTTGAAAAAAACCAGAAATAAAATTATAGGTAAAACGGTAAAATTTACGGTAAATTTTATTGTTTTTGATTGTAACTATATTTTCTACCAGAAATATTGCTAAAATAAAAGAACAACGAGAGAACTTCCAGGTATGCACTAAGAATACTAAATATTCCGGTAAACACGATTTAAAAATAAACAAATTTGAAATTGTTAAATTGTATAATTATTCATCAATAAAAAATATTTTATCTCCAAAAAGAGAGTACTATTATGTTATCAGTTTACTTATATACTAATGCAGATATTTATATAAATCTTAAACGATTATATGATTCTCGATTCGTTGAGTTTAAAATGTCTAAGAAATGTACGGAATCCTCAGAATAGCTCTAAAAATGTTCAAATATACCTTAAATGCTTTAAAACTCTTTACGAAATTCCAAAATATGACATAAAAATATGGAAACGTCAACATGTACATAATAAAAATGTGTACCTATATTGTATAAAATGTGTAGGTCATGAAACATATTTTGTCTCATATCATATAATAATTAGACATTTTTAATTTTTTTTTTTTAACCAACTAATAAAAATATTCAAAATCATATGTATTCGATCTAATTATTATTATAGTAAGTATATATTAGTTCTATGGTAGCTATAATAGTCGATTACATATTACTTTATATTATGCGTGGTGTTATATTTTATTTATTTAAGACCTAATTTATAGAAAAGATGATAATATTGGTCGTCGTCTGAACGTTAATTAACTGAGCGCGGATTCGATTGAAAGCTCTAAAAAGCGACCGAGCGAAATTGGATTATCACGTCCCCCCGCGTGTGTCTGTGTTTTGCGCCGTGACCATCTGCCAGCAGTTCTCTTCTTTGGGTCGATCTTAATTACTCCGCCGAAACGACGCCTGTTTTAATCTTATTTAAGTATATGAAAACATATCTTACACGCACACACACACACACACACACACACACACACACAAACAAACCACCTTGCAAACGTTAAGCATCCAAAAATCCGACGCAATAATTATAATATTATATATATACTCGTATATAACACTCATCGTAATCACTTTTCGTCGTCTTCGTCACTGTCATCGTTCGCATTTATATTTATTATCGATCTGAAATAATATTATTAACGTTTTAGGGATTAAAATTGGATATTTATCGCACATCGGGCTCAGTGTTCTATACATCTGCAGTCTAACACGATCACAGCCGATAAATTTTACAATATTATTAGATTTAATGCAATAATCCGGTGATAACAGTATTATTGACAGTATTGAGGCATGGATAGTAAAAATGTATCTAGATAACAGTATAAAAGTAAAATATTCAAAATTCATCTAAATAAAATTAGAAGATGAATTGAAATAAAATTGTAACCATATTCACACATTTTCGAATGATAAACATTTGGAAAATATTTAATTATGAATTTAAATTAAATATTTATCCAAAGTTATCCTAATTTTAAAATGTAATATTCTTTTATAAATATTTATAATATATATTATATTGTATTCTACTATATAACGAAAATATTTAATAAATGTTTATGTATAAATATATATCTTTAGTCAAACTAATTATGCACTTTATTGTAACGTTTACGTTAACGTCCATTCCGTTCGCGATAATTTTCTTAGATTTTTTTGTCTATTATAAGCCTTCCCGTTATTCCCGGACCAGAGACGTTATTTATGACCTTATACGTGTACGCGATCGTTTTTCAGCGTTATTTTCTTCGGTGTCCGTACCGTTTTCGTCGGTTTAACACCCAACGAGTACTTATTTTATTTCGTTGTAGCGCGATACGATTTTTTATCAGCTGTATACGCGAATTAATAAAAATAGCAATTTACCCGTAAAACAATAACAGTTATCAACAATAGTAATGATTTGGTCGATTAGGCGTTGAATAGTATAAGTAATAAAGTAAATTAAGCGAAATCAAAAATAGAAACTTTAATGTTATAGTATCGTTTTTTTCTCATAGACGGGTACACGATGACTTACACGTTTAAGCGTATCGTATGGAACGCAAACACAATGATTTTTTTAGTGATAAAACACCCAAAATAAATACGATAGTATTGTACGATTTTATAATTGTACTTTTTTATAATTTCACTTGTTTAGCGGTTTATTACAGTTTGAGCACATAATAATATAATAGTTAGATATCTATTGTATAACTTGACGAATGTCTATGGACCTATTTTAAAATTTTATTATAATATACCATGACCTAGTTTTTTTTTAAGGAAATAATATGTTATTATAGGTATAGATAGGTACGACGTATTTATTTTTATTAAATTTTGTTTTAAACGTCAAAATAACTCGAGAGAAGTTATAGTACATTAGTACTTATCTACTTATATTAATAATTGTTAAAACGCAATCATATTATTGAGTACACGGATTTTACGCAATTATAGTTACTATTATTTCATTCGGATATATGATAATAATATTATTATTATTGTATATAGATTTAATTTAATAAAAGGTTAAGTGTACAATTCTTACAAAGAAGTAAAGAGGAAGGCAAGTAACAGGGAAGAGTGGAGAATTGCTACAAACCAATCTCAAGATTGAATACAAAAGAAGAAGATTTACAATTGTGTATAATTAAGTATCTATAATCTACATAAAATATTTAAATTCGATACATTAATATCCGAAAACGTGGGTTATTTCAATAATAAAATTACATAAACATAAAAACAATCGTATAGTGTACTATACTGGTATGATTTTTTTTTACCATAGTACAGCGAGTATCTTTGACGATTTTGTCAGGTAAAATAGATTTTTATTTATATTTTTTTAGTTTTACAGATTCGTTTAACGATCTAATTCACAATATTTTTAACATTTCACCGTTATTCTTTACATACTATAAATGCGTAAACACGTATCAGATTTTTATTGTTAAACAAAAGCACACACACATTATTAAGTAAGATTCGGAAGGGGAATATTTATCTAAACGTTTTGAAACGTTTACTTCTAATATAGAGTGTTCTACAGTGTTAGGTTACATTGTTACATCCGTCGGCTAATAATTCTGTCAATATTAATTTTTTAAATATTTTTTTTTTCAATTGAGTTGTGAGAGAGGCACATTGTAGAAAAAATAACATTTTTATTTTCATCCCTTAATCACTGAAAAAAAATGACTTCATTTTAACACTTTTTAAGATTTTCAAAATAGCCATTTTGTAAAATATTTTATTCTAATAATATTTGAATGTATTATACATTCATATCCGAATAATAGTTTCTTAGTGGGTGGGGTTTTAAAGTATATAAAATAGATGTGAAAATAATTAATATTCAATAGAAAATAAGGAATTACCGTACTGACTGTTATTCCTTATTGTGTAACGTGTTATTCTATTGAAAATCAATTATTTCCACGTCTAATTTCTATACACTAAAGCCGCTATAACTTAGAAACTATTCAGATATGAATGTATGGAACATTCAAATTTTTAGAATATTGTATTTAAAAAAATAGCTATTTTGAAAATTTTAAAAAGTGAACAAATAAAACTTTTTATTTTCAGTGATTAAGGGATGAAAATAAAAATTTTAATTTTCTCTATGTATGTATATCCCTCTCATAAAACTCGATTGAAAAAAAAAAATGCAATAAAACATGAATATTGACAGAGTTATTAGCTGACGAATAACACTGTAAGACACTGTATATTAGATTTGCTATTTATGAGTCACAATTATAGTTTGAAATTTAGACCGGAGGAATGGGAAAGAGTTATCATTAAAAAAATGGATATAAAATGTATTACCTGTATTAACACAAACAAGAAATATCTTTTTAATAACCCAAGAAGTTATAGTAGATACAAAACTACAAAAACAATATAAGAGTGATAATAATGCAGAGAGGTAAAGAATTCTAAAGGAGAAAAGGAGGAACTCAGTTTAAAAGTTGGATAATTATTTTCATTCTGATGTTTGGAAGAATTCGGAGAGGTGCGTACGAGAATGATTGCGAGATCAATGAATAATAAATACAATTTTATTTAATATAATACGTATAGGAACTCGAAAACAACGCGAAAACTTTTTTGACAAAAAAAAAATCGCCATCGTGTTGCTAATTTTTTGCACAACCGTTCATAAAGCTTTTATATTTATATTTACTTGCTCACGGTGTTAGAACGCTAAGGAATATATCTATAGATATCCTCAAGTGATCCTGGAATTACTGGATAAAGACGAAAATACAATTGCAATATTATAATTTAAAATGTTTAACACTTCGAAACTACGTGTATACAGATAAAAAAAAAATGTTAGTATTTAAATTAGAAAAAAAAATATTAAACTATTAAAATAAATGTCTAAATTTATTATAGCTGCTAAAAGTCGAAGCCAGCTATTCAAGAGGGATTTACGAAAGAGGTTAGTGGTTCGTGCTTGTTGTGTACGAAATTCTCGACGAGTGGTCCTTTCGGAATTTCTCGAGCGTCTTGATCGCTTGAGAATCTATGAAAATACCATTATATTTTATTTGTTTTAAGAGGCAGAAGATCATCTATAAAAAAATATTGTTCTATTGATTTTAATTTTTATAGAAATTATAGCGGTATCTAATGACGAATGGAAGAGTGACGATACCGATGTCATCAAGGGATTTACATACGTCGTATATCTCTATTTTTTATTTGATTCATATTGAAACGTTTCGATTGAAAGTAATACATGGGATATGGATCCATCCCGAACAACATTAAAAATTTTATTTGTGAGTTTAAAGAGGTCTTCGTTGGTATTTACGTTGGTGTTGATAGAAGGTAACTAATACATAATAAAATTATATTTATCGGAATATTGTATGGAAATTATAAGAATACTCAGAGTACAACTGTGGCAACAGTGCGGCAGTGTCCACATAATGTCAACTATATCTGATCTATTTTAAAGAATACGTGTAACCCTCTTGAACAAATAAATTCTCTGTAATATTTATTAAATCATTAATTTTTTTATTAGATAATACCAAGTACTCGACCGCATTTAAATCTTTTAGCCATATTGTTATGAATATAAATAATTCTACATATGTTGTTTGAGTATAACATTTCATTTAAATATTCAATCGTTTTATTCCAATGCTCTTAAAAAATTCCACTATATATTCCATCTCTGGTCTTCTTCCAATACGTAATCTTCGATAAACCAATTCAACAAACTATCAAAGCATCATATGATGATGCTGTTGATGTATTATATAATCTCTTCTGCTTTATAATTTTTCCTCAATATTATTCTTAAAACTTTTTCGTTTAATTCGTTTTGTAACTCTTACTTAAACCACGATATCTTCAGCATTTTACGGTAATGTTACCACACTTCAAGTGGTTCTAGAAATCTATTCTCGATTGTGTTCAATTGTAGATATCTTGAAAAAGTTTTTTCTCGTGTTGTGTTAAAGTGATTGATTATTATCATGGTATTGAATATATATTAATCCAAAATACATATATATTTACTTTTTACTACAAGCACAAGTAATGGTTTTGTTACTAACACTTATCATCTTCATTGCGAAATGTATTGTTTAGATTTGAAAACACCAGTAATATTATATCATACAATTACAAACCGATGCCAATTTGTTTACACTTATTTTATATCGAATATTGTCATCAAATAACAATAAAATCAATAATAATAACAATGGATCAACAAAATAGACGTTAAATCGGCGTGGGGAGGTACTTAAGGGAGGTAATTTTCCCATAAGTTTTCTCAGAAAATGTGAAAAACTGGGATAAACACGGGGAAATCGGTAAAATCGTAGGAAAACTGGAAAAATTTTTTCAGCATTAAACAAATTGTATTAAATAAAATGTATAAAGCCTATTTAATTATTTTACTACAAAATGACATATATATTTCTGACAAAGCATCACTGTCCACTGAACTCTGTTCAGAATTGTTTTTTCGTAAGCAATAGTTTATTGTTGTTTACAGGTATACATTAAATTATCTATAACAGTGACTACACCCGTCCATATTATCCTAGAATATTTTCTTTTTTCTTTTTAGAATATATTTTGTCTTGGCTGAAATAATTGGATTCTGAGGGGTTTTTTTTCGGCTATCGTGCGGGTATGTACTAATTATTATCTAGATGCACTCTAACTATTATAGGGTTTAAAAATCTCTATTGATTGCACGCCCCGCAGTGCATATCGGAGACGTTGTTTTATAATTAGCTCGATAAAATGCGAACAAAGTACACCTACGGCGATGATCGGGCGCGAAGCGATTTGTTCTGCGCGTTTAGACTCCGCAAGACGACGTATTATTTAAATCGGACGGACCGCACACACTTCATCGAGATCACGTCCGGGCCGAAACGATAACTGGACCGGCGCGAAACGACTAAATAGGTATTTACGACGCTTTCCAGCGATTATTTATAATTTTCCGGCCATCCTTCTTCGCGGGTGATATACCACGACCACGGTCACGGTATATACTATACACTGCAATATAATATATTATTATCATTGTAACGGGGCCGCAGCCACAGTGGCCACCCCGTTTTTCCACTCTTGGCGGCATAAATATTTGACAAATAGCGTTTTCCATGCGACTGCACTCGTTTAAACTTTTTTCCTATTAGCACCAGCCGTCGCCAGTGCAGTAGATAAAGCGAATTCTATAAAATATGACGGGTGCATTGTGTAGTCTTATCTACACTAGTACAGAAAAATTACACTCTTGATTTTGACGGTGTGGAATATACTTTATTAGTATGTTTTGTGATGTAAAATAATATAGATATTGGATGTATACAAAAAATATAGAGATTTTACCCTCAAAAATAAGAGTGACAAAAATAACATAAATATAAAATTGTAGAGCCCTTTATTTCTTAAATATTCTAAAAAACAAATTTCGAAAAAAAGTTAATACTTTCCGAGATAATGAGTGTACCTACTGAAATGGATCACTCAGTATATTATTATAGCCTATGAATTGTATTTTAATATCGTGTTATTGTAAGTCATGTTCCACTACATATCATACACGAGTGTTGGGCATTTACATTCATGTACTATGTGACTACACGTGTATTTTACACGAGCGTAATCAAATGAAAACCATTTAAAGTCCTGATCATCCGCCATGTGTGATAATATAATACGTATAGGAACTCCAAAACAAATCCAAAACTTCTTTGACAAAAAATGAATCGCCATCGTGTTGTTGCTATTTTTTTGCACGAATTTTCATAAAGCTTCTATCAATATTTACTAAAATTATAATATTTTATAATCCATAGATCATAATTTATAAATATAATATTAAGTAAAAAAATAAAAGTTGAATATTTTAGATTTTGTAGATTTTTTTTATAAGCGTTATGTTAAAATTTTGACGTGGATAACAAAACAATGACAGAATTTTAAAACGTGTTTAACCAAAGTTCACTTCGAACTGTTTTTTGTCAGCAACGGTTTGGTTAGGTTAAATAATTTGATCCTACTTATCCAACTATCCACATACAACAGTGGCATACTGGCACATCCGTCCCCAGTATTAGCTCTTTTTTAAGTATTTTGGTTTAACGGCAAATATTATTTGATTATTAAAGATAATAATTTTCAACTTAATTTACTTATAATTACTATGGAAATTATTTTCAAGTTGATCAAACACATTTTCGCGACTTAAATAAATTTAATATTTATAACATTTTAATTTTTCGCTTTGATTAGTGAATTAATTTTTGGTTTATTTAATTGAGTTTATTGTTTTTTGGCATAAGATTTTTCGTTTGGAAATTATTATTAATATTCGGCCATCCAAATATTATATCTAGAAACATTAACGAAGCTATTCGTTATAGTTTTTCTTTAACCGAAAAATAATATAATATTATATGTCCTTGAAGAAACGTATTCTATTAAAAAAAAAACAACAACAAAAACACACATATATCTATAATTTATAAACGGTATTGAACTCCCGTATACACTTAATAGTTAATTAATAATATACTATCGATATCTACATTTTATTAACACATTATATATTTTTATTGTCGTTGTTGCATCAATAAATCATGTAAATGTTTACATGTACAATTTTTTCTATAAAAAAAAAAATTGACTATCTTGTTTCCCTAATTGCAAACTTCTATCCTACTATCTCGTATATAAGTGAGTGCAGTTCGGACGAGCTTGCATTTTCAATTAACCTACATATATTATATATGTACCTAGGTACATATCTAATAATAGTTACTGAACAGATATGCAGTTAATTTATTATTATATAACTATACATATAGATAGGTCAGGCGAGTATACCTAAGTATGTTATTATTCGGAAATTGAAAAAGTCTTATGCAAATTATAGATGAACCTACCTATAAAGTATTAGCCGTATACGAGGTGACTGACATATGAGTCGTGTCGAATTGGAACCCTCATTAACGTATGTTGGTATTTACCGAAGACGTTATAAATATTATAAACGCATATGCAGATGAGCGTGGGATATAACAAAACAGCATTTTTCGTTTTTTTAAATCTAGTGTCAATGTGATGCCTACACACGGACGAACACTGCACTTATACGCATATACACACATTCCTACAGCTGGATGAAGAATATACAAATTGTCGTTATTGAGCTCGTATTAATAATAAAGAATTGACTTAATCTCAAGGTCTTTCATTCTACCGGTAGCAAGTATTTGAAAATTTGATAAAATTATAGATTAATATTGATATTAATAAATTCAGTGTTCTCGAAAATGTTTTGTTTTATAATTTGTTTTTGTTAAATTCGTGATTATACTATCAATCGATTTGATCGATCGAAATGATAACATCACTTGTATTAAAACCTCCCATCTCAATCATTAACATATACATTTATAGTCGAGATAAGTGTTGTTTTCTAAAATGTTTTTCTATATTCCTTTAAAACTATCTAAAAACTGATACAAGCACTTTTGTATTATAGTAAGACAATAAGTCATGACTATATATTTAACTATATCTTTATACCCTAACCTTTTATAATTTACAATACGATATAAAAATAATTTCAAAATTCCTTAAATTTTTCTGTGCGTTAAAAATATTCAACAAAAAAATTAAAAAAATAAAATATTCGACTATACAAAAAAAAACCCAAATGTTAAATTGTCAAAAAAGAAAAAAATATGTACGTAGATATAATATTTACACGGAATGACGAAATCAAATGTCACGCTCTACAAGTATTTTTTCATCGAAAAATGTGTAATTGGAACCACTTCCCTCTCCCTATTTACACCGTCATCGTGGAAGAGGGTTCATTTTTAATTTATAATATCCAGAATAAAAATATATTTTGTTTCGATTAGTAAAAAAAATATTTATTTAAAAAAAAAAAATAACAACAATAATTTATTTTCAAGCGGTTACATAATCAGTTCTTTTCTCCTTCTAAATAACAACAATGCTTACAGGGAAATATTAACATATTAAATACCCGATTAAGAGAAACTTCAAATATCCAAGTAAAAATTGTATTATCGCACATTGAAATGTGTCGAAAATAATTGTGTTCCTGGGTGGAAACTGTTAGTAAGGAAAGTTAAATGTAACAATATCGACAAAATATAACGTATTAAATACGTAACGAATATTATCAAGTTTATCCGTGTTGTAACATATCAAATCACTAAAATATAAAATATAACATGTGATTTTTCTACTTGTAAATAATCTTATATGCCAGAAATCTTGCTTCGACGATCAGCTTCGTAAGTGGTTATTAAAACACGAAATTGAGCGTAATGAAGTCGTTTTTTAAAAGTGTTTTAAGATCAAACTTTGACGAAATCGTAAAAATCAAGGTATTAAAAAATGTATTTAACCAAATTTCGCTCAAAATCTTATTTCTTTGACAATTTATCGTTCAGTATAGATATAAATAAAATAGTCCCAGGTTCAACACGCCAACCAGTCAGCATTAGCTTTTTAAGATTAAGATTTTGGTAGGTACTGTGTATATATGGATTTAATTGTTTAACCGAACAGAAATGCTTTAAAATTTAATAGCAGATTCATAATAAGTTGGTATTTACCTAGTGTTAAAAAGAAAAATTAAATATAATGTTTTTTTTTTTTTTTTTTTAATGTTACCGATTTTATTGTTTTTAATTTTTGTAACTTACAAGCTCCAGCTCTGGAGTACTGAGATGATGCACAAAAATCGAACATAACAAAAATTCAAACTTTTAAAAAATGTTTCCCTAAGAAAAATAACTAACGCCCTTCCCTTTGTTTCTAATCTTACCTTCCATAATGACTTAAAAATAACAACAGTACTCGATGAAACAAAATTTTTCTACAAAAAATTTCTTAACAAACTACCTTTCTATTCGAATCCTCTTATAAAAAATTGATCAACACTATCCTTTCTAGTAAATCTCTCAAGACGCCTAAAACGAAGATGGTATCGTAATCTTCTGAATGATCATGACATTTTTTTTTTTTTTTTAAAAAAATATATAAATTATATTAACAAAAAATAAATAAAACAAAAACAAAAATTCAAAATAGGTAGTGTCACTAATGGATGGCTTCTTCCCTCAAAAGTTTCACATGTAACTCCTCTCTAGCACATTTACTTATTGTTCTAAATAATAATAGAATAATATTACTCCACTCAGAATAGTTTTCCCTTATTCGTGACAATACTTACCTATATTCTATACATTAAATAAAAATATTCATATAATTATTAAAAATTATAAAAAATAACAGCCATATTACTAGTCTATAAAATGTAAAAATGTGAAAAAATATAACAATATTGTTATAAATTTGTATACTGCGACTGAGAATAATTCGCAAACAATATTATTTCGAACGAATAATATTACATTATATACTATTAGTTGACGTCGCCGACGAGTATAACACGTATGTGCATTTGTATTTTCAGTATATCCATTCACTTTTTAACCATTGACTTTATTAAAAAGATAACAAAACCCATTAACCGTCAGATGAAAATATTCTAGCCATGTGCGCGAATGTATAATAAATAGGGGACGATGACCTACATATTATACGGATTTTCAAAGACATTCTTTCACCTGCAGCGCTAGATTCTAACATTCTGTCTCGGTCACACACGTATTGAACTCTGTGCAATACGATAATTATAAGATAATATACCTACATATCTACCTATACGTCTAGGAAACTGGTTCAGACCAATAACAACGATAATAAAATAATATACGAATTAGTATATGTACGGTAAAGTACATAATTATTCTTAATTTTGTTTTGTCGGTCGCCTTTTATATAATATCGTCGGAGCCACGTTTCGATTGCATAAAACCCAGGTCGAAAATTGGTCGAAAAAAAAACGAGTTTTTCTTGGAATATAAGATAATATACGTGTAATATTATTGTAACGTTAAATAAAAGCAAACGCCGTGCAGCTGTTACCCCTCCAGGCACCGAACGAAATAAAAATAATATTATATTGTAACGCTGAGTATGGATACCTGGCAAAACGATAAATTATTTGAATGTACGTTTAGCCGTTGCAGCAACGTTTGAAAACCGAATGATAATAATTCCATGGCGTAGCAGTCGTTTGCGTGCGCAAAATCGTAAAACGGTGAAAATATAAAACGATAAATATTTTTTTTCTATCATATCGTACTTATTGTGAAACCGAAGGTTCTCCCGCGGTCGACATACATAATCTCCAAAAGCATCCTTCCACCAGCACCTCTGCCGAGAGAGGACGAAAGTAACAAGAGCTCTTACACGTAGATTTTTAATACCGAAAAAAAATCAAATCATAGTATTCTAAAACAAAGCTCTAGGTATCCTAGCTCTTAACGTATAATATAACTTATTTATTGTTATGTTGTTTTATTATGCATGTCCGCGAGATTTGGGAAACAACGAAAGGCGATGAACTCGTCATATTTAAGAGTGAAAATAGTTTTACATATACAAATGGGTTTATACTAAACCTTAAACAGGGTTAGAAAGATATGTGAGAAAAAAAAATGAAGAAAACATTTTCAATATTCCAAGTCTACAAATCGATCTGAAAGCTAAAAGACTAAAGTAATTTCACAATGTCTGGCCGGTAAAGGATAAGATAATACATATTAAGATCTTGACCATGAACCGAATAGACAGAGGAAGTAGTAGACCACGCTGGACAATAGACTTGATAGGGTGAACAAAGATTTAAAAAACTTAGAACAACAATAATGAATAAATTTAAAATGCGGAAAATCGAAAAAGATGCCTGAGAACTTCAAAGTCTATAAGCCTAGGTAAAAATTGTATGAACCTAGCACATTAATTCAAACAGTGTAAATACATTTTCTATGACTTTCCGGTAACTCGAATGGGATTCATCGAATTTTGTCGTAAAATATAAAATAGACTATTGCATCAGTGTGTCTGTTATTTTATTTTTCCGTTACTTTTAGATTTTTAGATAAATGAGCTCAAACTCGAGAGTTAGAATTTTTTTTGTAGACGAAATAAAGTAATAGAAGTGGTGTACAATTTTTTAATGAATTTATAAGCATATAATATGTTGCTACGAGTACAGGGTGTTATTATTAACATTGGACACCTCTACAGCCACCCAAAATAAAGCTAAGTGGAAGAAATGTTGTATTTGTCTGTTGGTGTTATCATTAATAAGGTTGTGATTTTTAGGGTGTTTCAACTTACAACACTAACTCCAACCATTTGAGATTCTGAGCGTAACAAGATACTAAGATATTTATTCCTTTTTTTTTCTTTGTTTTAGACTGAGAATATGTTTTTTCCTTAGTAAATTTGCTACGATTTTTATGTGTAGCAACTTTTCTGAATGATCAAGTTGTCTAAATGGTACTCTATACTGGACATTAATTTTCGACGCCATTATTTAAATAAAAGCACTTAAGTGGGAAAAAAACGTAAGAAAACGTACAATTTTACGTTTTAAATATTTTATAAAAACACGGATGACGTTTTCTACCAGAAAAAAATGATTTAATCAAAAAATCACAAGATACCTTTTTTGTTGCCGTTTTGATTTAATTTCTTACGGTATCATCGCCAAAACTTTTGAGTTATTAAGGAATTTTGAATTGTTGAGAGTTTTTTGCTGCTATTCGGTTATAAATGCATGTAGAGACTTGAAACTTGGTATTAATACTTATATTGGATTTACTTAGACGTAGTCAAATTTCCAAAATGATCGGACTACTTTTTTTGCTTTTTAAATTTTTTACAATGGTATTTTTTTTTTTTTTTTTACACTGTAAACCACTTTTATCCAAGAAGACTTGCTCCGATTCATAAGTGTAGCACCTTTACTGCAAGTCGATTTTACCTACTTAGTAAATATATAGATCATTTTATGATTTTCGAAACAGTATTTAAAATAAAAACGATTAACCGGGAAAAAAATACGATTTTTTCACGATTTCGTCATTTTAAATAAGTACCTACAATGTTTTCTAGCACAAATATGGCTCCAATTGAAAAACGATAAGTGACCTTTTTTTGTTGAATTATAATGTTGTTTTTAATGATATAATTCGTTATTTTGGTTTTCATAATAATTGGGAGAAAACGTAGGAAAAACGTAAAGTTTTACGATATCATTGTTTTATATTAATATGGAAAACGTTTATTATTAGGAAAAATGTTTTAATCGAAAAATGACAAGAAACCTTTTTTGTTTCGTTGTATTTTTTTTTTTAATAAGCATTTTGAAACCAAATTTAAACAAAAATCGCAATAAAAATTACATTTCAAATTATACATTAGCGAACTGTGCTCAGAATCATTTTTCGTTAGCAATGGTTTATCGTTGCTTACAGATATAAATGAAATAACCTTATGTATCCTACCTTCTTAATTTCCCACTTACAACAGTGGCCGCTCCCATCTCCAGTATCAACTCTTTTTTCGGTTTTTCGCATTTGATGAGAAAACTCTTGAGAAAATCGAAAAACTACCTCTTTAAAGCACCTCCCTACACACCGATTTTCTTTTAGAAAAGGTGCCTATCCATGGTACAAAGCGTATCGGACTATTTTTTTTATCCATTTTAAAACGTCTTACATAAATTTGCAGCTCGAATTAGTGTGTTTTAATACCACACAATTATTTTTGTTATATTCAGGCTTAAGTTCAAAAAATAACCGATTAGTACACAAAGTACTTATGTAGTTTACAGCTGAAAAAATAGAGCGAATCTGTTTGTAGGTATGTATTTTAAACATTTTTTTTTTTCATGCCTACCAGCAGAACAATCATAATCACTACAATTATTATTAAAAGCTGACGCAGCACAGTGACGGAAGTAATGAATTTGTTTTGCGGCCGTCGCAAAGAGTACCTGTGTCCTGTATATATGTAAGAGTGAGAAAGAGCGAGGAAGAGAGGGTGTATGTATGTATAATATATATGCAGGGTGTATTGGTGTGTTTAATGAAAAACGGATTACGCTTTCGTATAATAATATTTAATATAACGGCCGAAAGGTTGGCGATGGCGGTTGAGTTGGCATCGGTACAAAACTACTACGATGGTATTTCTGGCGTTAATATTACGATGCGATGACGAGGAGGAAGAACGACAACTCGAGCATTGTTTTTAGCACCCGAAATGGGAAGCGAAAGAGGACGTTCTTTTGATGTCGAAAACACGCGTTCCTTTCTGGAAAAAGACAGCGGATAATAAAAGCTTCGTTGTCCTTCACACTACTCGTCATCATCATTCTAAACGTTACCTGCTCGTGTCCAAAATATTTTACGCATCAACGGGACACGTTTCGAATTTCAATGACTTAAATGTATGTGTTGCTGTTTGAATTCAGCAAAAATAATATAATAATAACTAATCATTATAAAAACATAATAAGCATGGCAACCAAATAAAACTCGATAGTGAGTGTTTTTCGGTTATCGTTATTTATAATAATACACAGAAAGTTCGAGAACGTGAAAAAGAAAGAAAAAGAGAAATATTCTCGACTGCACGGACAAACATAGAAACATTGACATGATTTTGGGCTTAGAAGATGATAAAACCAAATCAAATCTGCTTCAACTCCAAAAACATCTTTTTCTTCATCTACTTTCATTTCAACCTATTCTTCTCCTAAATTACACTTTCTAATATCGCAAAACTTTCGACGCAAAATGATTCCGTACATAATTGACAACGCTAGTCCCAGATAGACCCTAAATACCCATGATCCATTATTATTAAACAGTTTTCACATTTGTTGAAAAAACTGACATCCTTAAAATATTTCTCCACACTGATTTCCTTTCAGAAAAAGTACTACACTTAAAAATTGGAACGAGATTTGTGGTAGAAAAGTTGGCCATCGATAAAACAATAATGAACATCTTTGTAAAACCATACGCTTCTTCACTCTACTCAGAATCATAAATACAAACAATTTTTATTCTCTTTTAAGTATGAATGTATTATGTATTTATGTTATGAAATAGTTTTGCAAAATGTATAACTGGTCTGTCAGGTTGAACTTGGTTTTTCGGTCCTCTAAACTTGAATTTTAAAATTATTTATCAAAAAAACTAAGCAACAATAATTTTTACAGTATGACGATTTTTTTCAAAATTTCACATATTTTTAACAGCAATTATGTAAGCTTCTTATAACGTAAAAAAAACAACAATGATTTTTAAAAATTCTTATAAAATTTACTTTTTAATGTATGTTAATTTATAATCGTGAATTAAACTAGAAAAAAAGCTGCAGTGAAAAGTTTAGCATAATTTTTTGATAAATAATTACCAAACTTAATTTTAGAACTCTAAGAAAACAGATTTAACTTGACAGATTGATCCCAAATTTTTGCACAATTCTTTAAAAATACAATAAATTTATATTTAAGGGAGAAACGATATATTTTTTTTTTTTGTAATTTTTGATTTTTTACGAATTAGTGATTATCTCAATTAAGAGTAAATCTTACAAGTCTAAAACCACGCTCGAAATCAATAGCAAATTTCTATTCACTATAAAATTGTTAACCTCAAAATGTTTTTGGGTTTTTGTTATCCAGTGAAATATATGTTCATATAGTTTTACAGTGACACTTGTTTAAATACAATCACGGTGTAAACATCACATTATATTATAGTCACTATACTACTCGATTTTGTCCACGGGGGTGACTTATAAAAATTATTTTTATCACTGATGCACAACACTTCATCGCTGACCAAACGATTGCAGAGTATATATTGATATACAATGGTATTTTGGTTTCAGTTTAGCCCTCTCACAATCAAAACACCGACGTGGACACCAAATAAACATTGCGCGTTTCCCATGAAACGTATCCCGGAAATTGCAATCTCCGTTGGTCGTCGTCGTATCCGAGCACAGGCCATCAGCGGCGGTGGTGACGAGATCTCTTCCATTCATCCACGGTTTATCTATCACTGCTGACGGCAACACCTTGTAACGAATATTTTGCACGGATGGCCTGGGCTCCTGCGGTGTTCAAATGAGAGCCATGGCAGTAGAAAGCGGTATAATAATGTATCGTGATTAAAGGGCAGTCGCTATATCAAAGACCGCACACGGATTAGCCGGAACATTTCCCTCGGGAATCACCTCTAGGTATATATTCTACACCGGGGGTCGTTTATTACCCGACTGCAGCCTCCAAAAATATCATCCCGCAGATGGACGATGGTGATGCGGGTACTCCACTACGTAGTTTTATTAGTGTATTTTATATTTACGATTAGTTTTAAAGCGGGAAATCGACGATACCACTTGTTTTGGATAAGCGAATCATCACTAATTAGTGATATCTTCTTATAAACTTATTGTGATAAATAAATTATTAAAATGAGGGAGACTCATAGACGATATTTTCAATGAGATTGAAATTACTATTGTGTAACACTCATTTGATAATAATTGAGATACGAATATTGAATACTCATAATTTTCTTTCGACGTTTTAAATTTTTATTAAAGTTATCTTTATTAATATTCAATACTTGTCTCAATAATTATTATTATCAAAGAGCAAGGAATGTTAAACAATTATTAATAATTTCATATTCCAAAAGTCAACTAAGAAAGACTGTTTTTCTAGCAAAAATTGATATGCTTTACGGTTACACGACGGAGTCTTCATTAAGATTCTTTTTTTTATCGAAAATATTGGAAACCACGAAAAATTCTTCGTCATGTTTCTACATTAAATTAACGACAATTATTACTGATTACTATTATTTTTGCAGATTATAACTATAGCTGATAACAAATAATAGATAATAAAGTTGCAAATTAATAACTTACGTCCAAGACATATCTAAACACAAAATATTTAAACTGCGTCCGTGTTTTTATCAAATGTAAAAAGGTAACATTAGCAGACCAAATTTGCATATAGTGGTTAATATCGATATTCATATTCGATAACGGTTGGTATTTTCACAAATATTATGATTTTATTGAATGTGACATTTTTATATAGTTATTATATGCTAAATACTTTAATATTTTTGTGAGAGTCGAATAAATTTGGACAGAAAATTATTTTGTTCAACTGAGTTGTATAAAGTATGGTAATAACAAGCAGATAATAATAACCCTACCTAATCTTACCAGTTTAAATTATACCGTTTTAACATTGATGAAAACTCAGGTGCAGTTTACAAAAAAAAATAAATATCGTTCGGACGCAGTTTACGTATGCCCGAAATGGGGAATAGAGATATACGGTTTATTCTCTGGTCGAGAAGTATTTTTAAATTATGTTCAAATATTCTATATTATTTTTCAAACTTATTGTACGTTTCAAAACAATTTGTTTAATTAATAAAACTATAACTTCACATTATAACACAGAACTTAGAATTTTCTTAATTTGTTTAAAGTTATAGCTACAGTTCACGAATAAAGATAGTTTGAGCATAACCTCAAAATACCCTTAGCTAGTCGCTAGAGAGAGATAGCGGTCTACAGGATAGTTTTAATCTTACATATCTATTCCGAAAAGTGATTGCGCTTGTGGAAGCCTATTTATTGTTTAATATTTATGATCAACTATCTACAGTAGATTCAATATTCCATTGGGAGTAAAATGTTAAATTTAATAATAACCTTTTTGGCAGTCACGCAATCATTCTATATTTCTAATGAAAGATGGCTTCAACGTTCTATACACAAAACGTGTATAATGCTTGATCTATCTATTATATCTATATATGTAAGTCCACGACGGCTAATGGTATAGCCATTTTTCGTAACGTTTAAGGAAAAAAATTTTAATCTAACAAGAGTGAGTATAGTATCAATACATAAAATCGAAAACATACACATGCATAATATATCTACTGAATTATCAATTTGTACAATTAAAGTACAATAGTTGCAATATGACTGCGACAAATAACAATTAGAGCATATACACAATAACATCTGCAATACCGGCGAGATAATAATATTGGTTTTTGTTCACGAGCAGTTTGACAAATAGCTTTTCGCCGAGTGACTGTAAATTACGCCGCACATTATATTATAGTTGTAGACCACGAAATCGATGATTAAAAGCCACCGAAAAGACTCTTTCTCGTGGCAGTGGGGAGATTATAGATATTTTGACTGTCGATTTCCGATCGGTAGGACCGCCAACATCGCCCGTGGTACCTACCGCAGGGATACCGGGCGGTCCAAACGGATTTTAATTAAAATCGTCATATTATTGGTCTCCTGTATTATTATTATTATTATTTTAATACCTATTATCTTGCGTATACACCTACACATTATAAAGATACCACGTACGTGTAAACGACCGATACCGTGCCTCCGCCGATTGTCGTTTGCACGTGCAGTGTTTACTATTATAATGTATGAGAAACAGCCGAATACTACGAGCGCTTTTCGTACTTTTCTTCTGCAAGACCGGAGATCTTTACGGCCGGGCAAGGTTCAATTAAATAACGGTAGTTTACAACACTATACGAGTATTTTGCGTTTATCTACCTACTCTGCCTGGCGGTAGACAGTAGCAGTATAATAGTATAGTTACCGTCATCGTGTCTGTCAGTCTGGTACGTTCACATGATGTAGGTAATTAAAAAACACGTAAGTATATATTGTAGGTAAATTATTGCACTTAAATTGTTCGTTTAAAGTGTATACTTATTAGGTACGTTTTATTTTCGTGTGTATATTTTATATCAATAAGGCGGGATATATTGTTAGTAGATGTTTTACTGTAATATAGGTGTGAAGCTGGAAAGAATGACATAATATAAGAGCAATATTTAATTTATGCCAGTACGCAACAATAAATCGTTGTTAACGGAAAAAAAATCCAGAGCAGAGTATTCATTTTGATGTGTTGCCAAGGTAATTACCTCCACAATGCACCAAATAGATAAATAATATTCCTGTAATGTTTTTCTTTAGAACAACACATCTTGGAAAAAAGTTGGTAACATATACATATAAAAAAAAAGACGGACATACTTCACACGTGAGAGGGACACTGTGGTAGATGAGAAGTTGAGAAGTTAAAAGGGAAAATTAATGTGTATTTGTACGCAACGACTAACCATTGATAACTAACTATAAATATTAACATTTTTGCAAACAATCATTATATATTATTATTTTACATAAAAAATTTCAAAAGTAAATCAAATTTACAAAATTTGTCAATTTCAAAAGTACGTATCTATAAAAGATAAGGGATTTTAATTAGATTTATTATTTTTATTTGTACAGGTTTCATAGTGCACAATTTTACAGGCCTAAATAAATAACTCAGTACTAACAAATCTCGCGCTATGATTCCACCTTGACCATTATCAACTTGCAAAACTTTCCATGGTGGTTATACACTTTTAGGTGTCGTTGTTGTATAGTATCTTTACACAGATACTATAGTATACTATACACATATGATTAAGAAATTAAAGTTTCTACGGAATCGCTAAGCTTCATTTTAACGTTAGGTACTTGAAATTTTTTACATCTACTCTTGTTTGATTCTATTTTTAAACGAAACTTTGATAACCCAATCTTATATTGATCAGATTTAAATTTTAAACATTTACGAAAATGTACGTACATTCGATATTACAGCGTTAAACACTGATATCAAAACAGTTTAGAAAAATGTCCTCTATTCGAATCTGTATATTTAAAATGAAAGGTTTCCTAGATCCCCGATGCATAGATCAAAACCATATACTCATTTAAGGTATAATGACAAAAAAAATGGTGAACAATTTAAAATGGTTTTCAAACGGTACCAATCGGTTCACAAATGTAAAATTGAAACAATTCAGCAAAAGTTCTTATGATTCCTTTTATTTAAATGTTCTATATCCAGAGAGCAGCATTCTTCATACACAACAATTTTTTTCGTTTTTTAACTTCGAGATACTTGAATAACGTCGTTTGGAGATTAAATTTATACTTTACGTATTAACTATTCAAAGGAGAAATTGGCTGTCCTAAGTTTTCAAGTCGTTCCTTCTTCTATACATCTACTCGTAACACGCAGTTTAAAAATAAATTTTATCTAAACACTTAAGTAACTAATTATGCAAGTAATATTCCCCCTCCCCCTAATAGAATTATGAAAACTATAAATTAATTAAAAATAAATTTGTTCATATTAAACTATAACATTTTCAAGTGTATTATAATTTCATATTTATTAAAATATAGCTATTAATATTATATTAATTGTATAGTGTATTTTATTGTTTTGCTTTTTTTTCTAGTAAATTTCATTGTTAACGAACGATTAATATTTTGAGTACATTCAATGTAATTGGGTCGGGACCATTTAAAACTTAAATAAATAAATACGAAGCTTAAATGATTCTTAAATGACAATGAACCGTAACGGGAATAAAACAGAAATACAAATAATTTAAAAACCTCTGATAAAATCGTTGATTCATGGAAAATTCTGTACGCGCATAACTTATGATAATTGTTAATTATTTTGTGGTTTGAAATATTATTCCGCATTATTAAAATTATATTTTATTTATTTAATAATAAAGCATATTTTAGTATATATCTGTGCGTATAACAAAGTGGTATGGATTGATTGTGCTAAAAAGTATAATATAAATGATTAAATAAGGTATATACCGATATTATTATTGTTATTATACGGAACACCGCATATATAAAATGCGAATACGATCGAACGAAAACAAACTTTTATAGACTTTAAACTACACTGCTACCGCTATTGGTACTCGTATTATACTAAACTATAAACATAAAAAAATAATTTTGCATATCTCGAACTGTTTCGCCCAGAAGAAAAATGACTTTTTATAATACGCTAAAGCAATATCGACTGTCGTTTACAGAACGAATGCGCGTGTAGCTTATATGTACATTTTTAACGTTATGTAGTATACAAAATAAAAGTTAAATTAGAGTTTTATTTTTTATTTTTCATGTATAATAGTATAATAAACCTTATTTTGATTTAATAACTACTGTTGAGTGTATAATACTAATATAACAACAACCTAGGAATTTTTTCTATTATTTACTGTCTGCAAGACGGGCTATTGGTTTTACAATGCTGTTTATTTATTTCTTTCTTTGTTCTAGTCTGTGGATACGTTTTTTTCTAGTATTGTTCTAAATTTTTATCAATAATCTCTAATAGTTAGTACTCATGTTCCTTTGTTCAACTCCAAAAATAATGATGTCTTCATGTCTTTTTTAATTCTAAAAATTAAACATTAACAACAATATATAATGTGTCGTTTGCCCAAGTCTTCTAATGAATTAAAGGATTTTTGATTTTAATTATGATCCAATTTCTAAACTAAAAGTGTAGGTATATTTTAAATTGAATGCAATTTATTTGCTACGTACAACATACATTGTATTTCAATCATTGTGTTAAACTAAGAAATAAATATAATTTTAGAACAGTAAAATAAAAAAACATCCTAGGATAATGGGGAAGGGTGCTGCCATTGTTATAGATAATTTAATGTATACCTGTAAGCATCGATAAACCACTGCTTACGAAAAAAACGATTATAAGCGGAGTTCAATTTGATAGTGATCCTTTGTCAATAATATATATTTTATTATATAGTAAAATAATAGTCTTTATATATTTTCTTTAATAATGTTTGTTTAGTTTTGTACCGATTTTCACATGTTTTATCCCGGTTTTTCACAATTGCTGGGAAAACTCTTAAGAAAATCAAAAAATGAGTTTCTTAAAGTGCCTCCCCACACCAATTTTTTTTCAGAAAAATGCTTCACTTAGAAATCCGAGTAAGTCTTCTGGAAGAAAAGTTGTTAACAGATAAAAAAAAAACAGCTTTGTAAAACCATTAACTTTTTCGCTCCGTTCAGAATTTAAAATATAAACGAATTATGTGGATAAATCTTCCGCATCTTTTTCAGTTTTTTATTCCGCACTACGAATACAAATATTTATGTATATACTACGAGAAATGTGGAATACCGATCAATGTGTACATTACCCGGACAATGTGAACAAAGTTTTATTACATTTTATCATATTTCGAATATTTTAAAACAATTATTACAATAATGGCATTTTATAATAAACTATACAATTTTTTAAACACGCTGTGTAAACTTATTTTTGTTATCCTCTCCTATCTTAATACCTGACCGGTATCCCACATTTCCTACAACATAATAAACATATAAATCACGTAAATTGAAGAGAAAAACACAATTAATACACGCAATCCTTTAAACAAAATGCATTTAATTTTAGATAATAATTTTCGAAAAAAAAAAAATTGTATACATTCTATTTAAATGTAGAAAAAAAAGTTATGTTTTAAAATGATACTGATAATAAGATAATACTGCGGGGCGAACTTTAGAACGATTTAAATAGGAGTCTAAAATATAATTCTTTAGTAAAATCGAAATCAAATTTATATATAAAAATTTGACAGACTTTAATATATAGCTATAGTTGATGTTAAAAAGAAATATATGTAAATCTATTTCCTGAATTTTACTACTTGAGTTTTTTTTACGAAGTAGGTATTTTAGAGTAGATATCGATAGATTGGGTGTGGATTTGCAGGTTCTAGATATTCGCTTGGGAAAGTAGTTTTTAAATTCTTCAGTAGTTTTTTTTTTTTTATACTTAAAAAATACACTTTTAAAAATTCGTAAGAAAAAAAACACTATGTGAAACAGGAAATGTTTAAATTGAAATAGATTTTTTTTTTTAAGAGAGAGGGGAAGGACAGGTAAAAATTATATTGTTTACGTTAAAATTTAAGAGAAATTATAATATTTTGATCGTACGAAAATATAGTATTAAAATGTATACCATATGGGTAACCCCTACATTTTTCACGATTATTATATATTAGTGTTTATACGTGAAGTATATAATTTCAAAATTATTTTAAGTTGTTTATCTCGTTGCAATAATAATTATAAACGAACTTTATTTCGTGACGCGCGCACGCGTTTCAGTGACAGAAGAAAACGACAATTAAAACTTCTCTTAAGTCTTATATTGTATAGGTATGTTCCTACGCGGCCCAAATCAGCTATACCCAAGATTTCATTACGAAGTTTTACGCACAATAATATACCTACATAAATAATTTTATACACCAACAACGAACCTTATTCAAATTTTTTTTTTTTTAACCGTAATAAAAATGCAAATTACTTATATATAGGGGTTTCACGTTGATTGTTTTCTGACCACCGTCACCTGTACCACGGATACATCATGGCTAATAATAATTCCATTATCATAATATATTATACACTTGGATTTACGAGTACGCTTATATAATAATAATCTAGGTGAACCGAGTAAATATCCTTGTCATTAACATTTAACAGCTATTAAAATATAGTCGACCTTTCTTCTGGCATGTTAAAACGTGCTTCGGTTTATACGACGACGACGTGTATCGGTAGGTAAGTAGAAAAACCATAAATTCGATACCTTTTAGGTGGCACAGAGAAAAAAAAAAGAAAAAAAAGGTAGGTATGTAGGCAAAGACTATTATATTATACGTAAAGGAGTCTAGTGGGCGATTTCTTATAATATAAACGTTGTGTTTACTACGACTCCACTCGAAAGTTCCTTTTTAAAAACTAAAATCCCAGCACTACACCGTTTTCACCCTTTAGCACTCTCTGCAAAAGCATAATATATAAAAGTCACAAATAAATTGTTACTGACGGTTTGTGAATTTTAAACCAAGCTAAGTATCATCCTAAGTATAGGGAAGTAGGCACTAAATGAAAGTTTAAGCGCTTCGGGAAATAAAAATATACCAAAGTGTGCGAAATCCAGTAAAACTGAATTTTTCTTTTGTCGTAGAAGTAGCTTCTTATACATATAGTATAATATTAATCTGAACATTTAATCTAATTAGAATGTAACGTCGATTTTATTTTCACTCTAGCACCCCGACACCTGTCAGACGTGTAAAATACCTTAACTCTCTAGGTTGTTTTCATTTTAAATATGCGACGTAGATGCATTAAACTACTATAGATAGCTGAATTTTAAACAAACTAAATGGGAAGCTTGTTATTGTATATTTATTCACAAAGAAGGCAAATTTTATATCATAGGACATATTTTTTTATTTCATCAATTATATGATAATGTAAAAAATATTTGAAATTATTTCTAACACTTGGCTTGTATTCATGGCATACGTATATAATATATTTCATGGGTTAACCCAATAGTTTTCAATCTGGGGTTCGTGACTTGAAAAGGGGTCACGAGTGATAAGTTGGGTATCATCAAAAACTATAAGTATCATGTATATTGTAAATCATAGTATTCAAGTTATATTAAACAACTTTTGAAGAAATCGTTTTAAACAAAAAAAAAATTGTGGGGTCGTGATTCGAAAAAGATTGAAAATCATTGGATTAACCAATAAATTATACTTCTTAATATACTGCAACGAAATCTTTTACGTCGTAAGACTTTTATAAATTATAATATGGTCGGTTATCTGATACAGAATTTAAAATTACGCTAATTTTTTTTGATCACTTTATCTATTCATAGTATTCTTATGCAGTTTTGTTTAATTTGTCCGATTTTACATTATCATTTTCTTTAAATTTTCTAAGATTCATCGATAGTTAACATCGTATTGTGTTTTTATTGTTGTCTTCGTATACATAATCCAATTCTTATACTCGTATTATTCGATTTTTTTATGTATAGATATAAAATAATAAACGGTTAGTTTCGCGTAAGTACATTAAATTTTCATTTTCCATTAGGTGCTAATGTGCAGCAGTAGCAGTAATGTGTCTCTGTTTAACGTCTGTGCGTAGTGATAAATAATTAGTTTTTCCAATTTATGACATACCATTTTTTTCTTCTTCTGCAGTATAGTTGCTTTAATTATTCATAGCGGTTTTTTCTTCCAAATATATAAATATAAATATAATTTATACGTTGGTGCAACGATTCTATGCTTTTTAAAGTGGAATTTGTTTAGTGTTGTGACAGACTTCATAAAAATGTATTAAATAAAGTTATTTAATTAATATTTTTAAGCACCGATAAACCATTGCTAACGAAAAACGATCCGGAGCGAAGTTCAGTTATACACGGTTTGAAAGACCGTAATAGTTACGATTTTCGTCAAAATTTGATTTAAAACTCGTATAAAAAAATAAAAATACTACATGTTACACACAGTTTTCTTATTTCGACCACAAAGTACGACTTATAATGAACCTCCTGTCAAATTTTCAATCATTTCTATTTAATCTAACAATTTTATCCACATAGTTCCTACCATATTAAAATTACGTAAAACAAAAAACTCCAAAATTGAAATATCTGTAAATAGCACAAAAATGGCTGAAATGTTTTGAAAATGTTTTAAAAAAACAAAATTAAATTTTCTGTCAAAATTTCAAGTCCTTATCAATATTTTTAATTAAATTAGATTAAAAAAAAAACAAAATTTAATGTAATAAAAGGATTATTTTCTACGTATTTTTCGGTTTTGCTCAATTGTTAAAATAATACAAAGAAAATTAAAAAAATGACTTTTTTGGTTACCAACTAAAATTAAAAATTAAACAAAACAGATCATTTGTTGTTTTTCTGTCGGAGCAATATTTTTGGTATGAAACATCGTGAATCAAAAATTTAAAACAACGATAACAGCAGTATAGTTTTTATAGTAAATTATAATTAATAAAATAATTTCCCGGTAATTATCTACATAATAGTATAATACACCCATAAGTATAAATACACTATACCATAATGGTTGTAAGATGCTTCAAAATAATTATTTTTCTTTTATATAAAACATATAAAAGTCGTTTGCAAAAATATGTATGACAAATTATTATACTGACATAATATGGGTTTTTTTTTTTTTTTTTAGAATATTCGGCTTCTCAAAAGTTTAACCCGTTTACGTAATAAGTATATGTATATATATAATATTGTTTCGGTTTTGGGTTTCTTTTTTCATATGGTAATAGTAGTGATACCAGTACCAGCTTAACATCATGCGGCGAAAACTTTAATGGTTATATTATACGGTAGGAGAAACCAAAGACGTGACCTACATCTCAATTATCTTTCGCTAATAGTTTTTGTTTTCTTTCCATAAATATATACCTACACTTTTCATACTACATATACATAATAATAGTTACTCGTGTATAAATAATGCCATTTGTGTGTGTACCGTACCTATACGTCCAGGACGTATTACGTCGTATATCTATGGTAATATTATATAAGTATATCGAAAATGTAACATTGATCCTATTTGAAATCTTAAAATTTTTAAAGAAATGCAAAAAAACAACTATTAAGCACCTAGAGTTTTGTAAATTTCATAAGATACTATAAGAACTTATAGACAAGATATAATAATATGACGTTAGTTATGAATTTATGATATTTGTTTTTCAATTTTTTTTTTTTTAGATATTAATTATTTCTATATTTACATGCGATTTATATATACATATGAGTAGAGATCATAGAAAATATAAAAGAGTAACACAGTAATACAGTAATATAGCAGGCGTTTTCCGTTCATTTTTTTCTCACCATTTTAATGTTTGAAATTGAATTCTAATAAAATAATTAAATTCATCTTTATATACAATAACAATTATAAATTGTGTACATTATACATTATGCATGCACATATATATATATATATATATACATAAATTCATTATGTCAAAATTGTGCGATAGTAATATAATCAAAAGAAAATAGAAAATATGTAATACCATTTTATTGTATGATAGTTCCCGGTTTGAAAATATTAAAATATTTAACCTGTAATTTTGTTTCGTTTTTTTACGAATATCGCGGATTATCAAATATAGTACTTAAAATAACTACATAACTGCAATATATACTATTTCATTGTTGAATTATTATTATGTACTTATTTAAGCCAATATATCATTCAAAAAGACGTCCTAGGATAATGGAGATAGATACAGTTCTTCTTCTTCTTCTTATCGTGTCCAAGCTATGGTATAGATGCTTTGTTTATCATGTTCCTTTTCTACTCCATTGATTGGCTACTTGTATAGCCGCGTCAGTTGCTTTCGCCAGATCTTCAGGTGTGCATGACACCGAGTTCAGGGGACATACGAGTATATGTTGTTCCGTTTGTTCACTTCCACATTCGCAATCTACAGTTTCTGTATTGTATCCCCACTTACATAGATTTTTTTTCGTTCGGGCAACACCCAATCTCAATCTATTGAGTGTTTTTCATGTGTTCCATTCACAACGGTATCCAGGTGGAAGTTTTTCTATTGGTTTTATTTTAAAATTATTGGTTTGGTTTGATGCTATCCATTTTCGATGTCATTCGTGTTCACATGATGTTGTGATCTCCGTGGTTGATTTCAAAAAGTTTTTCCTTGATTTCAATCTGCTTGGGGCCGGTTGGTAGCCATGGAGTGGGTGCCTTTCATCATTTGTCTGGGCTGTTTTTTGCCCATCACTGGCCACACTTCTTCTGATGTCGGGGGGTGCTATGCCAGCTAGAATTTGTACCAATGGTATAGGTGTGGGTTTTAAACATCTAGTTATCAAGCGGCATGTTTCATTTAGAGCTACATCCACCTTTTTCGCATGACACGATCTGCTCCACACTGGGCAAGCATACTCTCCAGCTGAATAGCATAGGGCAAGTGCTGTGGTTCGTAGTAACTGGGGGTTAGCTCTCCATGTTGTTCCAGTTAATTTCCTTATTAGGTTGTTTCGTGTTGCGACCTTCATTTTGATTTTTTCACAGTTACTTTTAAAAGTTAATGTCCTATCTAGGGTGATTCCTAGGTACTTGGGTGTTTGTGTATTCTCAAGATTGGTGCCCCGCCACTGTATTTTAAGTTCCTTTCTTGCTTGCTTATTGTTGAGGTGAAATGCACTTACTTGCGTTTTTGTTGGGTTGGGTTTTAGTGAGTTATGTGTATAATATCTATCCAATTTTGTCAACGCATGTGTGAGTGTTTGTTCAATTTCACTAAACGTACGTCCTTGTGCAGTTATCGCTAAGTCATCGGCGTATAGGAAATGGCGGGTAGTTTCCATAATGGGCTGGTCATTCGTGTATATATTGAAAAGTATTGGTGCTAGGGCACTACCTTGTGGGAGGCCATTTTTTGAATTTCTCCATCGCCTCTTTTGGTCTTGTAGTCTTACGTGGAATCTTCTATTTCGGTTCATTGACTCAATTACTTTCGTCAGATGGTAGTCCTTAGTTATTTTATACACTTTGTCCAATAGTAGGTTATGGTTAACAGTGTCATATGCTGCAGTCAAATCTATAAACACGGCTCCGGTTATTTTCTTTGTTTCGAAGCCATCTTCGATGTTCTGTGTAAGGTTTAAAATCTGGCTGGTACAGGATTTCCCAGGTCGGAACCCTGTTTGGTTTTTGATTAGGTTCTCTTCTATGACAGGGGTTATTCTGTTCAGGATTAATCTTTCATATAGCTTATACAGATGACATAGTAGCGATATTGGCCTAAAATTCTTTAGTTCGTTTGGTAATTTCCCAGGTTTTAATAGTGCTATTACTTTTGCCTTTAGCCATTGTTTTGGGATTTTCGCTGTTTGACGACATTCATTGAAGAACTTCAATAACCACCCCTGTGTGTTATTTCCAAAGTGTTTTATTATTTCTGTTTGTATTTCGTTAAAAATAAAAAAAATCTTTGTAAAACTATTAAACTCGCTGGTATACATATAAAATAATATGATACACACTTGAACTAGAGAAATAATTGAATTAGGTATGTAAATTAGAATGCATTAACAATTTATGCCTACTTAACATATCTTGCACGTTTAACTTAATATATAATATGGACAATTTCAACATTTCAATTAATATTCGTCTCTACGGGTAAAAACTAGATTAATCATGATTGAAAACTTATACATACCTAACGGAAAAACACAACGGGGTTTCTTTTAGGCTACGTACCTACATATATTATTTAATATTATTCAACCATAATTGGTGTCGGTTTTTTTTTTATATTTAGGTCAAATTCAAATAAAATTGTATGTATTTTAATACACACGGTGTATTTGCAGGATTTTTAGTTTGCAGTTATACATATAGGAAACTGTCAAATTCTGTATTATATACACCCAGTATATTTTTATTTATCGACTTATGGTTATACTTTATTTTTTTTGGCTATGAACGATTGTTTATTGTGTATATAATATATTGTAAAACGTACATGACAACAAATATTTAACGAAAACTGATTATTTTTGTATAGGACTATATGTATGCAGTAATAAATACATTACAATACGCAATAAATTGTAACATAGTTTTGTAAAGTTTTCGTTACTATAGGTACCACCTTTTAATATTGACCAAACAGTTAATAAAAACGGGTAGGTATTAATTTGGTTTAAAATTGCGAAAATAAATTTTACCGATCGTAATTTCAACTAAATATAACAAAACAATAAATACAATAATATGGCATTTAACTATTTAAGTAATGTTTTTATGTATATAAATACACATACAAATACAAATATAATAATATATACGTTTATTAAACACAACATGTATTAAACTTAATATATAGGTACTATATATTTATCGCTAGCTTATAAGCAAAAAATAATAAATGATACCTCGGATTTTATTATAAAAAAATTAAAAAAAGAGCAAGGTACAACTCTGTAGTGAACCGTTTATTTTATAAGTACTTACGCTTGTTATGAGATACTTTTCGTAAATAAACACTAAACGAATCCGTACTGTATGTTATTTGAGTTAGTAATTTGTTCAGGTACGATGTATTAAAAAAACTACACAATTGTTTACACAAGTAAGACTACAGATATTTTGTAAATTTATTATTAGAAATATAATATATACTAATTAATATAGGTATAGAAATTTTGTAATTAAATAAAGCAAAAAAAAAGCCAGATGTACTTTGCGCCAGAGTAAGCCATTATAGTAGGTAAAAAGTTTGAAAGGTATAAAGGATATAAAGTAGTATAATTTATATTATATACTAAATACAACGATTAATTAATGTAATTCAATTTTCTTCTTTACTCAACGTGTCAATAGGATATTAAAAGTCGAATAATAATAAAAAAAATTTACTCAATAAGATAAATTCCTCCATGCTTGAACGTAGATGAAATATATAGATTTTCAGCCTTAAATTACTAAACAAATACTCATATTTTTTTATTAAAAAGTCAACAGGAGTAATATTATTCCTCAATTCTCTCTGTCTCTCTCCACACATGTCACTGGATTGACATATATTCTCAGTGTTTTATAGAAAAACAAAAGAGAATCTACTAATTTTTCAAACAAGTAAGACCGCGGTTGAAATATCTACATATCTTAAAGTTGTTATGGGAATAATTTGAAACACTTTAACCAACCAAAAAATTGATTTATGAGAAAAACTAAAAAAAGTGGGTAGATTGTAAAAAAAAACCTGAATAAGTGCTTTCAGTAAATTATTACTCAATTACGCTATGTTCGATGATTTCTTAACTTCCCACTTTCAAAAGTGTCATATTCATCATGGTACGAAATATGTTCAGAACTTTTGTTAATTACATATTCGTCTACCTTTGGAATGCATTTAGAGTTATTTATTCATAAATATAATATATATTATATACTTTATATTATATATAGAGTATGATAATATTATCAGTATAATTTGACAAACATAACATATAACGAGCCCATTTCGAAAAAAATACATACGTGGTTTTAATCGTGGTACAGCATGCTATCTACATATTTTATAGCTTAAAGCTTATAGCTTTCCTCTTTTTATTTTTATTTTATCTACACTCAAACTAAACGTATATGCGTAGTTTTAGTTTATTTTTTTAAAAAGCATTGTGATGTCTGAATAGGTTTTCAAAGACGTGCAGTGGTTAACATTGTATTGTGTGTGTCCAGAGATATATTCGATTTTGGAAAAAGAAAATAAAATATTGAAAAAAAAAAAAATAGTATTTATCGTCGAACAGTGAAAAATCATGATGACTATTATTATATAGAACCATGATGTAGGGTAGATACGATGGCGAGGGTAGCTATTGTGATCCCTTTTTCCCATATACTCGTGTATACATATATAAGTGAATATGACAGCTGAGGGCAGAAGTCCGAAATAATACGCTTTTAAACTCTCTACACATTATCAATTTATATAGTTGATTAAACTACTACAGGATATATCGTTCGATATGATCTATGTTTTCTAATAATATTAAATTATGACGACGATCATTGCGTTTTCAAAATGTAAAATAAAAAAAAATACATATATGTCATTTTCTATGTTTGTTGTGGCGAAATAACTACAGATTCGGTCGATCAGAGAAATAAATTGGAAAATTAAATATTATACACCTATCTATAACAACAATAATAATATATACGCTACAATTACAAATAACGATTTGTGGTTACACTACACGAATGCGAAAATACGCCGGTGTTCACGGTGAATGCGAGTTTTCCTGCTCTATTGGCCGCAAAATATCGTTAGAGGACCGCAATGGAATAACAATATAATACTACTTTTTAGAACAACAGAAAGATATATATCTAACAACAATAATAATATGGTCAAAGCACCCTGAAGATATTTTGACATTGTTTGGTGGGTATAATATATAGAAATGTCCGCGGTGAACTGGAAGAACAAAATCAATATATTTGATAAATTATTGTGGTTGCAAACATTATATAGGTAACATTTTTTTAAAAGCCTAAAACTGTAACGAAATCATCTGATTGTGTATAGAATATGAAATATTGTCGAGTCAATAGTTACATGAGTATAGCATTGACCGACAATAATACAGTTGATAAAGTGACCAGCAGCATTGTAAAAAGATACTTCTAAACTATACTTAAAAAAAAAGTCCTAGGATAATGAAGATGGATGCAGCCACTGTTATAGATAATTTAATGTATGTTTGTAAGCAACGATAAACCATTGCTAACGAAAAAACCATTCTGAGGGCAGTTCAGTTGATAGTGATGCTTTTTCAACAATATATATGTCATATTATGGTAAAATAATTAAATAGGCATAATACATTTTCTTTAATAATAATTGTTTAATATTGTATCCATTTTTCCATTTTTCCTGTGTTTTCCCCGTGTTTTTTCCCCGATTGGCACAGTTACTAAGAAAACTCTTAGAAAAATCGAAAAATGATCTCCCTAAAGTACCTTCCCAGCCAGATTTACTTTCAAAAGTAGTACTATCATGGTAAATTGGAGCAAAATTGCTGGTAGAAAAGTTGTACACAGAAAAAAAAAAGGCCATAATATTTTTTACTTTTACTTACAATTCGTAAATTTTTCGTTTTTCCAATATTGTATTCAGGTTTTTCCCAGTTATTATGAAAACCGATTGAAAATCACAAAAATGTTAACTTTAAACAATGGAGATAAAATTTCCTTTCAGAAAATAAACTACACTAGATACATGGGAGCAAGATTTCTGATAGAAAAGTTTGCACAACAAATCGAGGTGTGGTAATTTGAAGGTGAGATATTTGGAGTATAATTTAATTTATATCTATTTTATCTAAGTATAATATTAAGTAGAACTTCGATAAATCGAAATTCAAAAGACCAATCGGAAAATTAGATTTACTTTAGTGAGAAATCTAATTATTGAAAAGAAAAAAAATAATATAAAATTATGTAGAATTGAAATATTGTATTGTAGATAATTTGTAAAAAAAATTAAACTTTACTAAAACAAAATCGGTTATCTTCTTTTGATATAAGTATAATTGGCCACAATCTGCTCAAAAACGTTACCTAACGTACTTTTATTTGGATTTATATGGATAATGTAATGTATAGCTTTTTTTAAATACGTGTTTTTAGATTATAATTTTTACGAATGTCGTAAAAGTCACGAAGTTTAAAAACATATACACTCAAACGAACTTCCCTCAGAATCGTTTTTCGTTGCGTATAGACGTTTTAAATTAAATCATCTTATACTCTTATATTTTTCCTATGAACTCCCTTTCAACAACAGTAGCTTACCCACGTGTATTTAAAAATAAAATAAACATACCTTTGCCTAACTAATATCTCAAAACGTTGCAATATTCTATACATGAATATATTTTAATGACTATTTTTGGGCTAAATAAACTCGATGTTTAGGGTAATAATATTATAGTGTACACTATGATATAGTTTTATACCCTTGTGTACACAATACGTGCATCATATCATCAAAAGTAAGTTTAAGTACACCTATATGTATTCGGAAACACTCTATATTAGGTACCTACTAGGTACTCGTCGAACAGAGTAGATGGTTTGGTTAGTTTCTATATTGTACAAATTATATTTGCATAAGTTTGATTTCTCTTTGCTCATCACTAGTTAGGTATTTAATATTTACTGCAGTAAGTATACAATATAGGTAGACACAATATAATATAAACCGAACTGAAATATTTATCTACTCAAATTTATTGTCGAATATTAAAACATATACATTCATCGAAAATATAATATTTATTTAAAAGTATGCGACTATGCGACTATACGAGTATACTTTTATTTTATATTTAAAAAAAATCAGGAACATTTCTGTGATGCTTTAAATATTATTTGAAAATTAAACAATAAAGAACATCCGGAGGTGGGAAGACAGCCATAAGAGGTGTATTTGCACCAAATTTTTTTTGTATAAGCGGTCGTGTAAATATAATTTTAGATTCTGAGTGGAGCGAAGAAGCTTATAGTTTTACTAAGATGTTTTTACTATTTTATCAGAAGACTTGCTCAGATTTTGTTCAACGAATTCGATGTTCTCAGGAGTTTTTTCATCAAATTTGAAAAATCGAAAAAAACGGGAAAATATAAGAAATGTATTAGTTAAAATATATTCTATATATATATATATATATATATATATATATTCTTTTTTCTGTACACAACTTTTTTGCCAGCAATTTTGTCCCAATTTTTAATGGTATCAATATATCTAAAAGGAAATTTCACCAGAGAAGTACTTTAAAGAGGTCACTTTTTGATTTTCCCGAAAGTTTTCCCAGAAAATGTGAAAAACCAGAAAATTCGTAAGAAAACTGGTAAAATTGGTACAAAACTAAATCAATTTTATTAAATAAAATATATAAAGCCTATTTAATTATTTTACTACAAAATTACATATGTATTGTTGACAAAGCATCACCATCAACTGAACTCTGTTCAGAATCGTTTTTTCGTAAGCAATGGTTTATCGTTGCTTACAGATATTTATTAAATTCCCGTCTATATTCTACCTTCCCAACTTCCCACCTACAGCAATGGCTACACCCATCCCCATTATCTTACCTTTCTTTTTACTAATTATAACAGTAGTCGAGATAAAATTGATTTGGCCATAGTTTGGCGGTAAAATATATCCACCATCAGAGTCGGTTAAAATAAATAAATCAGAGCCACCACCATGACTTCGCAACATGGGTTATTATACTTTTGAAATTTTACCGGATGTTTTTTTTTTTTTTTTATTTGAATTTACAATTTCAGTTTATTTAATTGTACATAGCTGCGATAAAGACAACGGTGACCAACAGATAAAAATAGACAGAAGTTTCCCCAAAAAATTAAAAGAAAACGCAAACGAATTGAACTGTGCACTATTATATTCGTACTTTGCGTTTCTAACCTTAACGCTCTTTGACCACATAGACCCCGGGTACTATTTCTATAGAGGTGGTGTCACAAAAACTCTACGCGCCCAAAAATGTGTTTTCTTTCGTCTCGTCTGTTTCTCTCTATCTCTCGTCTATTGCATACCCCATGACTTTTCATGAATTTACGACCTTTTCAGCCTATATATATACGGCACCACGCGTATATTTCACGACAATAAGGTAAAAACTGTCCAACGGTTTTTCTCTCTCTCCCTCACCGTCTCGCTCACGCGTTGTCAGCAGCAGATGTCACACCCGTTCAGCAGCTGCCGCTGCTTTATGGGTCCAGGGATTTGCAGTTTAATCTTCTCACGTCTTCTTTACGGCGCCACCCCCGGCCCCTACCCGAATAACCCCGTTGAGAATATATCGTATATATTATATATATAGTGGTGTGACGAAGTGAGAAGGATTTAACTTTTTTCTGATCATATCTGTCAGAATAGCTTGCGAGGGGGGGGGGGATTTTTCTTATACACTCCCATCACCCTTCCCGCTCTCATAAAGACCACTTGATATTGCGGGGTTTTCATCGGTCGGATGTGAAAATGGAATAATAATAATGCTCGCAGCATCAGAGGGAGCTACCCGGTATGATGGTAAAGAAGACATGTAATAAGCTCTGTTGTGAGACGCGTTTTTTCACCCTTTTAACCCATATACTTTGAGGATAAACCATATTATGTAATAATAATATGATATATTATTTTTTTTAAAATGAATGAACTGTTGAATTTTTTTTATACGAATTTTAATACCAAATTTTTTTATAAAAATCGTAAATATTACGGCCTTTCAAAACTTGATTGTTAAAACTCCTCTCAGAATCGTTTTACGGTGGCAATGATTAATCGTTGCATACAGATATATATTAAATTCCCTCTATATCTTAACATCCAAACTTCTCACATACAACAATGACCCACCCATTGTGTGAAGTATGTCCTTTTAGATTTCGAGCATAGCGAGGGACCTATTGATTTTACAATAAGAAAAAGAAAAAGAAGAAATAAACCGATTTCTTCTTTTTCTTCTTTGTATTTTGTTCAAATCAGTGGACACATTTTCTCCTAGTAAACTTACTCCAAATTTTACAGATAGTAACTTTTCTGAAAGCTCAAGTTGTCTAAATGGTTGTCTTTAAACAGTTCATTTTTTAAATAAAAGCACTTAGGGAAAAAAAGTAGGAAAGCGTAAAATTTCACGATTTCATTATTTTATAAAAACACGGATGACATTTTCTGCTAGAAAAAATGATTAAATCGAAAAATCACAAGATAACTTTTTTGTTGCCCTTTTGATTTACTTTCTTACAGCATCATCGCCAAAACTTTTGAGTCACTTTTGAGCTTTTAAAAAATTTAATTTTTGGGAGTTTTTTGCTGTAATTCGGTTATAAATAAACTTAGAGACTAGAAACTTGGTAATAATACTTATATTACACTTACCTAGAACTGGTAAAATTTCCAAAATCATCGGACGACATTTTTTTTTTAATAAGCGTTTTGAAATCAAATTTAAACCAAAATCGCAAAAAAAAATTAAAAAAGTAAAAAAAAGCCGCATCCATCTCCAGTATCAGCTGTTTTTTATATTACACAAGAAGAACTAGAAAGTTACCCTTGAAGTACTCGTATTACAATAATAGACAATTAATACTAATAAATATATATTTTATGTTCACTTTATTTTATTTTTTGGCGGCATGAAGTTAACTTTACATTACGATCGAAATATATTTGGTAACATGGATATTATTATTATAGTACTCACTTTATATAAAGGTAATTTTTACACAGTTTATAAATAGTTAATAAACGTTTACAAAAAAAAACCTGAGAAACCGCGTTACGTCGTTATAATCACGGTTTAAATTGGAATATAATGATCACTGCTACCATTCCTTGCAGAACAATATTTTCTTTCTAAATGTTATGCTCGTTTTTATGTTCAAATTTAAAATAATGATTCAAAATTTAATTATTATCACGTTGCAGTGCACGCTATGAAAGTCAAATATAAATTCTCGTAACCGAAATTGGAATGTACTGGATTTGTATTGTAGGTTAATAATATTGCGTTTATTAAACAAATTGGATACATATATATATATATATATTAAAAGACCGGAAATACTTCTGACTTCGCACCGTGAATATAAAATCTTTTTCGATAAATAAAAAATTGTATACCGGTATAAATGATAAATCATTGCGATCAAAAAGCGATTTTGAGTGGAATTCGGTAAACTTGTAAGGTTAAGATAAGGTTACTGTAGTGTTGGTCATACTTTTTCTCTCGTTAACCCAAGGGAAATAACAAGAATATAACCAATGTATATCTTCTTTTGTTGTCAGTACATTTTAAAATTTCTTTTGGAAAAGCATTGGGAATCTAGAAAAAAAGATTTAAATAATGTACCATCTGACGAAATATCCGAATCTTTAATCAAAGTACGATATGGAATAGTCTGACATTTTTATTATCTGGAAAAGCGTTTTTCTAGAAAAAAAAAATACCTTATTAAATCGTAAAAAATTGTGCTTTGTCGAATTCTAACATAATATTAAAAAAGACGTCCTAGGATAATGGAGATAAGTGCAGCCACCGTTTAACCATTGCTAATGAAAAAGCGCTCCTAAGCGCAGTTCAGTGATAATGATGCTTTGTCAACAATATATATGTCATATTATGTTAAAATAATTAAATAGACATTGTATATTTTTTTTTAATAATATTTATATAATATTGTACCGATTTTCCCGTTTTTCCTACGTTTTTCCCGGATTTCCCATGTTTTTTCCTGGTTTATCACATTTACTGGAAAAAATCTAGGTCCTCCTGTTAAATTTTCTAGTATTTCTGTTAAGTCTAACAATTTCATCATAGAGTACATACCAAATAAAAATTATTTACTAATTTGCAAAATTAAAATGTCTATAAATAGCTTAAAAATGGCTCAAAGTTTTTGGAAAATGTTATCACGCCTAGAAAAGGTAAATATAAGTTTTCTGCCTAAATTTCAAGTCTTTACGAATATTTTTAACTGAATTATAACAAATAACAAAATTGAAAAATAATAAAAGCATTATTTTCGTAAACTTCCCGTTTTTCTTACGTTTTAACGTAGTTTTTCCCAGGTATTATGAAAACCGCTTGGAAAACCAAAAAATAACCTCTCATAAGTACCATCTGGACAACATTTTCTTTCAGAAATGGTACCACGCGTATATATTTGAGCAAGATTTCTGGCAGAGTTTGTGTACACATTATAAAAAAAAAAAGAGTTAGTATACACAATAACTAAGAATAAATATTATTAGGGAAAAAAAATCCGCGGGTACCCCGTCATCGAAATTATCTTGTAAATCAATCCACACAAGTGTACTCGGCATTAGAAGCGACTGCTGCAGCTGCTGTGGCAGAATAGGGAAGGAAAATCCTCAATTTCGAAACGCGAGCAAGTTAATGTTCGTGAACGAGCCCGGGACCGAAAGTTTCCACATGGCGTTTTCCCCAGAGGAATAAAAACACAACATACAGTCATTAAACGACAAAAGCAAACTTTTATCTTTTTTTTTTCGCCTCTTATACAATTTCCACGTCAATAGAGACGAGAAAACTCGATGCTTCTAGATTGTCATTTCTATGTATCGATAGTACAGACTAATATAATGTATATAATATATATGATGAAACCGTACGTATACGAAAAAATATAATAAATTATTTATTATCAATTTACCTATATACATTTGTTGTCAATACTAATTAGACATCTGATTCATTATTTATTATTATTTTTTTTTTTGTTTACAGTTCACCTTGCAATTGAAAAAAAATGTTTATTGTAACAGTCTATGTATGTTATTAAAAACGAAACTCGTAATAATAACAATAACAATAATCATATTTCACTACCAGTCGTAGTACAGTGTTTTGATTGCAGTAACAACATTTTATTTCCTATTTACAATATTATCATAACTGACAAAAAGTTAATATTTAATGTGATTAAAAAAAAAAAAAAATCGTTTTTTTTTTTATTATCGTTTTAAAATTAAATCCAAATGTTTCCTAAAATCCATAGAGTAGAATACCCACCAAACAAAAATTAAGTAAAAAAGTAGCAAAATTAATTTTAATTTATTGAAAGTTTTACCACGTCTAGAGTAAGCAAATATAAATTTCCCATAAAAATTTCAAGTTTCTATATTTCTAATATTTTTAACTGAAACTTTACCTAAAATAATCGGGCCGTAAATATTTGTCATTGTAACTATAATTGTTATTCGGAATTATTGTAATTATTATTTTGAAAAACCCTTAGAAAATCAAAGAGTGACTTCTGCAATGCACCAAATGAACGAAATTACCTTTCAGAATAAGTGTTGCACTTGATACTTCGGAGCAAAACTGCTGGTAGAAAAGTTGCGCACAATCACAAAAAAAAAAAAAAATTATAATAATAATAAAAATAAAACATTATAGTAAAACCAATAGATCCCTCTGTATGCTCTGAATCTAAAACTCAAATATGCTATATTATTAACTGGCATAAAAACTATATTGTATTAAACAAATATCGGAATGAGATATTTCCAGAGGAGTTTGCACTACTAACCCTCTCTCAACGTATATTATTACATCCTTAATTATACTCCTTATTATTCCTGCTGAATAAGCAATGTTTAACTTGCAAACATCTATAATTAGTTTAATTTTATTAAAAACTTATAAACTTTATCATATACGATAACATTAAATTGAATATTATAAAATTAAAAATATTATAAGAAGTATTATTTTTGGTAATTTTTATAGTGTTATTTTGCGAGACATTATAACATTGTTTTACGTACATATACATAATATATAAAATATAAGTTTCGAATTGTGAATTTTGTTAAAATTATAATATAATATACAATATGCATACTCGAATTTACAATCTCGTAATTAAAACTATAACTACGTAGAAACCTAAATCAGCATTTTGATACTGTTTACATACTTGTTATTTATGATTTAGTTTCAGCCGTGTATACATTTTAATAATATTATGTAATAAAGCAGTAGGTATTATATAAGAATATTCTTAAATTTCTCGTTCGTTTTTACCTTGTTAAAAATATCTAGCCGGCCGTACATTTGTAATAATATTTATAATATCGAATGACGTTTAACTCGACACACTAGTGGATATCGTATTTCTGTATAATATACTTAGGGTGACGAGAGCCGTTTAATCCTGTCTCGTAAGGGTGGATATACAAAACGAAAGGCAGGTAACTATTATATTATATATATATATATATATATATATACATGTATGTATAATTCACTCCTATATAATATTATATCTGTATGTTAAAATCATGATGAAACCTGAACTCTAAAATCCTTTAAGTAGTTGTAAGTCTTCGTTTACCACCACCATCACTACCACTACCGCGGGTCAACAACTCTACCACCGTCGTTAGCTTTTGTTGTATTTAATTTCTATGTACATAAATACGTTTGTGGGGGAAAGGAATGAAGAAAAAGTCAACCAACCCGACCCTCTCTACAGTGGAAACAAGCTTATCTTTGGGGTTTCAGGCTTTTATACGGCCTTTGACTCGAAATCACCGTGGCTCTTTCATTATTTGAAAAACACTGTTAGTGTGATGGCGCCACAATAAATTTCATGCGATTTGGACGCACCGGATTGGAGGGGTGCATTTTATCGGCACAACATCCCGACCGATACAATACATTTGACAGAATTATGGGTATACGAGATTTTTTTATTTTTTTTTTCAATTCATTCCCTCGTACAATAATATACACTGCCGATCTCAACAGAAAACGACGTTTATCCTTGCAGCGATGGTTTTGGTAAAAAAACTTATATTCTCTTAACTGCAACATTAGTAAATTTAGTTTACAAATAAATATAATATTCCAAACGAAATAAACAATAAAATATATACAAATAAATAGTTTACATGTATAAAAGGAGCTAGTGCGGTTTTTAGTATAAAACTAAGTGTCTAAAAATCGTTTTATCACGATGATTAAGAGTAAACCTTTGATGAAAATTAAACAACTTTATCTGGAAAATAAAATATCAGTTTAGTTAATTATAAATTTGCAAAAAAAGTTACGACTTGGAATATCTACGATCAAATTTAAGTAAATACACAACTGATTACATTTTTGTTGTGTGATAACTTCCTCTTAATATGCTGAGTTAACTTCAAGATATTTGTTTCATATACCAGCTAAGATATTTTTGAGTGAATATCCGCTATATGTTCTCTCAACCCTCTCCCTAGCCCCTTAAAAAGCTCCACAAACAGATATACCCAACCTTTTACTTAATTTTTGGACTTACACCAGTTACTTACTTCTCTCCCACCAGTACGAGTATTTCCTACATAAAATATTATTATTATTTAGTATGTCATTTATTTTAGATTTCATTGCTATTTTCCAAATGTATTTGTATAATAATACACAATGTGATTAACAGGCTGTAATTTAAGTTAAAAACATATGTACGATAAGGTGGATAAACGATAAGGGAGTAACTCCGCACAGCATTAACATAATTTACGTTCGATAGATTTCAATGTATAATAACGACTATTATAATATTTTGTTTCAAAATTGACTAATTCATTGATTAGCCGTTTATTTTTTAGTGGCCATATAATATAAACTAAGTTTTATTCTATAGTGTGTCCATTAGAATACAGCAAACTTCTTTAAAAATGCCTTGATAGCCGTAGTAGTGTTTTCTTTTTTTAAATTTTATTTGACAAAGAGCGATACAAAATTTTATTGTACGTAAATTATTATACGACTAGGTAAGTGTACTCTTCAAATGATGGCGAAAAAACATTTAGGACGCAGTAAGCACCATTATAGTATTTAATTTGTACAAATCACGTTCAAATGGTTTAATAAATAATAAAATCCGGAAGTACTATATATATTGTGAAATTATTTCCGTACGACTAAAGCAAACGTAGCATATATATATGTATATATAGATAAATATTTTTGTTTGATAAAAAAAAATATGTTTATATATATATATATATTTTAGAGAGGGTGAGTATAAGAATAATCCTTACAATCACACAACACAAAGACTGCCGGACACAGACAGAGAGCAGTAATATTATATATATCTCGAAATATTAGATTTTTTTTTTGTTTCTCTCAAATCCAATCTTATACGGACAATTTCATTTTTCGCCCTCGGTTCCGTTCGCGTGTATACAGTTACACACATTGCAAAAGGATCCGGCACAATGTAAAATGCTAACTGAATTCCGGTTTTATTTGTGTATATATATATATATATATATACTATACAGCCGGTTCGGAATATCGTATAATACCGGTCGAAGATTTATAATCGTCGTCGGATATCCCGTATGAAACAATTGAAGGGTAGATGTTCTATATTATTATATATCCCTTTTTCGCTCTACATACACATAAACCATATGCAGATGTGCACTTTCTCGTATAATATAGGAGAATTTATCACGGATTATTACTCTTCGGATATACGAGTCTATTCTCTTATACTACGCATCTTTAGTGCTATACTATTACACTGTGTACCTTTACTCAATAACAATATTATAATATAATAGCAACGTCCTTTAATATGCTGCCTCTCCTCGATAAACAACGACAATATAATTATTTCTGACAGAAGTTAAGCGATTCAAAGACGACGACGGTGTAATAGCTTCCATTCTGCTGTAGCACCTCAAAGACAACGATGTGATTACACGTGTATACAGTACGATTTTGGCAGTCGTTTCGCGCTTCTAAGAGTTGCTCGAAATGCGTTTTTTTTCTTATGTTATATATACGTATAATTTAAAACCCAGTGTGCTGTTTACTACCAGCGTTTGTTGATTTCGAAATAAAACGGTAATAACTTTTTATACATTATATTACATAAATTTGAAAGTCTGTTTCCGATCGCTTTAAAGGCCTCAATCCCTCTCCTGGCCGTATTCACCCGTTTCCGAGTTCGGCATAATATATTTTTTAATTATACAATATACTTATATTACATAAATTAAAGTACATGTATTCTATTCGAAAATCGTCAATTTAATCTCGGTTATCTTTTAACTTGTATTATATTACTGTATAAATTCATGTATACAGGATGATCAATCTATCATAAGACACTCATTATCTCGGAAAGTATGCATTATCTAGTATACCTAAATATATATTACACGATCTATTTTATTTTTAGTTTATTATCGAAAATACTTTAGTAACTGTGTATAAAATCCTGCAACGGATACGCTTTATTAAATCATAAAATTTTATTTTTTTCTATTATACATTTAATGTTTTCGTTTTTATTCCCCGAAAAAATAATATAATTTACTTTACACAGGATGATTCACTAAATAAACATTCTTACCCCGTTTTTATATTCCGAGTGTAGCGAGGGAGCTATTGGTTTTATAATGCTGTTTATTTTTTTTTTCTTTATTCTAATCTATGGACACGTTTTTTCCTAGTAAACTTGTAACCATGAATAAATGTAGTACCTTTTCTGAAAGCTCAAGTTGTCTAAATGGTACTTTAAACAGTTCATTTTTTTTTTTTGATTTTCAACGCCATTTTTAAATAAAAGTATTTAAGAGGAAAAAAAACGTAGGAAAGCCTACAATTTCACGATTTCATTATTTTATAAAAACGGACGGTGTTTTCAACCAAAACAAATTATTCAATCGAAAAATCACAAGACACCTTTTTTGGAACCTTTTTGATTTACTTTCTTACTGTATCATCATTCGGTTAAAAACATAAGTAGAAACATGGTAATAATACCTATATTAGACTTACCTAGACGTGGTAAAATTTTCAAAATCATCGGACTTTTTTTTTTCGAATAAGCGTTTTGAAATCAAATTTAAACGAAAAATCGTAAAAAAAATTACGGCACTTCAAATTATATATTACAGAACTGCGCTCGGAATCGTCTTTCGTCAGCAATGGTTTAAAGTTGCTTACAAATATAAATGAAATAACCTTTCGTATCCTAACTTCCCAACTTTTCACCTACAACAGTAGCCGCTCCCATCCTCAGTATCAGCTCTTTTTCTTTTTTTCTTTCTTTCTTTCATCTAGTCTGTGGACAAGTTTTTTTCTAGTATACTTGCTCCAATTTTTTATTATTGCTTGGGGTTCCGAATTCCGCTAGACTACTATCGAATACATTTATGTTGGTACATATTTTATTATTTACTCGAGTTATCGACTGAACAATATGTGTATTTTCGGTAACACGTTTAAAATTATCCGAAAATAATATATGCAATTTCTTATTATAATAATATTTTAAGGATGAAGAGAGCAAAGATGGATTTTCTTATAAATTCAATTAAATTTATAACTATATTATATCTCGTCATTTCGTTTTTAACGGTGGAAAACAAATAAGTACAAATAATAACCAATATTTACACAGAACAACAAAGTAAGTTGACAGCGGCTAATTGTTAATTCGACACGAAGAAACAAGTGGATTAGCGGTGATGAAGGGGTGCAAGGCGGGCCGTAGAGAAATACGAGGCGAAAATGGCGAATATTTATCTGTTGTATATTTGCATTGTCACCCGGGTGGAAAACGGTGCAGGAATTAGCAGCCGGTTTTCGTATTTGACAGACAGACAAATCGATTTATTTTTGCGTAGACAAACACGTGACGAAATAGTCGTAATAATATGTCGATGGCAGAAAAAAATATTAAAAAAATAAAAAGGAAAAAACGACATTAACAAATCATTTCTGTGCGTGAATATTACTTATATATACTTATACAATAATATTGCAATTTTCAATCGGAATGAGATTTTTGTGTGAAATTTTTTTTAAAAAAATCAAAAAAAAAAGTTAAGTGATAAATATTAGAGCGATTTTACGGGGTTTTCTACCGCCCGCAAAAGCGCTAAACTGTATTACTATTTAATTACATATTATATAGACGAGTGCAGAATATTTTATTAAAACTTACCGATATCGGCCGATCCTCCCCAAGTCCCTTGTTGCGATTGTCTGGCCAATCTCATTATGGCGTCTGTGTATAACTTGGAAGCCGACGCGGCTCCTGTAAATCGAAAAACAAAATATAGAAACTATCTGCTGTATTATTATAATAACAAAACTACTGTAACGGTATTCAAATGTATTGCACGGATCGTAATTGTAATTAATATATTTTAAATTACAATTGAAAATCACGTAATATAATTATTATCTCTAATGGTAAAAAAAACACCGTATATAATTATAATAATAATATTCATATAAAATGTGTGAAATGTGTGGTACTCACTGTAGGATTATATACTAATTAGCTAAGTACCTGTATAAAAACGTAGTAAAATATTTCAGTATCTATTATTACTATTCCGTTCTTTATTATAATGGTGATATTTTTTAAGGTAAGATAAAATATATTTGTGTATATTTTATAAATAAAGCACAACGAAAATGTTATGTATTATGTAAAACGTGATATTTGTTTTATACGATTTCAAAAAATTATCTATAAATAATATATTTTAATACAATTTTTTTCGTGTATTCTTACGAAATTACGCATTTATTATATTCAGGAAAATTTAATACTTTTCAAACCAGGTTATATAAAATTACCATTGTTTTTTTTTTGTTTTTTTTTTTTTTTATTTTGATTTTACCAAAGTTGATTAAATTCAAATCAAATATTTCATAAATATTATGAATATTTTATTTGCGTTTTGAATATTTTCTCGCCGGTTTACAATGTATTTTTGATCTGGGTGATTATTTTTATCGTGAACCAGCAATTATCTCAGAGGATTTTAAGTGAATTTGTTTCTGTTTTTTCTAATCATTATGGAATCGTTTAAACTTATTTTAAAACCATTTTTATTTTTTTCTGTTTTAGATTCTGAGTGTAGCAAAGAAACTTATTGTTTTACAAAGATATTTAATTTTTTTCTTCTGTCGACAACTTTCCTATCAGCAAATTTTTCCAACTTTTAATGATAGCGATTTTTCTAAAAGGAAATTTCACTGGGGAGGTACTTTAAAGAGGTCGTTTTTGAATTTTCCCCGGAGTTTTTTCAGCAAATGTGAAAAACTTGGAAAAAACATGGGCGAACCAGGAAAAACGTAGGAAAACCAAGAAAATTGGTACAACATTAAACAAATATTATTAAAGAAAATATAGCATAGAGCTTATTTAATTATTTTACTTATGGCATATACATATTGCTGACAAAGCATCACTATCAATTGAACTCCGCTCAGAAACCACTGTATTCTCTGGCCTCTTATGTAATATTTAATTGGAGTCATATCTGTTTCCTTGATTCGTTCTTTGTTAACTTTCTCCTCCACATACCAGTGTTTGCATCTAATTTGGGACCACATATCATACGCCATATCTTGTTTTCGAAAGTGGTAAGTCTTTGTTTTATTGCACTTGTCCATACGTCCATGCTTCGCATCTATATGTTAATATAGCTCTCCCTATCACTGTGTAGAGTCTAACATTTATTTTCTTTGACAACATTTTTGATTTGAAAAATGTTGTTAATGGAAAGGACGCCCTTTCTTCTTTAACTATCCTTATTCCAATCTCTTGTGACCAGTCATTTTATAATGCTGTTAATTTTTTCTTTCTTTGTTCTAGTCTGTAGGCACGTTTTTTCCTAGTAAACTTGCTCCAATGTATAAGTGTAATACCTTTTCTGAAAGCTCAAGTTGCCTAAATGGTACTTTAAATAGTTAATTTTTTCTGATTTTTGATGCCATTTTTTAAATAAAAGCATATAAGTGGAAAAAATGTAGAAAAGTATACAATTTCACGATTTCATTATTTTATAAAAACACGGACGACTTTTTCTACCAGAAAAAATGATTTAATCAAAAAATCACAAGATACCTTTATTATTGCCTTTTTATGCCAAACTTTTGAGCTTTAAGGAATTTTAAATTTTGGAAGTTTTTTGCTATAATTAGCTTATACACATAGAGACTTGAAACTTGGTAATAATACTTATATTGGATTTACCTAGATGTGGTAAAATTTCCAAAAATATCAGACGACTTTTTTTTATTTAATAAGCGTTTTGAAATCAAATTTAAAGAAAATCGCAAAAAAAATTACGGCACTTAAAATGATATATTACTGAACTCGGATGTCTGCTCGGAATCGTCTTACGTTAAGCAATGGTTTATAGTTGCTTACAGATATAAATGAAATAACTTTATGTATCCTATCTTCCCGACTTCTCACCTACAACAGTGGCCACTCCCATCCATGGTATCAGCCCTTTTTTGAATTTATATATAGACCAAGGTATTTAAACTCATCAACTTTCTTATACATACAGACTCCGTTGAATTTGCGTCTGTATCTAATAGCTTGATGATCTTTGTCTTTTCTACGTTTATTTTTAATCCTATATTATCTGCTGTTTTTTCTAGAACTTTCTTTGTTTTCTTTCTATCATCTCTGGTATTATCTACGATATTAAGATCATCAACAAAACCCAGGATTTCAATTTTTCGCTGGTTTATTTTTACACCCGTTGTTTCTTTTTGCATCTCTCTAACCACTTTCTCTAAAGTAATATATATATATTACTCTATATATCTCTCTATATATAAATTACGATTTAAAAAAAAGATTCATCTAAACAATCGAATATTATTAATCGTAGATAACGACTCGGATATTTCTCAATTATCTAGATAAGATAAAAAATACAAAATTCAATACTTTATATGTATACAAAATAATTCACTAAGCGTACTTAGTATACATAACTGTTGTTTGGTGTAAGAATGGTCAATGTTAAAAATATACTACAATTATAATTACGGACTTAACGTTAGATTTTTGGATTTTTAGGAAATAAGTTTATTTTTTCTACTTTAAATTTATTTTTAACAATTTATTTGTTTAGATATTATCTTTTCTTGTACCAAGCATCAAACATATTTACACAATAGTTTCCTATATTATGTTATTTTCTCGAAAATTCTGTAGTGTGCATACCAGGACCCGGCAGAGTTTGATTTGTGCGTACGGGTCGTATTCGGCCGACGAATATACATAAATATATTAGAACGTTTGAATAATATATTATCGTATATAATATATAGTGTAGTAACATGTGTGTGTTTTCCACCAACTGTACCGGTGAAAACTGACGGGAGGGTAACTGACTACGGGGAAGTGGTGTAGAGGTGGGGCGAGTGTGCGTTTGTGAAGTAATCGTCGAATTCGAAACGATCCGAGACCTCCGTTGTCATCGTATGTACGCGTATAGAGCGCGAACAACAACTGCGCGAGCCATAACCTATTTAAATTCCCGTTTTTATCCTCGAGTTTTGTGAACTGCACACACACACATATATATATATATACGACATAAATTCATGTATACATTTATATATAAGATGTCATCAACATAATTTAAGATTAGACACGTATTCACAAAGAGTGGGAGATAAGTTAGGTGATCTAAGAAAATATGACAATGTTGTATTTTATATAAATTAATGTATTAAATTATGTTTATTCGTATTTTTTATTTTATCTAGATGACCGAGAAATGAGTAATCTAAGATAAATAAATATATATCAAATCTTTATCTATATATACATTTTTTTAACTTATATATTATTTTGAAATAATAGAAAACATATTATACAGTTTTATATTAATAACGAATTGAATTAACTAATTATTAAGTTACATCATTTGACTATCATTATATCCTAAATACATAATCTAGATGTGTACCAAATCTAGTATACCTTTTACTACTGACTTTTAACATTCTTGTTTTATGATAGATAAACTGATTTTTTTTTTATCTAAATCATTATCTGATACTTTTAAATGTATACCTTTATATAACGTCGGTGCAGAACTTCACAAGAGTCAAAAATAAGCCAGGCAACTTGGCATGCTTACGAAAAAACGATTCTGAGTCGAGTTTAGTTGATATGTTGCTTTGTCAACAATATATATGTTATATTATGGTAAAATAATTACATACAAATTATATATATTTTTTTAGTAATATTTATTTAATATCGTACCTATTTTGCCGTTTTTCCTAACCTAACCTTCCCAAGTTTTTTTACATTTTTTCCCATTTGTTGGGAAAACTCATGGTAAAATCGAAAAATGACTTCTTAAAAGTACCTCTCCAGTTCGATTTTCTTTCAGAAAAAGTGCTACACTTTTAAATCGAAATCAGAGAAAGATTTTCAATAGAAAGTTGTCCATAGAAAAAAAAAATTATTGTAAAACTACCTATAAGCTTCTTCACTCCACTCAGAATCTAAAACTATTCATATAATCGTTGTGACGCAAATATAAAATGCGATAAAGGTAAGAGACCTTTTATGATAAAGACTTTATTGTGTGGAAAAAACGATTATTGATGGATTATTTTGTGTAGCAATAGCTGTATATTATATAGTTATAATAAAATATAAATCAGTGGCTTTTATCTTATAAATAATGTCATTCGGGGTGTTCCACGAAGATATTATAGCCATTGTAATATTTCTGGAGATGATAAAGATAATGAAATTTTTTGTATTACTCACAGAAACAAGGACTACAAATATTTATATTGCAACCAATTTGTTTATGCTTTGATAATAAACTTAAAAAAATAACTTTTTATTTTAATATTTTTTAAAAATTTGAAGATATCTATTTTATAGAGTTTACATTATCGTTCTAGAAATTTGGATGTATCAACTTTTATTTTTATTAAATTAATGATTTTTAATAGCATTTTAAAGTTTAGAGAATGGTACTTATAATTATGCAGTAGGCTGTAACCACATTTTTCAATTGATTATTACATTATTACATTATTATTATTGAGTATTATTACAATTAATTGACTGTATACTTCTATTCTCTGAACTTCAAACATTTATTAAAAAAAAACAAATTTTTTTGAGACTAATTCTTACCATTTCCCTTTTTTCTTTAATATATTCCAGTTTATTTCTCTTTATTGCGTAAGTTCTATCATGGTCTCCCGTACACTGTCCATCCATCTTCGACGAGGTCTCCCTCGAGCTCTCGTTCTTCCATTTCTTCGTGTATGATTCTATTCATTAGTCTTACATTTGCTCTTCAAACATGTCCCATCCATTCTAGTCTTGTGATTCTAACGAACTGAACCACAGTTTCTCTTTTATAAAGTGTATTTAGTTGATTGTTTGATCTTATTTCCCACTTTTGCTCTCCATGATTATAATATATTGAACCGTGTATTCTCCTCTCAAATCTTAGAAGCTTTTCTTCGTCACCTTTTGTCGTTGCTCAAATTGCACCAGTATATGAAAAGATTAGTCTCACATAGCTAATATATAGTTGCTCTTTATTATTATTTATTTATTTTTTTAATTTTGCCCTAAAAAGGTTTGCTAAGGCAAAGTAGCATTTGTTTGCCGTAGTCACCCCTATGCTTACTTCGCCATGCATATTATTTTTCTGGTCTTATGCAATCCTTAGGTATTTAAAATCTCTTATCTGTTCTATTTTTGTAGTTACCTAGTTAGTTACAGTTATATCTATTAGAGTTTCTATTTTTTTTGTCATTCTCATGTACTTTATTTTTTCCATATTAACTCTTAGTCCTCCTTTCATTATTTCCATCATATTCTTTTTCACGTCATCTTGTATTTTTCCTATAATTATTATATCTTCAACATATGCAAGTAGGTGTGTGTTATATTTCCATCCCTTAATGCCATTGATTCAGTTCGTAGTAGTTTTGGTATCACGTTCTATATGCGAGGTTTAATAGCACTAGTTACATAGCATCCCTTTGGCGTAATCCATTTTTTATATTTATATCTTTGATTTTAATTTAGACTCATTAGGGTAGAAGAGGGGGTAAATAATACAGGATCTTCTAAATTATAAAATATGTTACGGTTTCGAGAGTATTAGGGTGTTATTATTATTATTTATTTTTAAACGCTCATTGTTCCCTGAGACAGAGTACGTAGATAATAAACACATGATTTAAGTAAATTTATTTTACATAATAAAGACAATTTATAAGGAGTAACGAAAAAAAAACATGTAAAACATTATTTAATACTATAAACTATAAATAAGTATAGAGTAGTAAAGCACTGATAAAATGCCGCACGCCATGCTGCCACACAAATGATATTCTACTACTCTCCTCTAACCTAAAATTAAATGTGGAATATCTCATTAAAGGGTTTACGGAAATCAAAAATATTGACACCAAAATTTATTTAAAGTAATACACCGTCTATTTATCGAATTTTGAATGTAGGTTCTCATTTGAAAAACCAAAGTTTATATCTCCATACTCCTTAAATGTTGTGAAAAATCTAAGTTTCGAAAATATCTGTTTAACTACACTTAAATATTCCAAAAATCATAATTTGAATACATGCAAAATTTAACCAAAAAATGAGGTGATTTCGCTTAGTGAATTATCCTGTATATATATACAGTAAATGAATTGACAATTTCTGTAACAATATTTTGACCTTTTCACATGGTACACTTCAGCAGAATACTACGTGATTTAATTAATACCGTCAAGAGGGCAGCCTCTGCAGCGTAGTGTTTAAAATTCTAAAAGTCTCCTACACCCTTTTTTTCATAATCAAACCTCAGGATTATGTTATAAAACTCTGCCTTGCATTGTAATTCCGTTTTAAACCCTGTGGGGTTGTTGGTAAAAATCACGACGAGTTCATAGTCTTTTAATAAGCTTCATAAAAAAAATAAAACAAAATAAAGGGTTGTTGTTGTTAAAAAAAAAAGTTATAATAATATTTAAAGAAGAAAATGTCGACCGCAAATACATATTTAACGTCCTGTTGGACAAACTGCAGCAAAAGAAAAGGAAAACTAACGACTTAATAAAATTGCCCGGCACTTCTATAAAACATTGTACACACTGCGTATAACGAACCAGGAAACTTGAAATGATATAGTGCGAGTGGAAGAGAATAGGAGTTTGAGAGGGGTGTGAAATGCATTTGGTTAAAAACAGAAAAACGCGTAAGACTGAAATGGATTCAATGGTGACTTAATGACACATTTCCATACATTATTATAATCCAAAGTCGTATACCCCTAGTATACCAAAACGACGGGGACTAAATCATACTCTAAAAAAAAAAAGTTTATATACGATAAACTACAGTTTACAATCGTATGAACAAAAAATACCGACTGCCCAAAACGTACCAAAAAACATTTTTCTCATCGTCATTTTAGTATTATGGAAAATAAAATGCATTTTATTCACCGCTGTGCACGTACATAATATTGATTTTTTTAAAAATTGATGTCTTGTCACATAATTTCAATTTCTCTTTCGAGGGGGAAAATAAAAGTACCGTTTTTTTTCGAAATCGACTATCCGTGACTCGGTGCAATTTCCTCCGGAGCTTAAATGCCATCAAAAAATGTTTAACGTTTCGACAGTTTAAATTTATGTTCGTAAGTGGTGCCGTTACTATACTATATGTAGCTGTGTGACTACGGTATTCGTGAACTGCGGCATAGATTTAAACATCCGAAATACTTTACATAGTTCACTGAAATGATAAATCACCCTACATTTTTAAGTAATTGTTTTAAATAAATAATGATTATCACTTTATTAAATCAACGTATAACACCTAACTATTTGGTTATAATATTGTATTGCATTAAATGATTTTATGTCGTTTTCTTGGCGTTATTTTTAAAAATAAACTAAATGTTTAAATTTATGATATATTATCGATAATTTTTTATATTTTTTGTTTATTGTACCGAGTGTCTTTATATAATGAATGATTTATTACAAAAGAATATATTCAAATATTATTATATATATATATACCTATAAGTAATAAATATAAATCAAAATTATATAATATTTAAGATAAAAATAAACAATTATTTTTAAATCGAGGATTTTATTTGAAAAACTGAGTATGTGATATATTGAAGATTATTTTAGATATCGAAGACGTTAGAAATACATTTTTTGTTTTTGAGACGATTCGACGAAAAAAAAGACTGATGCTACTGATGTTTTGTGAATGAAGTTTTAAAACAGGATATATATATATATACTTATATTTAATTATATAAACACACAGAACAAAGGACATTTATAAATGACGATAGCTCCTCTATAACTACTAATGAAGAGCTGGTAAATAAATGGGATAATTATTTTAATAAGTTGTTGAACTACGAATAAACAGATGAAACCTTCTATTTTAATCAGGAAACTCAAGAAGAAAAGGGTTGTGGAGAACTGACCATTGAGAAAATAAAATCACAAATAAACACATCAAAAAACAATAAATCTCCCGGGGAAGATGACATTCAGTCAGGGGAGAAAAAATGGCTATATGGTTATGAAAAACCGAAAAAATGCTAGAAGAATGGAAGACAGCGTTATTCTGCCTAATGTTTCAAAAATAAAATAAACAGGACTGTTAGTGATTATCGATCACTCTCTTAAATGTGGCATATTAAATCTGTTCGAACTGTATATTATCAAGGATATAGGAAAAATCGGAACAAGTTATTCGTAATAATTAGAGTGTTTTTATACCAAAATGGTCAACTACGGATCAAATATTTCTCCTAAGAACCTAAAACAAATATGTCAAAAATCCTGGGAGTTCGACAAAGAAATACTTTGTACTCTTCATAGATTTTAAGAAAGCATATGATAGTATACCAGGTTATCCATTTATGTGGGTACACTCATTATCTCGGAAAATATTAACTTTTCCCAGAATTTATTTTCTAGAACATTTAAGAAAAAAAGCTGATCTAAAATGTATGTTTATCCCTTTTTTTGTCACCCTTATTTTTGGGGGTAAAACCATTACCTACTTTTTATTTTTAAAGAGAAACCCGTATTAAAAATTCCATGAATAGATGGAGTATTAGTTGAAATAAATTTGAGTGATTTTTATTTCTGTCAAGTCGTTGGCGAGATATTCCACTTTTAATTTTAGGTTGCAGAAGAGTAGTGCATTAATAACACATTGCGTGTCGTACCGCCACATAAATGATACTTCACTATTTTTCTCAAATCAAAAAATTAAAAATGGAATATCTCATCCACGGATTGACGGAAATCAAACATTTCAACGTTAAAAATTATTTTAACTAAAAATCCATCTATTTATAACATTTTTAATATAGGTTGTCATTTAAAAATAAAAATTAGGTTATGCTTTTACCCCCAAAAATAAGGGTGATAAAAAATAGCATACAAATAAAATCGTAGAGCTGCTTGTTTCTTAAATATTTTAGAAAATAAATTCCAAAAAAATGTAATACTTTCTGAGATAATGAGTGTACCCACTTAAATGAATTACCCGATATACAGAGATAGTCTGATTAATATCCTGAGAGAATTAATTTTTCCCCAAAAACTAATAAAACTAATCAAAATTATCTTAGAAACATTTATTAAAATAAGAGTAGAAAATATGACAACAGATCCAAAACTAGTTAAATCGGGTTTAAGTCAAGGAGACGCCATTTCTCCGGTATTATTCGATCAATATAATATTAGAGAAAGTAATAAGAGAGATATGACACTACAAGGAGTTAAATTCCAAAGATCGTCCATAAGATTGCTAGCTTATGTAGATGATTTGGTGATCATTGAAGAATCACAAAACAGGTTAAGATCTTTGCTATATTGACGAGAAAAAGCAGCTTTAAAAGTTGGATTTCATATTAAAGAAGAAAAAACGGAATACATGGTCGTAGGAAGACGAAACACCACGAGAATATACCCAACTTTAAAAGTCAACTGCCGAAATTCTAAAAGAATGGAACATTTCAAATATTTAGGATCAATATTGTCAGAGAAACATGAGACAAAAAAAGAAATAATGGCAAAATTTCAGTCTGGAAATAAATGTTTCTATGGCTTTACAAATTTACTATGTTTGAGAACACCGTCAATTGACTTGAAAACACAATTATATCATACTCTCATATGACCGGCAATCACGTATGGAGCCGAGATTTGGTCTTTAAGGAAAGTTGATGAAAGAAAACTCTTAATTTTGGAGAGGCAAATATTACAAAAAATCCTTGGACTGGTAAAGGATATATCAAGTGGGTAGTGGAGGATAAGGAAAAGGAAATACCTATTTCATGGTCCTAGGAAATATACCTAAATGATTTACCTGAGAAACGCACACGTGTAGAATTTACTAAGATTTCCAACAAGAGTACCATCCCATCTAAAAGATCATTTGGCTAGTTTGTCTTTATAAATGTCGGTTTTTGATTTTCTTCGTAGCTTTTTAAATAATTCAAAAAATGTAGAAAAGATCAGGAAAGTTTACGGAAATAATATTTTCATTATGTTCAATTTTTTTTTTTTCCGTAATTCTGTTTAAAACATTTGTAGATAGATTTAACATTTTGACAGATAACTACGTATTATACATTTTCCAGGGCTGATCTGAAGTCCCAAGGTCTCATTATATACTACAACATCGTGTATGAATAATAAATTTAATTTTTAACAAAGTTTTAAGTTATAACGTTGCACAGTAAATCGTTTTCATTGCAGCGTAATAATAACAATATAAAAGAACACAAAACGTATTACTCACTGGAGCCGATCGGTTTTTTTTTCATAGGCACCTACAGTAAATTGACATTGACGCGGGTGTAGTTGAATTACCTATACGATACGCCATTGTATTATCGACACAGGCAAAGGCATAGGAAGAGGAAAGGGAAGTGGGATCACGATGCATTAAAAAAATAATCGATTCATTTTATTTATAAGAACGGTTTATATTTAAAGTTTTTTTAAAAAAAAAATATTAAATGCTATTAAATATTAAAAGCTAATACTGCTAATAGGTATGCACTGTTGTAAATGGGAAGTTCGAAAGATAGAATACATATAGCTATTTAATTTATATCTGTTTACAACTATATCTCTGTTTATATTAATTAAAAAAATTACTATAATACAATCATTTTTTTTTTCTATCACTAAGTAAATATAAATAATGACGAGCCTCGTGTAAAATGTTCAAACATTCTGCTCGACCAAACTGTATTATCCAAATAAAAATAAAATCACACACATTATAGTAAAACTAATACAAAAATGACTTGGGTAAAATATTTTCAAAAGTATTTCAAAAATATTTTGAATATTTTGTGAAAATGATTTGTAATATTTTAGGGAACAAATGTCAAAAAAATATTAGGTTAAGTTCGGATGACTTAGAAATGATAAATACTATAGTATTATATAAGAACAGGTGAAATAATTATGAATTATATATTTTTACTTGTAGAAATTTTGAAAAACAGTTTAAACCAAGTACCATTTTATGAAAATTGTGCATATTTAAAATTAATGCTTGAAAATACTTAATCGTTTTTAATAGCCGAAAAAGAGATAAATTATTTTTTTAAACTACTCGGCATACAGTACTAGATACTTCTGAAAATATTTATTTTTAGAATATATTCAAAAAGTAATCTAAATATTTTATTCGGAATATTACCCATGTCTGCTAAAAAAACTACATCTTACTAAAATCTCTAACATCTTTACTCGGAATATAAAATAGCAAACTATTAATGTGGTGAATTATGAACTTGGGTTTACGTGGAAAGCAAAACGTTTTGAAAACCGTAAACGTAATGCACGCAATAGAAATGGTATTATTATAATTGTCGCCCAGAGTGAACGACTCGAAATAAGACTATTTTATTTCAGTCGGAAACGTGTCGGGGGGGGGGGGGGAATCGGGCGGAAAAAATTCCCCGGAATTTTTTATACGGTAGATACATGAATTACGGTAGGTAGTGGTACGGGGATATAACGGATGGAAGAAGAAGAGGACGTCTAGGGGTAGATACGCTTTTCATCTCTCTCTCTCCCGGACGTTCGTATACTAGTTTGTATATATACATAGCTAGTGTTTACCCGGGGGAAATGCAAAACGTGCGCATCCGGTCGTCTCCGACCTTGCAAACGTACGGGAACAAATTGAAGTTTCCAACTTGGCGTTATGTACGATGGTAGCGACGCGGCGGAACAAATCCGGCCAGGCTAAAGACGACGACACACACGAGAATCGGACCGTTTTTCTACATACCTCTATATATATATTATATACTTATAGCTGTTACTACTATTACTATTATTCGTATACGCATGTATATATATATACATAATACACTCTGTATAGGAGTTCAAATTAAATAAGACTGAAGTCGAGAAGCCGCCACCCGTTTTGTATCCCGTAATCGAGTTTACCGGCAAGCGCGTATACAAGTGTTTGCTGGCCTCGTCGAAACGCCGACGCTGTTTTCAAATTGCATTTGCCTACCTATTATTATCGTTCCGGTCGGAGGCGACGGTGACGGCTACGGAAACGGCTTGCCGATCGGCAAAACTGTTAGTCGAAAATAATTTTCGTAATATAAATTATGGTATAAATTGTGTGTGTGTGTGTGTGTGTGTGTGTGTGTATGTGTATCACAGCGCTACAAAGGGGAACTTTGCCTTAGTGGGTCATCCTTCTTCTTATATTTGCATCGTGTGCTCTTTGGAATATAAGCACAATCTGTCTAAATACCAGCGCTGAGGTGCAGACAGGAGCACCATATAACAAGATTGTGAACCACCGACGCTACAATACGCCTTATTCACTGTTTAGTACTGTATAAACATTTAGCATCATCCTTGATATTGCCGCAATTTTGATACACGCTTTGCTTGCAGCCACCTCCAAATTTTTCTTGAAGCCAAAGGTTGTGCTAAGTGTAATTCCCGGGTATTTTATTTCTCCTCTTAATCCAATCTCCGTTCCTTGCAGGCGGAATTTTAGTACCTAGTAAGCTCTTTTTTTGGTAAGCATAACAGCTACTATCTTCTCCACCGAGAGTTTAAGGCAACAGTTCTTCATCCACATTGCAACTTCTAGCACCAAGTAGTACTACCCGTTGCTATAATCGTAAAAGCCACTAGTTTTGCACTAGAGGTCCCATTATTGTTCCATAGCAGCTCTAGCTTGGGAAAACCGTCGTATATTACGTTTAATAATGTTCTTCCCGTAGGCTAGGGTTCTTTCACACAAATATCTATTCAGGATTCGGGAAGGTGTTCAGAAACTTGTTTACTTCTTACTCAATCATCGATTCTGACCCTATATGCCATGTTGAAGGCATTTGCTACGTCTAGTGATACCACTGCGCAGAGTTTTCTCTTATAAGTTGATTCCCTCCTTGTTGAATTCGCAATGTTCATTATACTTAGCTTGGCTTTTTTCGTAGACTTATGTTTCTTATAGCCGTATTGGTAATCACTCAATCCATCGGTTACTTCTAGGTAGGTTTCAAGTCTTTCCTTTAAAACGCACCCAAATAACTTATCTATCGTAAGTAGATAAGATTTTGATATACGAAGATTGCTGATCTAGTGGTTTGTCGTATTTTCGAAGTAAGACCAGTTATTCAGATTTCCACGTACTCGGAAATACTCCTTCTACAAGGGTTATACAAAAGTTAAATAATCCTAGTAATGTTGCAAGCTTTTTAGTTACTAATGCCTTAAAAACTAAATCTGGAAACCCATCCAATCCCGAAGTCTTACCTGTTGGTATTATGGTGCTAGTGGACACTAACTTTTCAATAGTAACTATACGGAATTCACACAGTGGTTTATAGATTAGTAAATCATCTCTGAGTGTTTTGGAAGTTGGTATCAATGTCATCAGTGAAACTGTTTGACACGGTATGTCACCGTATTTAATAATTTCAATCGAACGATTGAGCACGATATTCGATATGTACTGGTCATCTAATTATACATGAAATTGTAGAAATAAAATATAATAATACTATAGGACATTTGTGAGTAAAAATTAAACCGATAATTACTGGGTGCTGCATGACATAGAATTACTTATGGAAATCCAGCAGTTGGATACGATTTTAGAGAAATATGAATATTTTTGTCTAATTAAGCTAAACTTTAACCTTAACTAACTGGCATAAGTTATTTTAACAATATATATTATTTTATTTTCCGTTACACTTAAGTTTAAAAATTATTAATAAAAAGATTATTATCAGACTGAAACAAAAATTTAAATAATGTAACTATGCCTAATTCAAAAAAAAATACGTGCTGAATCATTTGATAGCTAATTAAATTAAATAGCAATATTGCACGTAAATTAGTTCTCAATCGTATTATTTTTTTATTATTGTCTTATTTTCGATTTTGTTATACTGATATAATTTGGTTAAAAGAAAAAACTCTAAAGATTGATGGCATCGAATATTTCGCTCTTTTTTAGCGTGGTAAAATTTTCAAATAATTCTGACCATTTTTGAGGTACTTATAGCCCCATCATTTGAAATTGTCGAGTTTTTATTTGGTTTTATGTGGATATATTCACTTTTAGGTTAGTTTGAATTTTATTTTCCACATCATTCAAGGCTATTTTTCAAATTCTCGTGAAATGGTAAAAACGGGGCGAGCAATGTGCTTAAAAAAAATCAGTACAATATCAACTAAAATTATAAGACGTTGTGTACATAAGTGTATTTGCAGTTTTTTTTATAAGTATAATGTTTCATAATACACCTTTGTATTTACCGGAAATCAATAAAAGCAATTATTTTTCCGTTTTCGAACAAAAATCGAATTAACTATGTTACATAATAAGTAGACATCGGCTGTGATTGGAAAACTGTAACAACGTTAGTAATTTGTTGAAACAATTTTCAAACATCCGTGTCGTCCTTAATTTCGTTTAAAAAATATTTGCAATATTAATATAGCGCGTGTCACATTATATACGAAATTAATGTTTATAGAAATACACTGCCGGTGAGTTTATATTTAAACAATTTGCGATAATTGCATGAAACTATCGTGCGATCAATCGTACGGACCATGACATCGAAGAACATTATTATTATTTTTCTCGTTTTCATCAAAATAAAAAAGGGAAAAAGCCAATTATATTTTTATAAATTTCCGTAAAATTAACTTCTGTGAGGCAATTATTATCCATCATTATTGATATAAATGCATAATAACACTAATGATAGAAAAAAAAATCAAATCGTTTATATGGACATTAATGATTGACGCACTAATAGTGTCATTAAATAAATAATACAAAATATACGATGAAGTTATTTTTTTTTTAAACACATAGTAAAATATTTCTAATCACGCTCAGAATCTAAAGATTGTAGTAAAATACAGTATGAATTTTGGTTAAAGGGAACAATAAAATATAGGATTAGGCATTTTCAGAATTTATTTCGTTTTGACATAATATATAGGGATATACTAGTTACTCGTATTAAGACACGGAAAACTAAAAAAAATATACGACGAACGACGGTTTCAACGTACCCATAATAATAATGTTTGCGTAAAATTTTATATGAAATAAACTATTTGTTCTTCAGTTGATAATTGAGCAATTTAATATGTCAATGTGAGTATATTATAGTAAATATATATTTACGTCGGTTAGGCGTATATTATTAAATTTTATAATATAATACCGCAATATATCGACTTTCAACAAATGTATTCATGAAAATCTAGACGCAATATTATAATATTATTATACACTATACCCGGGCGAATATTACATTTTAATAAAATTACCATTTTTTCCATCCCCTCTTCAGCCTCCCCCTAACCACTGAATATAATATTCTATGGTTTTTATGCTAATTTAAATCACTATACGTGAATAGAGTACCTATTATTTATATATTCTACATTATAATATTGCTTATTTAGTTAAATATATAATAATTGATTTAATACTATTATAATTAGACATTGTTTAAGAGTAAGATAATAATAAAAATAAAAATAATATTTTATAAACATTTATTTCTTGAATATTAAAAATATATATATATTTATTTCTGCCGTATAATTTGATAAAGGTAGTCATCGTTTTGGAAAAGAACAATGGAACACATCAACACGATAATATTTTGTAAACTTGCATGTATCGATAAATCAAAGAGCGCGTAATACTAACACATTTATAAATAGTTATATTACCGCCCTATTTTGTAATACATCGTAATTGAATAGTAAATATATATATTAGGTATTTTGTTATTATTATTATTAAAAATATTATAACTTATACCGACAAATTATAAAATAATAATGTTATTTACATTCTCAAACAGTCAAATAATTATGACACATTGGATTGAAACCTGACAATCCAATATATAATATTATTAATAGTGTTTTTACGTAATATAATTTGCGTTGAAAAAAACCAAATCTACTCAAAAATAGAAAACAATATTGGTATGTCAAAAAAAAATTATATTAATAAGAGTAGAATTCGACAAGCTAAACCAAAGCTAGCTAACAGTAGCTAACCAATAGCGTAATTCGAGTTATTAGCGAAATAAATAACGTTTAGTAAACTACAAGATCAGACTTACCTGATTTGTTAACGTGAGGAAATAAGGTGAGTTACTTTGCGAAGAAAAATTAATTTCTCCTGCAGAGTATAGAAATGAAATGAAATACATGTTGGTATACCAATATTGTCTTACCATTATTTATCAATTATAAAAGGTATTTTCCTTCAAATTCGAACCCTAATTATGTTTTTTTAATTATTATTGCAAATTTTCACACTTCAAAAACATGAGTCAGTACGTATCTATAGTTTTGTGGCTTTTAAATTTTACTTAAAAAATTAGGTTTCATCGTTAAAATTTATGACATTCTATCAGAAAAAAAAAATGTTACCACAAATTAATTATTAATGAGAGTGAGTATACGAACAAAAGATATATGAATTATTTTTTTTTACTTTCACATTTTTCTTCAGATTCAACCTGAACCTGAATATGCCGATTTAAGACAGAAGTTAAGTTTGGACTAAGTTTATTCCTTAGTCTCCCCCCCTCTAGATGACACCACTTTATTCGACTAAAACTTTTTTTAGAATGTATCAGGAAATATAATAATATTTGTAAGTCTTATTTTGAATGAAAATTGTTATTATATAACATAATGTCATTAAAAGACAAAAAGAATATGTTTAACAACTATTAAAATAAATTGTTAGTTATAATTATAATCGTATAATTATGTAATGCTTTCTTATAAATTTAGTATATTTAAATTTTCTAGACACTATATGTGGGTAGTTAGATAGGTGGATATTTCCCATTTATTATGAAAACTTTTAAGAAAATCAAAAAAATAACCTTCTTAAAATACCACCCTAGTAAAATTTCCTTTCATAAAAAGTACAACGCTTGAAAATTGCTGTAAAATTTCTAGTAGAAAAAAAAAATTAAAAAAATGATTATCATTGTAAAACCAATACATTATTCCTCGCTCCGTTCAGAATCTAAAATAAAAATATATCTCTTTGTGTTAGAAGTGATATGTTTGTTTGGAAATCTGAAAATTTTCTATAGGAATCTAGAAAATTCTGGGTGAAATTTCAGATTTTGCTAAGATTTTATTGTTACCAATTTGATGTACATTCAAAACTCGTATCTATAGAAGGGCCTGCCGCCTACCGGTTCACTCATATCTAAAATAAATAGAAACCTAATATAAAAGACGCTAACTATAAATAAAATTCAAATATTTTAATATTAAATTCTTAAATTATTTATTTTATTTTACAACCATATGCAAACACAATAATATTATTTATACAGTGAGTCCTATACATTTTTACCCTGAGCCGTTGCAACATTGTAAATATTTAATATTTTCCCTTATAATTTCCGTATGTTATGTTTATAAAACAATATTATTATTTATATTTATAGTATATAACTTGTAAATAATAATCTTGTTCTGTTATTTTTGAATTTTTAAGTGTCCGTTAAGTATGTCACATGGCTATTAATATTGTGTTAAGTTGGTACTAAAATATATTTAATTTGTATGTTTGTATTATTAAGTGGATATGACTACAATTTTGTTTGAATTACAAAAAATTTAATTTTATTACCTATTTATATTAAATTTGGATAAAAATAAAGGTTTTCTGGAATTTAAAAATCCAGAATATTTATTGCATAAGTTCTTATATATTTATTTATAACATTATTTACAGGCAATCACTTTTTTATATGTAGACATAATTAGGTTAAATTCGAAGGTCCTGATTGGCTAATTACAATAATCTATAAATTTGTTCTGATTAGTAATTACAAATCGGAAGAAAATCTTAAGACAAAAAAAGTAAAATAGTGTTGAAATCAATAGTAAATTTACGGGGTTCGAGGGTAGTGGACCCCTCCCTAGTACCAAAGAAAAAAACAACATTAAATCAAATAAAATAATACTACAGAATATGCTCCTGCAACATAGTTAAGTAATGAGTATAGAAATTGTACTAAATAATCATGTCATTGCGTTATAAGGTTTTCAAGCTGCGGCTTTAATATATTTAGAACGATAAAGGAAAGGTACCTTTTTTTTCGCAGGGAAATCGATTATTGATGGATTATAGTTAGTTTTAGATAGGCAATTAGACGATTGGAATTTACATACATTCAAGTATTTACTATTGAAGCTCTTCCCCTAACCAGCTGGAATGCTTCAATTGAAATCACATTTAACTCATATCTTACATTTATTTGGATATTATCAACAGTAATACTGGTATACCAAAATGGCAAATCTAGTTTAATCTAGGAAAATAAAAAAAAAATCACACAAATTTATATTGAGTGAATATATAGGCTTTAAATGCCTATGAATAGGCATTCAAATTATGTACGACAGTATATAGTTTGTGTAAAAAAAAAAATCCATACATTAAGCAATTGATAATAGTAAATTTGAATTTAAGAAAATAACGACTCATTACAGTTTTAAAGCAATTTTTTTAAGCTTAATTTAATTTCGCACCACGACTGTATAAAAAATACTTCAATATTTTTTAATTATTTACCTATAATTTAAACTTTAAATTACATACATACATACATATAATTAAACCAAATATTATAATCTACGTACTTCCCATCTAAACGTTTACAATCAATTATAATGTATAATAATAATATTAGTATTTAAATAAAAATATATGTATGCATATGTATATATAAATCCAACGGGGATGATGGGGATCGACTCGGACAATACGCGAATTTAAACCTGATCAAACTATAAAAAAGTTTATTAAAACGTTTGGACTGTAAAATATTCCACTGATATTTCGGGGACGCAGTGATATATTTCGTAACATGTTTTAACTATATTAACGGATTTAATAGATTACTTTCGGTACACATCGCATGACTATTTGAATAAATTTATATTATTTATACTATATTCACTATATTCAAAATTTTATTATGATCAGATGTGTGTGATTCTTTTTCTAATTTGTTCAACAAAATAAAATAAAAAATTTCCTTTTTACGTTCAAACATTCCTAGGCACTCTAAAAGTTATCATTCTTTCTTTTACATTCTGATTACTACGAAAAATAACCTAGTTTTCACAAATAAAGTTAAAAACGCTTATTAAGAACATTCTTAGACTATAGTAAAATGTGTCAATTGTTTCTAATAAACGTCTGGTTACTGTATTTATTTATTTACACCATTAAAAAAAAATGTAAAAACTTGCTATTGAAAAAGACATCCTAGGATAATGAAGACGGTTACAGCCAATGTTATAGATAATATAATGTATATCTGTAAACAACGATAAACCCTTGCTAACGAAAAAACTATTCTGAACGCAGTTCAGTTGATATTGAAGCTTTATCAACAATATATATGACATATTATAGTAATATAATAAAATAGGCATTAAATATTTTCTTTAATAATATTTGTTTAATATTGTACTGATTTTTCTGCGTTTTTCCCGTTTTTTCTCCGTTTTTTTCGGTTTTTCACATTTGTTAAAAAAACTACTGGAAAAATCGAAAAATAACTTTCTTAAATTACTAAGAAGATAAAGTTTACTTTCAGAAAACAAGCTACACTTGATACATCGGAGCAAGATTTCTGGTAAAAGAGTTTGCACAACAAATTGGGGACTATTTTTCGATTAAAATAGTCCAAGCGAACGATAGCTGGGTCTCTAGGTACACCTCAAATGTGTTTGTTTTTTCCTATTAAGGTAAAAGGGAAAAATAAGTGTAAATAATTTTTTCGAAACACGGGTTTAAACTCACAAACCCCAGGATGACACTTGGTATAGTTCCATTCAAGTGACAATATTTAGTTATTTAACTTAACGTATAATGTCCACATAATATGAAGAAGTGGTGCCGCGCGTATATAGCTGAGCAAGATTTCTAGTAGAACTATTGTACACAGGATAAAAAAATAATAATATTAAAAAATAAAAACAATTAACATCTTGGTAAAACCAATACATTTTTTGCTATACTCAGAATCTAAAAAAGTATTAATGTACTATTACATATTATCTACACATTTTATTGGTTTTTTTTAAATTACATTTTATATTACGTAAAAATATATTTATCGATGTTTGTTTTTTTGCTTCAAATAACTTGATGACCATACCTTCATAAAAGTAATGCTACACAGCTTTTTTTCTCTACACTTCTACATCTGCACTGCTCTCATGAGGACACACACCAAAGTTTCCTTAATTTCTTTATTTGATGTAAATCTCACGTTGTTCTCATATTCTACGTCATCAGTGTCAACTTGTTGATGTGTTTGAGAATTCAATAAGTACTACATTTCAGGTCTTCTCTTTTTTTTCAAATAACCGACGCGTGACGTGTTGTTTTAATAATCCGATTGAATTTCCCGTCTCAAGATTTTTTGTTTCAATAACATGATTGTATTGATTTTCCGTTGTCCTAATAAGTGATTTCCACAGTATGTTTTTTTTTTTTTTTTAAAGGGCAAACTTTTACAGTTCATAAAAAAGCTCTGATTTTTTCATGGCGTATCTAAAAAATGGGAGAATTTCTAGCCCGTAGTTTTTGTGTAAAACAATTTACCGAAATTTTAAATAGTGCATCGCCCTAGGTATTTTTGGGGGTTTTGTTTTCTTGATTTCCACAGTTTACCTCGACCACAAGGGTAAAAACCCGGCAAGTACTAATCCGGTTACACAATCATTTTTTGTTTGCAATGATTAACATTGTACCTACTCCCAATTCTCGTCACTAAATATGCCAGCTTTTTTCTTCTCGAATATAATAAATTATTTACCTTCTGGAAAATTGTGTTACCTATACTAAAATAGGTATATAAGAATTTATTTATAAATTAAACTTGTAATTATATCGATTTTATCGCACATTATCTTAAATCGTTCGAATTATTGTTGATAACACCGTATTTTAATTAAATAGTAAACAAAATTCAGCTAGTATAACTACAAATACCGAACTTAATAATAAACAAATTTTTTCGAGAAAACAAACAAAAAACATATCCATAAACAATAAACAATATTTTATGCGCTTATTAGTATTAGTATAGAATACCAGAACATGCGCGTTGAAAACATACGGAAGTGAGTGCACGATGCACATTGTGAAACGCCCGCACATTATCGATAAAACAATATAATTGGACGTAGTTAAATATTGTCGCGACGCTGTGCCGGCGACGATTAACAAAAGGAAAAAAAAGCAAGAGGCGTATGGGCGTGTTCGTAAAAACTAATTTCTTATCACCTACAAGATCGAAATCTACTCCATTCTGTTATTTGAGTGGTGAAAAATTAATGGCATTTGGAAAAGCACCACACGCCACGTCACGCCCAATAATCTCCGAGACAGAATATATTCAAAAAAAAAAAAGGGCCTCCTTTTCCCTCGACAATCGTTTTGCCATTTAACCCATAGAAGAAACAGTTGTTTACAAAAAATAAAATATAGTCGCCTATCGTAAGTACATTTATAGAACAAAAATGTTATACATGTTATCATAAGCAGGTACACGAAAGTAAGTATATTACTGGTGTGTTATTAGCATATCAACTGTAAAAAAATTCAATCGATCGCGATAAATATCGCTCGATTCCAAAGATTATATGAAATATAATAATATACAAGATGTATACATGAAGGATTTGATGTTTTCTTTTATGATTAACTAGGAAATTTCCAAATCCTGTATATCTTGTGAATAGCTTTTTAGATTTTGAGCGAAATGACAAATGTATTGATTTAATACGAAGCGTATTTATTGTATTCATTATTTTTTTTATCTAAACTATTTTGTTCAAATAAAAACATTAGAAAAACTTTCCTGTTGAATTTTCGTTTTAGTATGCACGTTAAAAAGAAGTCAGTTTTTTTAATTACCTTAATAAATGGGGAAAATCTGACTATTATCTATATAATTTTTGTTATTTCTAGATTACTTTGGCAACAAAAGGAAAATAGGATTAACAATACTCAACTAAGGATCGTTTTTCATCAGCAATGGTTTATTGTTGTGTCCAGATGTAAATTAAATTATTCTATATAATATCCTTCCTTCCAACTTCTCTCTTAAAACAGTGACACACCCATCAACAGTATCAACCTTTAAGCAAATTATGGACGATTTTTAATGATAGTTTATATGAAACAAAGTTATAAATTGAGATATATTTAACGTAGGTATCTGGTGAACTCGTTGATAATATAATAGTCAATATGCATACCTATACGATTCATATACTTTTTTTTATCAATTCAATGTTTTTCACTTATAGATGAAAAATACGTCTTGCACATAAAATATTATAATGATATGCGCGAAAAAATATTGCCAATATACGGAATAGGTGTTATTGCGGCAAAATGGTTTATTTGCATACAATAGAATATGTAAAAATCGTGAAATATTTATATATACGTTCATACACGTATATAAGTATAGGTTGATAATAAATATACATGCTTACATATTGACAAATTAAATTTTGTATTCGGAATATTGAATTTGATATAATATCATTTCTTCATAGACAAACGGACAATAAAGTACGTTAGTGGTGTTATTTTATGAGACATTATAAAAATATAAATTATTTAAATGTATGATTAAATAAGCGAAAATGATTATTATTATACAGAGTTATATTGGAAGAGAATACATTTTATGGGTAAATAGATTTTGTATTCTAGTACATAAATCGTGAATTAATAATACGGTAATAATTATTATGTTTGAACAAAAATTTAAATCTTGTTCTAATTTAAAATTTGATAAGAACTTTGTTGTAGAATTTTTGGTCTAATTGATTTTTTGGTCAATCGGTCTTTTTGATTTTCCATGTAATTGTCTTTATAAATGGGAAAAACTGGACATATGTCGTGTAATTGTTGTTAATTTCTCTGATACCTCGGTAACAAAGGAAAAATACGACTAATTATGCTCTGTTCAAAATCGTTTTCTGTTAAAAATATTTTACGTAAAAATATATACAAAATTATCTGTATAGTATCCTCCCTCCTATTTCGACTTCCCTTCGAAAACAGTGGCACATCTTTAGCAGTATTAGACTTTTATATATAAATACCTACTATTAGAATTTGATTTAAATTTTCGAATTTAAAGTCTTTTCTATTTATCTCTAATACGTGTTAATAATAGGTTTTAGCAGCAATGCTTGGATATATTATATATTGTACTATTATTATATTAATCTACACACATTACAATCCATTACAATATTTGTTGACCGATATTAACGACTTATCGTCCCTCTGCATTATTACATTATTAAACAAATATACCATATATACTATATAAACCTAACATTATACTATTATATCTCTGAGTGACATCTCACTCACATTGACTAACACCGTCATCGTTGTTATTTCATATCCTTGTCCCCCTACAATCCCTTGCTGTATAATATATACACATAGATGAGTACCTAGGTATAATTACATTTTACTATTGACACACGCACGATTGGTTATTCCATCAACTCTCTAAGAGAGATGGGGGAGTGGGGGTTATTAAAAAAATTATTATATATGAAATGAAAAACTAGTTTTAATTAATTCGTTAGTTTTGCTTTTTGAAAAAAAATGAATAGGTAATTGAAAAAAAAAATGTACAGTTTGTAGATAATGATATAATAAAAAGTTGGTTTGAATATAGAACTTTTATATATAGAATTTTCATTTTTCTTTTTGATGTTTTCGCCAGCTCATCAATGACATTATCAATTTTCATATCACAGTCTATGTTTAACAAAGCCAAACTATTTAAACGATTTAGGCCCGTTGAATTTCTTAAATACCTTTTTAAACAACGTAGTAACGTAGTGATGAAAATGACCCCACACTCCCGTGGCAGTTGATACAGGTAGCGTTATAAATATTTGAACAAGTTAAGAAATTATTAGAAAAACACCAGGATTTATATTGAAGTAGAGATCAATAACATTAGTTTTCTCGAATTCCATCGGTGATAAAGAAATGCACCGAGTATACCACAAGTCTAATTCCCCATTTAAAATAGAACTATTTATATTTAAATCAGTGTAATCATCAATAATGTCTTGGTATATTTCTATTAATTGTTTGAATTGATTCCTTATGTCTTAAGATATTTGTATTCTTGCCTTGAGTAAAATGCAAAGAAAATAACTTAAAACACACTTGTGTGATAAAAACCTTTCATCTAATTGATCCGAAAAATTATACAAAAATGGAATAAAAATAGATATTTTATATAACTGTTGTGGACCTTCATTACAACTATGTTGTTGACGTTTACTTTGTCGTGTCAAGCTTATAGGAATATCACATTTTTTACAAATAGATTCTATATTAGAAAATAATTTTTCAAATTCTATTACACCATAGTTTTATCGTATACCTTGAATGTTTTTTTTTTTTTTTGGATAGTGTATGCAGTTTCTAATGCAGTTGCCAAGTCTAGATATTCTTTTTGAAGAAATCTACTAAGGAGGAAAATAACGGCCAATATTTTTATTATTATAGATAAGGTGGTTTGAAAATCGAATTGTTTTGTTGCAGTTATAAGTTGATTCGCTGCACTTAAGGAAACTGCATATATCCAATTTGGAATAGAATCCAAAGCATACAAAATAGCTAGCTGAAGTTCCTCAAACAATATTACTGTATTGTGACGGCCAACCCATCGATTGGCACATAATGTTTTTAGCTTAAAACGTCTCGTTTCTGGAAAATTAGTTTCTATTGATATTTACAAAGTGTTTTGCCTTTTTGGATATCCGAAAAAATTAAATACATTTTGTATAGTACCTATACAGTTTCTAATCGAAGGAACTTTACAACGAAAATGTACATCCAAATATAATCAATGGGCATATAATGCAAATATAACGCTTCTGGATATTTATTGCGAATATATTTTTGAACACCATTATACTATTGCCACTCATGGTTGCTGCGCCATCATATCCTTAACTAATATTGCAAGTTAAGTCCCAAATTAATCATAGATTTTAGAATTATATTAGATAGACCATTATTTGGTATAGCATTGACTTCAGATAGTTTTTTTTTTATCTGATACAGACTCAAAATAATTTAAAATATTGTTTTGGGATTTTTTACTCATTTTATAACAATCGTTCTAACAGCACGTATCTCCAACTAGTGAGTACTGAGTAATAACTAGTTAAAACTTAAGTCACAATTCACAATAACAAAATAATACTAAACACATTAACTGTAATAAAGATAAGATATGCTAATCGGCTGCAGCGAAACATAAGGGGAAAACAATTTAAAAATATCTTTTAACGTAATCATATAGCAATGTGTAGGTATTAACAATGTCACTGACATAGGTAGAGCTATCATTATATATACACTACACTGGACTGGACTTATTTATTATTAATTTTTATTATTTGTCTAAACTGTTAAATTGAATAGCACTTTATTCTTTTTTCAAATTATTAGTATTTTTTTTTTTAATTTCGAAGAAATTTTGGGAGGGAGGTCATAACCCCCTAACCTCCCTTCTGGATACGCCATTACATATATATATATATATATAGAGAGAGAGAGATAGAATAGGTTCTCTGTTATGTTTACTATAACGGTTTGCGACTAAACAGAGTGTTCTACGAAGACCTGATAAATGCAATTTCTGAAGTTCTGTTCAATATTTTTTTCCCATAATACTAGAGCGTTGCAGATGATTCCACTATTTTATATTTTATATCCATTTTTTTTTAACTAAAAAATAACAACTGTTTTCACAAAATCCAAGTTAATTATTTTATAAATATATTTTTGTACAAAAGCATTAAATTACAATATTTTACTAATGATGAATCATTAAGTTCCCACAATTTCTCGAAGTTTACAAAAATCATTAAAAAAAACTATTTCTCGAGGAAAATTTGGTGAATCGATTGATATTATTAGTGATAAATTAGTGGAAATGAAAAAAATATCGATTTTCCTTAATTTAAAAAAAAAAATTATTATCATCTTATCATTAGTAAACTGTATAATAAATAAAAAAAATTAATTTATAAAACAGCTTAGATTATGTAAAAAAAAAAAAACAATTTTTTAAATATTTAAAATTTTATTTAAAAAAAATATATATAATAATTACAGTTCAAGGTTTTTATCATTATTACAAAAAATAAAAATGCATAAATATTGAACAGAACAAGAGTTTTCAAATTTGTTAGATCTCCTGGAACACCCTGTACATAGTCTAAACACTGCTATATGTATAGAAGAGTATCCCCTATGCAAGTATACACATATATATTATACATGTGAGGGGGTATACGTGTATATGTGTATTATATTTGTGTTTCAAAATATATTTATTATTATATATATTGGCCCGGGTGTAGAAAACGGTTTTAGCGTCATATTGTTTTCATGGGTTGTCAGAGACCGCATAACTATAACGATATTTTATGTTTCCTAGCTCCTGTAACCATACTATCATCCTCGATGCATACGATAGTATCAATATACTGAAATATTATAATCAGGTAAACAAAAATATCGGGAAATTTCTCTTCAAAATATAAAATATATTATACACGTTTTCGGCATTAAAACAGTTTTGGGTGAGAAAGAATAAGAAGAAGAGTTTTAAAAATACAATAATGAAATCTTCTGTAAAATTTGAAAAATCAAAACGTTAATAATATATACATAATTTTATTGAAGACACGTAAAATAATTATTATTATCTATCTACTTTGAACGAATAAACGTATTAGTTTCCGTATTAGTATATATGTATCCGCAAACACCATATCTATTATAATATTATTATTATCAGCCCAAAAACTCGATCAAAACGTACTTCCCATATCTATAACTTAGATCAATAATCATTAAAAAATTGGTATGAACCTTGGTTAAATAATTACTTTTAGTATAGGGTATGTATTTTGTTTTTCAGACTATAACGAAATATAAACAAGAAACATTTAATTAAACGTTTTTACTGTAAATTTCGATTTTTTTTTTTTTTTTCATCATTTATTTTAAGTGTTTAGATAATTTTTTCATGCACTTATAATGTACATTACTATACATCTGTACTCAATGATTAAACATTGATAACGAAAAATGATTCTAAGTGAAGTTCGGTTAGGTTTTAAAATGCCATAATATTTAAGATTTTCGTCAAAATTTGTATAAAATAAATTATACATTACACTCAATTTTTTTTTTTTTTTTTTGATCACAAAGTACGACTTATAATGAAACTTGGATTAAATTTTCAAGCATTTCAGTTTAATCAAACAACTCTATCTACATAGTACCTACCAAATAAAATCTAAAAATAGACGGACATACTTCGCACGTGAGTGCAGCCACTGTGGTACGTGGGAAGTCGGGAAAGTAGGATACAGAAAGTATATCTGTAAGAAACGAATGAAAAAACGATTCTTCAGTTGATAGTGATGCTTTGTCAATAATAGACAGCGTGTCCCACCGTGTTAGAAAGATTTTTCTAGCACTATTAATATTAAATTTGTTTACATCTTTTTTCAATCGGTTTGTCTTAGAGAAGGACATCGATTTGGAGAAAAATTAAATTTTTATTATGTATATTTTTATATTTAAATGTTTCTTGTTTATATTTCGTTATAGTCTGAAATACAAAATATATACCTTATACTAAAAGTAATTATTTGACCAAGGATCGTACCAATTTTTTAATAATTATTGATCTAAGTTACAGATATGGGAAGTACGTTTTGATCGAATTTTTGGGCTGATAATAATAATATTATAATAGATATAGTGTTTGACATATTTACTAATACGTTTATTCGTTCAAAGTAAATAGATAATAATAATTATTTTACGTGTCTTAAATAATATTATGTATATATTATTAACGTTTTGATTTTATTAAAAACGTCGTCCGTGTTTTTATAAAATAGTGAAATCGTGAAATTGTACGTTTTCCTAAGTTTTTTTCTCACTGAAGTGCTTTTAAAAAATGGCGTTGAAAATCAAAAAATGACATATTCAAATTACCATCTAGACAACCTGAGCTTACAGAAAAATTGCTATAAGTAAAAATCGAATCAAATTTACTAGGAGAAAACGTGTCCACAGAATAGAAGAAAATAAAAAATAAACATCTTAGTAAAACCAATAGCTCCCTCACTACGCTTGGAATCTAAAACACCACATCTGAAAATAGATTGAATTGTTTGGCAATGATGAATATAGAAAGGGATACCAATGATAGATCCTGTTGATATACATTGTATAGCTTTAACGGTTTTCGTTGTACGTTAAAGGGAAAATCCTCTTGTTCTTCACAAGAATCATTGTGTATAAAGCATATAATTTAAGCTGGTTACACGCTACGCGTTTTCGTAAATTTTGTTCAAAATTGGATGAGATGGATGGATTGAGATGCGTGTTCGGTTGCGAGTTATTGTTTGTGACGTTTGTGTAACATAAAATGCGAATATTTTATTGGTTGTCTAAAATAGACTTCTCGGATGTCTTCGTTTAGGACTGGAGGTCGATGAACTTTGTCCGAAAGTCGACGACGAACCAAGAGAGGCCAGCTAATAGTAATCGAAACGTGACGAACGCAGCGACGGCGCGCTAATTGACCGAGTCCGTTGGAGACCGGCGTGCGAAACCGTAGCCGACCGTTTCGGACGCGACGGACGGCCGGGAGTCTCGCGGCGCCCGCGGACCCCGGGCCATACCGACGCGTTTAATCGTTTTTGCCGTCCAGCGTGTGTAAACCGCCGCGGACGTTGTGAGGCCGTTAACAACCCCATTAGCGCGTACTGTGTAATTGCACGTTTACTATCGTCGCGCGGACCCGAAACGGACGATCCGGTCGCGAAACGTCGCGCGCGGCGGCGGCTTTTAATATCGAACCGCGTGCAATCGTGCCGCGCGAATAATAGTAAAAAAAAAAAAACGAAACGAAACGAAAAGATCGTTTCACGCTATACGCGCGGAACGGTTATGTTTTTCGTCACGAACCGTCGGTCGTCCGAAAGGTTTAAACTTTGATTTGATTTTGGGTTTTTTTACCGTTTTTTGAAATTCTACTCTCGTGTGTTAAACGAATCCGCCCGTGCGCGCACAGTAATATACGTCACACACATGTCGTCCGAAAAGACTGCGCTGTACACCGGTACACGACGCGCTGTTACGCGCGGCGTCCGATACCGTACGCCGTACGTATTCCTACATGTTCGGGATGTTTAGTTGATAGATGCCTTTCAAGTTTTGAAAATTTCATACATTCGTTGGATAGCGTTTCGAAACAAATCACACACTGCGGCATATAGGCTCCTCCTCAGTACCAAAAAATACGAACCCGATTTTTAAAAAGTCAGGGTTATACTTACGAAAATATATTTTAGTTTTCTTTGTTGTATTCAAACTTGACACATCAACAGTCTCACTACTGGTAGTTCCACTACTGCTAGTTCCTTCGTCGTTTGACAGCTTCGTCTTACGACAAGATCCAGTTCGAAACCAAGTATCCATATTTACGTGTAGCGTAATTAATAATACGTACTGTGTACATATGACACTGTGTAGTATTTATATGTAGTAACTCACAGCAGACACAACGACGCATAAACACACAACCACTGTAGCAAAATTACTAGTTTACCAATTTACGAAATCGAAAGACCTGTTAAGTTTATCGCAACCCGCACGCCGTGCACGTTAAATACGATAAAAATGACAGATAACAAGAACCTATTAATAATCAACGAACTATATAAGATAAAACTACATTCAAACATTCGATATCGTATCGTTAATGGTACACTTACTGTACAACTATAGTTAAAATTGATTAAATATTATTATGATTAGAAATATAACAAAAAATATATATAATAATATTATTTTAAATATATGCAATATTTGATATTATACCTATGGCTCGCGGCCCATGGGTTGGGAACCGCTGCCGTACGGCAACGGCAATGACGATAACGATATTAACGACCAATGATGATGATAATAATAATAATAATAACGGATAACGATTATCGCGACCGGTCGGTGGTGTCGACACATTTTCGGTTTTTTCCCGCATTCCAAAACGCGGAGAAAACCGATTCCAACAACGGCGACGGGCCGTCCGGCAAACGCGCCACGCAATACCGACCGGCACGCGCGGTCGTCGATATTGTCGCGAGTGTTTTATCGGTAAACGACGTCGCCGTACGGGTCCGCGTCGGATTTCCCGTCTACCCCTCGCCCGCCCCTCCCGGCCGTTCACTCGCGAAACAGCGGCCCCCGCCCGTCGCGCCCGTTTTCCCGGATATCGTACTGTGCTATTGCGCGGCGCTACATTAGCCGAACGATTATGTAAAACTATAAGCTTTCTCATTACATTCAGAATCTAAAATTTATTTTCGTGTTTTATTTTTATAATAACCATAAAGGTTATGTACATGTAAGTATCTACATGTGTTTCCCGTTATATTATCATAATATTGTGTTATAATTGTGCAGAGGAGTGTTTAATGGGGGGCAAAGGAGGCATTTTCCCCCACCGTCAAAATTTTAAAATATTTCATAGGCGGCATTCGTATACAGATTTTTCATACATTTTTTGCAGAGGAATTTGATTTTCAAACTTATAAAAATAAAAATAAAACATAATATAATTACACATTACACTTCTTGTTTTTTTATTTTACTACAAAGTACAATCAATAATGAACTTCCTGTTTAATTTTTAATCATTTCTGTTTAGTCTAAACATTTTATTCACAGAGTAGGTAAGTACCTAAAACGATTAAAATTGAAGTATAAAACTCGCAAAATTAGACTCAAATGTTTTGAAAATTTGATTACGTCTAAAGAAACCAAGCATAAGATTTTTGTCCAAATTTCATTCTTTACGAAGATTTTGAACTTAATTACATTAAAAAAATTAAATTGAAATAATAAAAACAAAAATTAAATTGAAATAATAAAAACATTATTTTCGTAAATTTCACGATTTTATTACGTTATTTCTCTATTTTTCCTATATTTCCTTTCAGAAAAAGTGCTACACTTGGTACATCGGATCAAGATTTCTGGTAGAAATTGTGTATGCAGATAAAAAATAATATAAAAATCTTTGTAAAACCATCTGAAATTTTTAATTAGTTCGAAAAATTAATAAATATGAAATTATAGGTTTGCAAAACATTATTTTATTACCTACTATTTAAAATTAAAATTGTATTTACTATTATAATGTTCAATTATAATAATGATTTTCTAGTGAAATATTTTTGTTGCTAGGGATTCAACTAAATGTTTCTTTATAATGTTTCTTACTAGTTTTGGAAATAAACATTTATTTTGAAATATCGTCAAATTAGTTAGATCTTTTTTTCTGCACCAAATATTAATTCACGTTTATTTCTATAACAGTTTATATTTGTTAAGTACAAAGTAATACATATCGTATCAAATATGAGTAGATTAGTTGTTTGCCTAACAAGAGGATTCCGTTTTCTTCGTAGAATGGTGACATGCTGTGTTCCTAAGAAAGTAAGTGTAACAATCGTTTTTAATAAAGTTTATTTTGGTTTTGTTGGGTTAATCTAATAAGAAATATTAGCTTAATCTAATTATGACATATTATTTTCAGGTTCGCTCACGTTCTTCTGTTAATAATTCAATAAATAGTTCTATTTCAGGTAATAACATAATATTATATTTTGGATTTTCTATTATAAGTGGAAATTATAAATTAAATTAAACAACTTAATTTTTTTTTTATCGATCTATCTATTTTTTAACTAAAGAGTTAATACTTATTTTAAATCGAAAACTAGGAGTTCAGATTTCTAATTGGTATTTATAAATTGTATGGAATTGCTATTTCAAAAAAAATCTGACTAATATTTCGATACTAATTTAGAAGAACGTGCAGTTGTAGAGTTAGGAACATACGCTGTTGAACAAGTTTTCGAAGATGCTATAGATGTTATGGTTAAAGACATCTTAAATAATATTACATACGCTGAGTTAGGAACATACGCTGTTGAACAAGTTTTCGAAGATGCTATAGATGTTGTGGTTGCTATAGATGTTGTGGTTAAAGACATCTTAAATAATATTATCGAAGAAGTTGTAATGAAAACAACCATCAATTGTGTAGTGCAAGATTCAGTTGAAGAAGATATAGCTATAGATGTTGTGGTTAAAGACATCTTAAATAATATTTACGAAGAAGTTGTAATGAAAACAACCATCAATTGTGTAGTTCAAGATTCAGTTGAAGAAGATATAGCTCTAGAAAGTATAAATGATNCCATCGATGGATGATTTCACACTTGTTGGCGTCCTGGGGAAAGGGAGTTTTGGAAAAGTAATATATATTATTATTAATAATTATTGTATAAACAAGTAATTCGTGTTTCATTTGCTTTCCATTCATATTAGGTAACATTATGTCAACATAAAATATCGAACAGGTATGTTGCCATAAAAAGCATCCACAAATCAAAAATAATTACTTCAAGCAAATCAGTAGAGTCATTATACTCCGAAAAAAAGATATTTGAAGTGGTGAATAACAGCCCCCACCCGTTTCTCGTAAACTTGTTCTCATGTTTTCAGACAAACGTAAGTGAATTAAAAATTAGTTATTTATTTGTATTTTGAAATTAATTGGTTTATTGTTCACAGGATTATGCTTGTTTTGTCATGGAATACGCTGCAGGCGGCGATTTAAACTGGCACATAGAAAATTATGGAGCATTTACGGAACCAAAAGCCGTGTTCTACGCCGCATGTGTGGTGCTAGGTGTCACGTATTTACACGAACACAACATCGTTTATCGGTTAGTACAATGTTAAATATCATTTCTACATATTACATTGTTGTTAATATGGTGCGTTTATTATTGGTTAGAGATATAAAACTAAACAATTTAATTATGACAACGGACGGCTNATCGAACTTCATCGTTTTGCGGGACTGCCGAATTTGTAGCGCCAGAAATATTAATAGAGACGTCGTACACACGAAGTGTCGATTGGTGGGCTTTTGGTATTTTAATATACAAAATGCTTGTGGGAGAAGTAAATATAATTTGAATATTAATGTGTAACATAATACTGTAACTAATAAAATTGTTTTTCACAAGTACCCTTTTACAAGCTGGAACAGAATGAAACTTTTTGATTCTATCATCAGCGATGAGATAGATTACCCACAATTTCTGTCTTCAAAATCAGAAGATATTATGAAAAAAGTATGCTATTTTAAATTCATATTAAAGAACCTTAACTATATACTTACAAAATAAATGTTTTATTACTTTTGTGGACATAGCTTTTGTGTAAAGATCCAGAGAACAGGTTAGGTTCTAGTCAAAGAGATGCGGACGAAATTAAAGCTGAATCTTTTTTTGATCAAATTGTTTGGAGTGATTTGTTGGAAAAAAAAATCCCTGCTCCAGTTATACCAATTGTTGTAAGCATCTTATATATTTATCTGTTTTGAAACTGTTTCTTTACATAAAAAATTATACTAATATGAAAAAAAAAAAAAAAAAATTAGAATTCAGCTCATGATACGAGTAATTTTGATGACAAATATGAGTATGAATCAACAGAATATTCTTCAATTGATGATTTAAGTGAGGGAAAAATTCACTCTATAAATAATTTCACCTATAATACTGACTGGTATCTGAAATAATAGTTAAAAAAAGGTGAAAGTTTAATTTTCTACAATAACAATTTAGGTATGTTAATAATCGATCAAATCATAATAGTTCCACCCAATGTAAAACAAACTAACCGAATACATTATTATTTTTTGTGGTATTTTTCAGAAATTTTCCAAAATTGAATAATCAATATTGATATTTGTGAGATGAAAATGTTGAATATGTGTACAATCCGATGATCATCATTCAACACATAAAAATATAACTCATCAACTATATCATCAACAACACTTGTGATGACTGTTTCCCTTTCTACTACAAATGGTGTTTGTGCTACCTATTGGGTAGATAGGTACTATATATATATATATATAGGTACAATATATATCTTATTATTACGAAATCCGTGTCAAATTGGTACAGTTGAAACCTTGAGGAACCCCTTCAAAGACGTTTTAATTATTATTTTGTTTTTTTCTTTTCTAGATAGGTATTTTTGCTATAAAAGAAATAAATACACTATATTAAAAATGAAGTTATAAACTAAAAAAATAAAAAACACAATGTTGAGTATCAGTTAAATTTATTATTCTCGACAAGTCAGACGCAATATGAACGATTCTCGTTTTATAATATTATAACGACGCGTTGTCCGTATAATAATTTCTTGATCTAAAATTCAATATTTCATGTTCTTCGCGCAATACTATCAGAAATTCGAATTTAAGCTTCATTTACGTGCAACATTTATAAATAGAGTGAATGTTTTTCCAAATAAATGGTATCAGTATATTATTATAGACTTCGACGGTAAATTTCAATTATTTTTTTCGTCGCACGGTCGCGTCCATCGTGAATTATTTTTTTATTGCGACGTTAACAACCGTGGTTTTAGATATTATATGCAATTCGTTATATACAATACACGATCGTGATAATAATTTATTTAGTGACAACGGTCAGCCACTCGTTATGATGTGCAGTCTACATTGAGAAACGTACATGCGCGTCTTCATATTTTATGTGTATCTGTGTGTGTGTGTGTAAATTTATGTAAATTTGGAACACATTTAACACACGGAGATAGCAGCGGCTCAAAAACATGACTTACGGGAAAAACTCTCAAGCTTTGTCAGCGGTGAATCTTCAATATTTTCTGTTAAGGGTTCTGAAAATCATATACTTTTTAGACGACTATATATCGATGTTTGAGGGACGTGGCTCA